CAAAACTCTCACATTAGACATCTTTGTGGCCACGTGGCCTGTGAAAGTGTGACCTGGACAGTAATCTACAAGAAAAAACTCACACGGGAGAAACCCTGCAAAAACGTACCATGCTATATCCATGGAACAAACACACACCAATGGCCTAAGATGACCCCGTCTTCCAAGAAGCATAAGAACCATGTGAAACCATTATTCATCATGCATGATATGGGTCACACAAACTTCAGTATGTAGAAATGTGCACAAAAATAAAAGCTGAAATTGCAGCTGTGCTGGAAAGTGCTGTTTCAGAGGAGGCTTTTCCTTACATAAGCAAACTGCTCTGTAATTACACTGGGTGGATCCACACAGGCTGAGAGCGTTGTGAAGATCCAGTCCGGAGGGCAGCGACGGGAACAAGACATGAGGATAACAAGAGGCAAAAGGCGGCTGACGAGGTGCCCGCTGCTCACGCGTCGAGCTGTCATGCCTTTTCCACCGGGCGAGCCGCGCTATCCTTAAAAGGGAACGTTGACGATTTTCAAACGCATCGCCACTGTCACCAAGGAAGGGCGAGGACATCCAGCACAGCTTCCCCACGGGGTTGTTTTCCAACTGTGAGAAACCACACTGACTCTCAGGTCTCATGCGGTTGGTTTGCAGGTGACAGTTTGTTTTTTTAAGAGAAAGAAAGAAATAGAACGGCAGGAATACACTGCTCATAAGCCCTTTGGACCAAGTCTTTACACTTCAGCTCTAATCAAACAGAAACTATTTTGTGCTGATTAGTTCAATTTGAGAGGCGCGGGTCAGGCGGATTTAGTTACCTTTGCACAGAGCCTGGATAACGGTTCCTCCCGTTTCAGGTCTTTATGCTAAGCTAAGCTAACCAGCTGTAGACACAAGGTTGGTAAACAAGTCTCGTGCTCCTATACAAGTTGTAGAAAAGTGGTGGAGTTATGGGAAGATGCAGCGGTTCACAGTGAAAAGTGTGTTTCAAGAATCAATATACTGGAGTCCTCAGTAAGAAGCTTTTGATTCTCACACACACACACACACACACACACACACACACACACAATTGGTAACAGCTATCTATCAAAATTACTTCTGCAGTAAACCCCCCCTAAGCAAGAAGGTCTATTATTAAATCAAACCCACACACGCACATTCACATTCACTCTTACTCAAAGGAACACAAAACATTTTTGTTGTGCCTGCCCCAAAAGTAATATTGTGTGTGTGTGTGTGTGTGAGAGAATGAGAGATAGGCAAAATATTTTGCATGTGAGTGGAGGACAAGATGGGGGTAGGAGATGTTCTCTCTCCGGAGTTCTCTCAATAACAACATTAAAATGACAAAGGCCTGCTAAGTTCCGCCCACTGTGAGTGAGGTCTGAACGTCACCACAAAACACAATCACACCATCCTCGCTTTTTCCATGAAGCTTGTTAGGCACATCTGTCCACCTCGGAGTGGCGGAAGTAAACTCAAAATGCCCACAACCAGAGGCCGGCATAGAAGCCGCAGGTATCCGCCGCGCGGCCGTTTGATCGTCTGACTCATCAGAGCTCTTCCTTCAACGTCAGCTCAGTCACGGCGTCCTTCAACCACAACAAACCATACGCGGATCCTTTCATCTCCCTTTCACCTTCACCCCGCTCAGCACGCCGCGCTTTTTGGACGTCACTAAACCTGGAGTGACCTTCAGCGTGTTCGAAAAGAGCCCCCCTCTCCCCCCAACACCTGCACAAAATCCTTTATGTCTGTGACCATGAAATGTGTCTTTGAACTTCACTTTCAAAATCTGTGTTCAAAGGAGCACGTCATTGGATAAGCTCTTCCCCCGTCCACTGATCACAAGGATAAACACTTTTTTTTTTTTAGAAGAAAAGCGGCTTTTGATTACTTTCTATCTAATAATATTGAGCATGATTTGGTTTAGCAACTGGTTTACCAGTGATATTTTAATCAATTATATAAAAGAAATTACCCAAATAACATTGATATTATAAAAAGGCCATTTTGCATCTCAGTAAGTACTTTCAAATGTGAGCAAATGATCCCACTGCTTCAGCATTGTCTGCCTTTACTGCTCCTTTTCGACACAACCACATCTGGCGAGGAGTGGGGATTGTAACGGGAGTGAACGAGAAAAGGAAAAATGATTTGATTCCATGTGGGTGGCCTGATAAAACAAAGTCAGTCATAAATCTGAAGCTATAAACACTGAGCTTTTAGACTTAATCCAAGCAGAAACAACCCAAAACAACCTGTCTCTTTCCTTTCAGTTTCTCCGTCTCTTTTTCCCCAACTTTTTAGGAAGGAAGACAGACTGTCGTGTGCAGACAGATGCCATTTATACGTGTCAAGGCTGTCCATAAAGCAGAAACACATATTATGACCTTTCTTCTATCGTTTGGATACTAAATGAGGTTTACTTGTTCTAATCTTGACATTATGGTGGTAGAAGCAGTTTAGACTGTTTTTGGTGGCTACTTTTATTGCAAAAAAAATTCATTTGAGAAGTTTGGCCCATTTCGTTAAATGTTTTGGAAAGAGTTTTGGAAAAAAGACTAATATTCCTAAGCAAATAAATATCCCAAAAAGTATATTGTCTTCACAGGACTTATCCAACATTAAAGTATGGTCAGTAATGCAGGACACAAAGCATCCTTCAGCTCTTTTTGGAGAGTGGCTGTTATGCAACAAGCCGTAAAGACGGGCTTCATTCTTGCTCGGAGTAAAAAATACACAAACAGTAGCAGAAACACACACACTTTGAGGGATAATCCATGAATCAGACACGTGTGGGCCAACGTTATAAAGTGTAGAAATATCAAGATGGTCATTGAGATGTTGATTATGTACACATAATGCACCTATATTGCAAAAACCAGCCATAACTAATTCCCTCACCCCCCCCCCCCCTATAACCACCCTTTTTATTCTCCAGCTCTCTGTTCCTTTTTCAACCTTTTTTAAAACGACAAGCATTTTCTTTTATTGTCTCCGTCTGTGTCTCTCTCTCCGTCTCCCTCTCTCTCTACCTGACATTTGGCACGGCCGCCTGCCTCATACCGAGACACACTTTATGACCTCACTTGACTGCAATGTTCCAGAGACGCAGGAAAGACAGCAAAGAGCAGAAATAGAAAACTTGTTGGAGGAATGCTGAAAAATTAAGACACATGGAGATGAACAAGCTGAACATGCTACATGTTGATAGTAATTTGGACTAATGTTTTAGGCCGTAGATGTTGACTGGCCCGACATTTGCATCGACTCATAATGAGCAAAAGTAAATGAGATGACAATGAATGGCAGATTGTGATGCTGCGATGTGTGCACCGCGCTGAGGGTGAAACAAGCCACACTCAAGTCTCCAGAAAAGGAAAAAGCTCTTCCACGCTTCTTTCTTTCACCCTTTTTCTTTCTTTCTGAGAACTTGTCTGCGCTCCATTTTAGCTTGGCACAGTCGTGATTACATTCAGTCCCAATCACACACCCACCACACACACACACACACACACACCTCCTTGCACCAGAGAAGAAGTGCTCTGAACACAACTTGTTGGCCAAACTCTGGGCTACAAAAGGTTTAAACAAGCAATTGATATATTCCAGGCAAACAATATGCACGCTCACACAAAAACACAAAGGGCAATAGAGGAAACCAGTTTATTATTCACACACACACACACACACACACACACACTGGCCGGTAATTCTGGACATCCTCAAACACTCCAGTAACCACAACAACTTCCCATTTCCATAAACCCATTTCCTGCATGGTGAATTCAGTCGCCAGCTACTGCTACTGTCTCTATGGCAACCAGGAAGACCAATGGATCAAAGGATTGAACGATCTAAACTAATAAATACCAAAGCATTAGATGAGATTAATATGAATCAATATCACTGTTTTCTGCCCTGAGTTCAGGGTGGTCAGCTCAGTGTCGTTTTTACTTTCTCCCCACCTATTCAGAACCACACTGAATATTTAATAACTCTGCTTTCAGGCAAAGACCCCCCGGAGAGGTAACGCGTGTGTGGCAATGAATAACACAGACATTGAAACTTAGACGGACACATCTAACTCCCGCTGTGCACTGTTACACAAACCGACGAGTTAGCGACAAATCAACACACTTTACAAAATAAAAATGTGTGCATACATCTGTATTTAGGTTCTTGAGTTAGTATTTGTTTATTTAAGTTTCTAGTAAATTGTAAGTTTATCATATACTTATTCTACCTTGTAGGTCTCAAAAACATGAAATTATTTTGAGCATAAATCCTCATTATAATGATTTTTGGTCAAATGCCAAATCTGTTTTATTGTTATTGCATAACAGGCCAGAAGCCTCCCAATGTTTAGACACTACTGAGAAAATACACATCCACACACACACACCACTTAATATATTCCCTCTCTACAATTCTGGCACGGCTACAATCAATATTGGATGAAACAAATAAATAAAAACAGACACACACGCGGCAGACCTCGGTCTACTCCTCCATGCCCTTTGTCGGAGATTTGTTTAATCAAACTAATAACATCCTCTGATGTTTGTTTTAACACCCTTCAGTCTTTTATGGCTCCTGTATTGCAGTTTTGATTCTAAATGCACTCTGAAATTTACCATACGGGTCCTGAATAACATCACCCCATGAAACGCACAGGCGCACACATGCTCTTTTAAGTGGAGCGCTGCAACCATAGGAAGAAGCCGACTGTACATGGAAATATTATGGGCTGTTTTTAAGACAAATGGTCGAAAAATTGAAACATATTGTATTTACTATTTTTAAAACAAATTTCCCACCGTGTTTGAACCACTCACGACCCCTTTCGCTCTTGTTCAAATTCAAAACCATGAATCTTCAGAAGGCAAAGACACCATGCGACAAGAGAGTATTGAACATGCCAACTTTCCAGCAGAGTACGTACACACACACACACACACACACACACACACAGCATTGAGAATGGTGCTAAATGGACTCACCACTTTTGGCTTGGTCCTCTGTGGCGTAGCTGCGGATGCAGTGTCCTCTGTGCGCTTCTTCTGTGCCCCAGCTTCTGTAATTCCAGTGGTACTGGTCTCGCTGGGCCCCTCGGAAGGCAACGCGGAAGCTTCCGCTCCATCCCTGGCTGCTGGAGGAGGCCCCGGGCACTCGGCAGTGCCCAGAATATATTTCTGTGTCACGGCCTCCAGAGATGGGGCCTCCTCTCCTGGAGGTTTACCTGAGGTCTGAGGCTCTGCAGTGGATGCGACTGAGAAGGAGTCCACTTCCTTCAGTGGCTGGAGTTGTGGCGGTGGGGAGATGGGGAGGAAGGCGGCAGGTTCGCTGGCGTGGCGGACATGCTTGGATCTCGTTTTGGCTTTGGATTGCAGAGGTGTGAGGTCGGTTTGGTGGCCGTGGTCCTCCTGCTCCTCTGAGCCCTGTTCTGAGGGCTCAAATGGGTCCTCATGAGGGAAAAACTGACCCGCCCTATTTGGACGCTTTCTGGTGGGCCGACGAACCATTCTGGGGGACAGAACCTCAGCCAGCTTGAGGTTGAAGTTAAACTGCTGCACCTCGGTCTCTTCTTCACCTTGGTCTATTAAATCATCATCCTCATCGTCACGGTTGTCAGACAGAAGGGTGGAGTCAGACTGGGAACGAGCTTTGACGTTTTTTACGACCGGCTGTGTCAGCGGTGTGTGTTTAGGCTTCGCCTCTGGCTTCCATAGTTCCTCTCTCTGCTCACTCAGGATGGGCTCGCTGCTGGAAGGTGGGATCTGACCAGGCAGATCCAACTCACCGATTGGCTCGGTGCTGCCGGTCTGACATTTAAATTGAGGGTCATTCAGTAAAGGGGCATCGCTACGGCGACTGGGGTCACTGAACGACTTCTTCTTGGGAAATTTGCCATTGCCGTGGTCATCCGTCATCAGTCTGTCCATGGCACCTGGCTCAGCTACGATGCTCCTGATCACCCCACTGTAGTCATGAATGGCATCATCCCGGAGGAGCCCGCCATCACTGTACACTGACAAGTCACTGGCAGCACTGCCTTTATACTCTGACATGGTGGCCACAGCCGAGGCATCTGCAGCGCCACCTCCACCTTTGACGGATAGGGATCCTAACAGATTGCTGTCCACAGAGGAAAAAGTGTTATTCCCTTCTTCTGTGGCGGAGCAATGCCGCTGAGGCATCGGGTCACTGAGAGAGCGGTAGACTGTGGACTCCCCATTTCCAACAGCTGCCATTGTTGACTCTGCGTTACTGCCGTTGCTGGAATCCGAGCCTGTGTTGTTGATACCAGAAGGGGAGAACTTGCGCCTTCGTCGGTTGGAACTGGGTGTTGCTGGGGCTTCGAGTCCTCCTCCTGTGGTGCCAGCCGACCTCTGTGACACAGCGGCGTTGGTGTTGATCTCGTCGCAGGCAGCGTTGACATTATTGATACCAGCAGTGGCGCTCGGCTCCATGATCATGCGGTCACTCTCGGCCATGCGGGGAGGATGAGGCGAGGCGGGAGGTACGTCGACTTCGGTTAGACGATTTTTACAATTCACGCTATTCTCCGTTACCTCTCGTCTTTCCTGCTGAAACCTCTCAGCCTGATGGAGGGCCGATTGCTTCCATACGGTAACAGGCTGCCCGAGCACATCCTTGGCAATTCGTGACCCCAAATTAACCCCCGCTGAGCCCAGAAATGACCTCTCAGAGGGGTCACTTGGGCCCGTCTCTGGCTCTGTTACAATCCCTTCGTCTGTTAAACTAGACTCATGGCCTGAAAGCTCATCCACAGAGCGGTCGTAGAACATGCTTTCCTCCGAGTGGCCCTTCAGTAAGGCGCTCTCCGTCTCCCTGCTCTGTCTCCTTTCCTTCTCCCTGTACTCTGTGCCCCTGCTGTTGAGCTTCTCCAACTGTATACTTTGTCCATCCCTCCTGCTCCTCTCCCTCTCCCTGTTCTCGCTCTCCCTCTCATGTTTATCCCTGTCTTTTGTGTTCTTAAAGTCATCCCCTTGGTCCGTCCTTGCCTGATCCTCAACAATCACTCCTCCTTTCTCCTTTTCCTCATTGGTTTTCTTGACCAGGAAACACTCATCCTCCATATCACCATCAGCTCTCTTCATGTCTACATCATCATCTTCTCTAGTACTCATCTGGCAGATATCTCGAATGACCTGCCTGGCTTCCTGCACGTACCTCTCCTGCAATGGAGTTGGCGTCCCTTCCTCGTCATCATTATCAAATCCGTAATCCCTCATTCTTTGTCGTCTCCCAACCCTAAAATCCCCCCCATCACTTTCTACCTCCCTCTCAGTCACGAACACCCTCCCTCCGTCATCCTCTCCATCTAAATCAAGCTGCTGCTCAGAAGAGCTCCTCTTCGCGGCGCCGCCTGTCAAGTAACACCTCACTGCTGTAGTGGGTTTGTCTGAATAAGTGAAGGATTTTGCACGCCGCAAGGTGGCGGTTAGGTCTTTCAGTGACGGCCGACAACCAGAAGGCAGCGGATTACTGACTTGATTCCGTAAACCCATCCTGTACACTGGGGACCCGTCTGGGGCCCAGGACTTATCTCCACTTATTTTTCTCACCTTGAGCTCTGACAGGTCAGACTTCAGAAAGCTTAAGAGCGACATAGTTTCTGAGGCGATATCAGGGTTGGACATGGATATATGGTTTTTCTTAGTATCACCATCCCCACCCTTTGCTCTGCTTGATGTCGTATTCTCACCAACCCCAACGGCTGTCGATGGCCCGCCTTCTCTGGCAAGTACACTAGATGAGGGGGTGACTGTAGACACAATCTTAGGGCGCAGAGGGGTACGGGAGAAGTTATCCCCGTGGCCAAAGCTTGGGGAGCGGTACATGGTAAAATTCCCATGGTATGTTTTACTCAGCATGGACAAGGATGCAGTTTTGCCAGTATTACCTCCTTTTCCAACCGCGATGAAAGACACACTTGCTGCACGGTTGGCGCAGCCAGCCTGGTCCTCCTCCTTCAGAGTCTCAGTGCTGGAGTATCGACTGCTGCAAAGTGAACCACCAGGACTGGACAAAAAAGGGGGGATATTGACCTTTGACACTCGCGATACACCGGGAAGTGTCGTGGATGTCGCAGGTGAGGAGATGCGCTCCCATTGCTGCACCCTGGCTCTGTTACTGCTGGGTTCTTTTACAGAGTGGCTCCGACATACAGTTCCTGCCAATTCACCCCCGGCCTTTTGCTGGTTTTGCCTCTCTGGATGCTCCATTGTCACAGTCGTGTCCCTGTCGCTGTCTTCTGACTCACCATCGTGATCATCGCGGCCCGTTGCAAAAGCAGCTCCGCTGACCTTCTTCTTCTTCCTCAGCGAGCGGCGGCGCACGGCCTCTCGGCTGTGGGGGCCTATAGAACCAGGGCTGTCCTCCTCACTGCCTGAGGACCTACCGATGCCCTTAGCACCCCACCAGCCATTTTTACTGCGGGGAAAATAGCCACCTCCTCGCTCGGTGGTGCCCCGTTCTCCTGCTCTGTAGGAGATGCAAGGAGCCGGGCCAGAAGGAACACTCCAACCGCCTCCACCACCCCCTCCTCCTCCTCTTCTTCTCCTAGTGTGCTCCTCCTCTTCGTCTCCAGAGCTAAACCTCCAGCGGGACCGGAGAGGAGAGACAACTCTTGCCGGGGCTCTTACCTCCGCGGAGGGAGGTACAGTACAGGAGGAGGTAATGGCTTTATCTGGACCTGGAGCAGAGGAGGGGGTGGGGGCTGGAGCTCTAGAGGAGCTATGTGAGGAATGTAAACTATCCCTGGGCAGCCCGACCCCCTGTCTGTCCCTTCTCTCCCTCACTGTTGGCCGCTGAATAGAGGAAGAGCAGGAGGAGGTGTCGAAGCTCTCCGTCTGACTCCGAGACGAAGTAGCAAGGGGTTGAAGGTCAGGGCCGGGGTCAGATGTCGGCCCCGTCGTCCTGAGGGACTTGGGGGCAGCCTCTGACTCAGTGTGGGGACTGTGAGATCTGTCTGGAGATGGGTTAATCCTCTGGAAGCGTCCACCTCCGGCGCAACCACGGCCGCTACTGCTGCCGCTTTGAAAAGTATCTACGCCAAAAACTTTAGTGTTATTGGAACTTTGTTTCTCCACGGCTGCCTCCTCATCATTTGAAAGCAGCTGGTGGTCGGTTTTGGAGTAAAAGTCCATACCTGCATAAAAAGTCTGTTTAACGGTGTTGCCTTCTCTGCTTTGAGCTCCAACTATGCATTTGCCATGCAAAGCAAGGACATTACCCTCATTAGCAGAGCTGCAAGGCGAGAGTTTGTCACTTCTATCCGAAAGAAAGGCACTCTCACTGGGGCTGAGCTCGTGTAAATGTCCTCTGCTGGCTGCTTTTAGATTCTCAGAGGAGTCGGTCTTATGCTTTGCGTCTTGACTCTCATCGAAAAGTTGTCTGATTTTGGTGACACTGGGCCACTTGTCAGAGTGCGGGGGAATAAAGTCACCGTGGTGTGTAAAGCAGTAACTTCTGTGAGATTTACACGCTGCGGGAACCCCTCTGACAGTAACATCCTCTTCCTCATCGGTGGTCACAGGCTTTCTATGATCAGAGGGACATGCATTAACATGAGAATAATCTCTCTTACCAGAGTTGCTGTCGGTGGATAAACGTTTAAATTTCCACCTCTCACTCTTCTGCTCAGACTCCGACTCCGTTTCGGAGTAAAACTTTTGCACTTTGTTGTCCGTCTGTGACTCTGCTGCTGCAGCAGTAGTAGCAGTAGCAGTAGTAGTGGTAGTAGTAGTAGTGGCAGTACTATCACTGTGCAGGATATATCCACCACCACTGTCCTGGTGAGAAGATTTACGACACGGGGACCGGTCTCTCGTGGAGCCCGTTGCCCGGGGAAGAGTGCCGCTCCCCGGCGTCACCGCTGCGCCGTCTGCGGGGGAAGCTGCGCGCGTCCCGGCGGATCTGCTGCTGAACCTCTCGGTGAGCTGTCGGATGGATGGGGAAATAGAGGAGAAAGGAGCAGAGGAGTTTCTCTTCGGATCTGCGGTCGGGAGGCCGGCGGTGGTGCTGGTGGTGGCGGCGGTCGAAGAGATTTTGGAAACTTTTCTGGACACGCTGACATTACGCGTCGCCAGGGGCTGTTCTGCTTTGCTGGGCTCCGGGGGAAGGGCGACACCAGCCGCCTCCGAGTCCTCTGGGTTGTGCTGCTGGTCTTCAGTCCCGCTGTCGCTCCAGGACGCAAACTTTTTGAAAGAAACGCTGCGATACACAGGCGCATTCTTCCTCCCTCTCGCTGCCATTGTTCATGTCTTTCTTTGTTAGATTTTCACGCACACATTTTTTTTTTAGCTCCACGAGAATTACGGATCCAAGCACCTTTTTGGAGTTGTGGTCTTTTTTTTTGTTCTTCTCTTCCCCCACGCAGCCTAACGTGAATGTAGCAACAACGACTCTTTGAGAACGTGTGTTTGCGAGCACTGATAACAAAGTGAGCCAAGTGGTAATCCGTCCATTGAGTAACAACGAGGGCGCCGCTCTGCTATCAAAACTTACATGTTGTCGATTCCCGAAACCGCATCCGTGCAAGGAGGAAAACTCTTAAATTGAGTTGGCCCAAACCTCCCCAACCTGTACACAAACACAAGCATCCATTGTGAGTCCCTTAATGTTTCCAAACTTTAGCCCCTCGCCGGGTTAGCGCGCCTGCACAGGCCCGACGCATCATCCACTCCTGATCCCCCCCAAAACTGTTTGTGGATTCCTTATTTTGGTATGATTTGGTTTCCCGTGACTTATGTTGTTTTTTGCATGTTAATGCCTGAGATAGGGCAGAGGGGGTGGGCGGGACTAGGGGTATAGGGGCTGTCATAGCCCCCCTCAGGGATTGAGAGGAAAAGCTTTTTTTTCCCTTGTGTTTTTTTTGGGATAAAGGACGGATGAGGTGTAATTATAGCCCTTTCCTTGCGAAAGACAAAGTACTCAAAGAAACATTTTGAACCTGTTGCATTTTTGTGATTGATATGAATAGGAATGTTTCACTATCCACACTATTCGTTGTGGGTGTTTATTGTATGTTGATACAATAAACACCTTTCTGTTTCTTTTAGAGTGAAACGCTCACAGCGCGGTGCCCTTTAATCTCCTTTCTACATCAACCACAAAGACACAAATGCCCAGCAAATGCTGCGGAGCTTCTCGTGAGGCTGTCCGGTTAACAGGTCCTTTTGTCCCAGAGAGAGTGTCGCGTTCCCTCAGAGGGGGAACCAGCGGCTGACTGCAGCGCCCTCTGCAGGCTGACCTGTTCAACGACAGGTCACTGTGGCAGGCGGCGGACTCATGTGCTCTACTCCCCTTATCCACAACTTCAAGTTAACGTTCTGGGCATTAGAATGGCAGCAAACAGTTATGTGCTATGTGAATGTATGATGAAGGAGAAAGAACCCCCCCCCCCCCCCCCCCCCCTCACCCACTGTGAGTGTTATTGTCACACATGTTGGCTACGATAGTGGATAATGTCGTCCTGACCGACAGCTGGTCGCACTAGTGGCACAGCAATCAGAACCCCCCTTCAGATAAGCACTTTTCAGCATTTTTTTGCAACGGTGGCCTTTGGCATGTTGAGAGCCGCTGAGAGGTAATCCAAAAGTTTTGAATATGGTATTCTGCACCTTATTATTGTTACATGTTACCCGTTGGGTTGGATGCTCAGATAAAGTTTGTGACCGTGCATTTTGTCCAATAACTTCAAAAGTATTTGTGTAAATTGAGTATTATATTTCAGCTTGCGGTCCACATGTGAGCAGGTTAAAGAACAAACACAAAGTTCAAGTTGTGAAAAAGATAATAGACACTATATTCACTTTGTCTGAATGAAGCAGTAGGCATTCATAGTTCATAATTTAGTACATTTTTTAATGATGTTTTTTTTTTTGTTGTTACGAAAACATCCAAAACATACTCAAAGGGCCTGCATGGTAAGAAAATATGTATATGTATATATTCATGTATATTCAGAGTAGCATCTACTAAAATGTTGATGCTACTCTGTGATGTATTTACAAAAAATAAAAGATCTTCAAAATAATACTGAATGACACAAATATGTTGGCACAGTGTATTACAAGTAGTCAAATATTTTGAAAAAATAAAATCTAATTTATGATTTACCCAAATAAACACACATAAATACAACAACTAGACCTAAGCATTCACATTTTGCCAAAGCCTGAAGCACAACCTACAGTATATTACTACATTAGTGAGCATAGATGCTGTGCACATACATGCACATATTAAGAAGAACTCAACATTTTAAGCACATGACCCCCTATTGCGGTCAGAATTTTACTTGCAATGCACAAAATGTGCACGTTTACATTTAACCAAAATACACAATTCATTCAGGGAGGCACGGAATGAATGTGAGTGTGAATGGTTGTATGTCTCTGTGTTAGTCTTGCAATTGGCTGGCGACCAGTCCAGGATGTACCCTGTCTATCGCCGAAAGATGGCTGGGATGGACTTCAGCCCCCCTGCGTGCAGGATAAGAGGTTTGACAATAGATGGATGGATGGCCACAATTCATTCCCTGATGAGTACAAAACTCAAAACATGATTGCACCTTTGAACCTTGTGTTTAAGGGTTTCACAAAAGGTTGTCAGTTACAGTCCATTGAGATACATATGTATAACAAATCATCAATCAATTAAGATATTATCTTCATTTTGATACCAAATTGGGCCTTATCTCATCTACGGCATAGATACAATATATCCATTGTTTTCTTCACAGTGTGCGTCTGAAAGACAAGTTTCAAAAGTAATTACAAAGTATCTGTATACTCTGCACAGACTGCATCCAGTTAGAGCTACCAAAACAGCACTAAGTACTAACAATTCACACGTACTCAAGAGTACCACCTTAAGAATACAGAGATTCTTTTCATAAATGTCTCTTCTCCAATATTAATTGGATCATTTACACAAACACAAACTTTGGTTAAGTTCCATCGGTGGAGGGGACGTGCTGGAAATAAATCCTTATTTCATTGGGAGGGATCCTACACTAACAGGAAGTGGCTAAGCCTTTATTTTGTTACCTAAAACAGCATTTGTCCTTCCCTCTTAAGTATCTAATGTGTCCAAAGCACAGCTCTGTTGAAGGTACGTATGGTGTATGTACAGCACCCTGGAATCGCAATAAGTTCCACAAGAGGAATACGCTGCGATTGCTGCACCGGTTGATGCTCATTCTACGCATAACGTTTTAAGATAACGCTTTTTGACATCCCACTGCCCCTCCATGTTCTGACCGCGTTAGGAAGGCTCTTTGTTGCCCTGGGCGGTAGGTAAAAGGAACTTACATTAGAACATGCACAAGGAAACTCTGCAACAAGTCCATGCACCACCTCGCAGCCTCCTCGGATCCAACCCCGGTGTAGACAGCAGCCTTTCAGAAGACGCTGTTGCAGGAGGCGGTCTCCCGTCGGCTCACTCGCTGCTCCCCTTGTCCCTGCGGGTGGTGACTCTGACCACGAACCGCCTGGTGCTGCGGCGGTAGCGCGGCTGGGTGAAGTAAAACAGAATGGGGTCCAGGAAGCTGTTCATGCTGGCAAACGGCCGGGTGCTTTTGTAGATGATGGAGAACAGGTTCCTGGTCTCGCAGGGCGCCCCGGGCAGGGTGCGCACCACCAGGTACACGGTCTTGGTGAAGTGAAACGGCAGGAAGCTGATGCAGAACACTGTGGCCACCACAATGATCATCCTCACCGCCTGGTCCCGTTTCTCCCCGGTCGCCATGGAGACGCCCCGGTATGTCACCGGGCGGCAGAGGATGCAGGCCATCCGACAGTAGCACACCATCACGCCGATGAAAGGCAGCAAGAAGCCGAGGCAGGTCAGAGCCATGCCGTAGGGGTAGTAGTCCAAGGAACTCTTGGGGGTACTCAAGTCGTAACACACCGTGCGGTTCCGCTGGGTTCCCGTTGCGGCGAAGTGAAAGGTGGGCGCGCACAGGACGACGACCACCAACCACACCCCGCCGCAGATACACCACGCCAACCTGATACCGCCTTGCCTGGGCCACATGGCCATAGGATGGCAAATGCCCACGTAGCGTTGCACACTGATGCAGGTGAGGAAGAGGATGCTGCCGTGCAGGTTACTAAGAGAGTAACACGAGAAAAAGAGAATGCTCAGTCAAATTCTCATTAAGCCGTACTACTCTAAAAGATTATTAGCAAATAGTTGTCACCTCACCTGTAGAACTGAAACCTGACCAGTTTGCAGGTAAACTCCCCAAAGGGCCAGTGGTCGTGGCTGCCGTAGTTGTAGATGAGCAAGGGAAGCGACATCACGTACAGGAAGTCGGCTATGGCCAAGTTGAGCATGTAGACGTTGCTTTTGGACAGTTTGGGCCGAGTCCTCCATATCTTCAGTATGACGGCAACATTAAGAGGAAGCCCGAGCAGGAAGACCAACGTGTACACGGCAGGGAGTAGTATGCGTTTGAAGTCCTCCTTGTAGGTGCAGCGAAGGGCGCCGGACACGCTGACGTTGGCCACGAAGCCGTCGGCCGCGTACGTCTCTGGAGGCCATGCGCTGGTGGAGAAGGAGTCCGAAGGGAAGGAGTCCGAGATGAGAGTTTCGGTCTGGAAGGAGAGTGGCATCTTTACTTCCTAGAGGAGACATGGAGAGACGCAAAAGGTTATCGACCAAAATGAAACGAGAGTGATGACGTGCAAATGCACAAATGAAGGCTTTAATTTAATGAATTATCCCCAAAGGAAACGTTGTATTTCTATCTAGTAATGCGGATCAACATTGCTACGTTGGAAGACGTGATGCTGCAAATGTTTTTATGTACAGGTTGAATCTGATCAGTAAACATGAAGGTAAAACAGATTTAGCATTAAGCCGTTGAATTCATATTAAACATACGTGGCCTGGCATATAAAATTAATGTTTTTGGAGTTCTTGATGAGGTATATTTAAGTGTCCTAAACTTAGGCAGAGAGAAGTTCTCCACCAGAGGGCACAAGAGAACACAACTTATGCCTGGACACTGGAATTTTCCATTGAGCATTATTTTACTGGAATTAAAGTACACAACCAGTGGCAGTGAACAGTGGTGAAAGTGTTTTAGTAAAAGTAGAAACAGTTGTACCCTCTCATTGATAAAATTGCTGCATTAACATGTGGGCATTCTATTGTTGAAGCTATAAAACATGTGATGTCAACTCTTATTTTCTTCACATGGCGCCGGATAGCGTGACCGTGACCGGTGTTCCCCAAAAAGGAAAAAGGAGCAATTTGTGATTTACCGAATGATTTAATCTCCCCGGAACAGTATTCTAGATATTACATCACAATAAACTGGCCCCCTGTGATTGTTGCTACACGGTGGTCAGTCTGTAAGGACGGCACTAATAAATAGTGGCCCAGATGGCTTATTAAGAGTATGATAACTGAATCCTCCCGACCCGTTATAACAAATGGAAGCCGGACAGCTTGAAGTTACGAAAGGAAAACCGCCGCCGACATTCTAGCCTCCCACTCACAGCTCGCTGTCTGGAACAGGCTGTCAGGCGTCCCAATTACTGCTCCCACCACTAACATCAATCATACGCATTTGCTTCATGGCAGCATGTGGTCGTGAGGGCTTGGCTTAAGCCCCTTTGTATAGTCCTCTCAGACGGTGACTCATTCACAAAATGAAATGATTTTTTTTTTTAAATGAAACTGCGAGTCTGCATGTGTTGTGTGTATGTTGTACTTCAGCTCCTCCGCGTGTGTGTGTGTGTGTGTGTGTGTGTGAGACAGTTTGTTGTGACGCATGATTTCATAATTCCTGCCACAGTAAACGAAGGAGAGGAGGGAGCGGACCATAAAAGATCTCACTGCACCGAGCCAGCGAGCAGGCGGCGAGAGAACAACAAAGGATTTCCGAGTGAGCACCGCGGCCAGCTCTGCCTGCCGATGACTCACCTCCAGTCAGGTTCAGGTTTTCTTTTGTATTTGATGAACGTGCCTTTATCAAGAAAGGCCTCGAGCCCGAATGCCTTGGAAATGTCAAGGCCCGTTGACAATCGCCCGAAGCCTTCTGAAGACACTGCACTTCAGAAAGGGATTCCTGATTAACTCTGCGAATCACACGTTCGAGGATGTAAGGGGGCTCTTGTAATAGCTGAAGTGGCCTCTTGTGGTCAGCTTTGGTGAGTAGAAAAGGGTGAAGAAAAGTCAAGTTCTTAAATTCCCAGCGATTGTCTCATTGAAAGAGTATGTCTTTATTTTAGGAAAGTTAATAATATGATATTTATATCTGTTCCTGTAGGCTGGACCGATTGGATGGTAAAGGTCAAGCGCAGAGCTAGGCTACATGTTGGTAGGCATATGGATAACAGAGATACATTACTAGCTAGTACCAGTCTGTTTGTTTTTCTGTCCACACCCACAATGAAAGTAACTAAAGTCATAAATGAGGTAAGCGTGTCGGATAACAGTAACATGCTGCCACAGGCAAACTTAAATTTCTATTACTGAGAAATATGTTGGCAAATGTAACCTTCCAGTTAACACATCTCTTGTTACTACTATTGCATTAATAAAACAACAAAACAAACAAAATAAATGCATCGTTTTTATTCATTGTACAAACACGCTCTATTTTGAAAGAATCAACGTCGAGCACATCAACATGCTCACACGATCTGCTAGGTTCAGATTATCACCGTGGGATGATGTTCATGTGGAAATAACGATACGTTCGCTTTCCTCAAAATGTGGTTGATGTAAGAATTTAATGATAACTGAATGTCAGTGCTCCTGAAAAACAAGCTGTGCAGCTTTCTGCATCCATAGTTGTAGTAATCTTGGCAATCTTCCAGAAACAAGTATCCTGAAAGCTGTTAGTAATGCCATATTGAGTGGAAAATCCTTATTAGAAACATATGGAATGTCGTTTTAGTCTAAATTAAATAAATTAATAAATACATGATATATGCATTTGAAATACATCATGAAATAAATAAATTAGGCAATAAATACATAAATATTAAATACATTTAATTATTTCATGGTACTTTCATATCATAATGCCTTGTCCAAGACTTATTTCATAATGCCGTTTTACATTTCACGTTCTTATATGCAAATCAGGGGGCGTGGCTACATCTAACATTCAGAACAGACAACAGAGAAAGAAGGCTGGCTAAGGGTCGTGAGATTAGCGCTGCTACTACAAGCACAGGTGCTGGACGCTCGCCTCTGGATATTCCTGGATATTGGATTTCTCGGGTTGATAGAGCGGACAACACAAAGTGAGCCAGCTTGTCGCCAGGAATATCCAGAGGCGGGCGTCCAGCACCTGTGCTTGTTGTACCAGCGCTAATGTTGACTTCTTCAACTTGGACCTCTTCCACACGCACGCGGTGCTCAATCAGTCTTAAACAATTTAAAACTTCGTCGTCTATGTATACATCTTGAAGAGCACTTATCCGCCATAGTATTTCCAAAAAACCGTCACTATGTGTCAAAATCGTATCTGCAGAAAACCCATGTTGATGGATTTGATCTGCTAATGCTAGCATGCTACCTCGGAGCCCACCGATGTCTTCCATCATGTCAACACTCACGTCCCTTAGCCAGCCTTCTTTTGCACACGGCTCTGTTGTCTGTTCTGAATGTTAGAAGTAGCCACGCCCCCTGATTTGCATATAAGAACGTGAAATGTAAAACGGCATTATGAAATAAGTCCCTGGAAATGAAAAACGTCATTATGAAATAAAAGACTCTGGAAATGAAAAGTGGCATTATGAAATAAAAGACTCTGGAAATGAAAAGTGGCATTATGAAATAAAAGTACCATGAAATAATTAAATGTATTTAATATGTATGTATTTATTGCCTCATGTATTTATTTCATGATGTATTTCAAATGCATATTTCATGTATTTACGTATTTATTCATTTATTTAATTTTGACAAAAACGGCATTCCATAGAAACACACCATGTTCATTCTCAATGGAGAATGAAAACCTTTTCTATACACTGGTTATGAATGGAGATTCTTTCCCTGGATCAAGTAAAGCTTTTTAGTAAACCAACATTTACACTTATCTGAGAAAGAAAGGTGCAGTAAATGCTCGCTGGACAGCACGACTGTACATGCAACAATGAGCAGATGAAAGATGACCTAAACTGCCTGGCAACAAATATAGCCATCAATCACTGGCGTTCACGCGCAGCATGGAGGGGTGTGGCTTGTCTCCATGAATGCAGTCATCAATTAATTATGTGATTTCTTTCGAAATAACTGATTCATTTCTGCTCGGTGCTTGTATCTGAACGTCTCATAGATACCGATTTCATCGTTCTGTATCAATGTCGTTCTTTCTTTTTAAACACGGCTAAAAAGGGACGTCGAAACAGTTACACAAGCTTGCCAATTTGAAAATGTCTGAATTCATGTATTGTTAGATTCTCTCCACAAGACGACAATCAAAACAACTTTTTAAATGGTTGTGTTCTCAATGGAGTTGGGCTTTGCTGCCATTGTAGCAGCCCCTGCAGCACTCCAAATAACTTGATCTATGCGTAAAACGCGAGTAGTGGATTTACACGGACTTAATTACTTCCAAAAGGGGGCTTCGCGCGAGGTGTTTGCGCGGCATTATTCTGAGTTTTCGTCCCGTCGAAAAGGAGAGTGGAGAATGCGGGCATCGATCCCGCTACCTCTCGCATGCTAAGCGAGCGCTCTACCATTTGAGCTAATTCCCCTCCGCAGCACCAGGCCGGAAAGGATTTAAATACTTGCGTCCTCTGTTAGGGACTCCATGCTCCGCTCATTTGTCACTCTCTTTTTTAACACATGCTTGACTAGAGAGGAATGCTGCTGCACACTTTCTGCCCTCAGACGTGCCAAGAGGCAGAGCTGTGGGTATCACAGGATTATTTATATAACACCATTTCAAGAATGTGACCATAGCTCGGGACAAATATAGGAGATTACCAACTCAACATGATCCCAAACAGGGTCATAAATCAGCCAACCCGTATAAAGCTTTAGCAATTATTCTGCATATGGATTTGGTACCGTGGATAAGGTGACATGACTCAACTGAGGAGCGTGTTGACAACACATTTTGATTCATTCACTATATGCTGAATACTACTAAAAACAGATAGTGACTAGAAGTTTAAAATAAAGGATTTAACAGCTGGATGAACAGATCTTGTTGGTGGAGACCACAAGAGAAAATAATCAAAGTAAATGAATATTAGAACATTGGAGTGTCATTCATCTGATGGAATTGAACACAGCTCCAAATTAATACTTACGCTGCTCTGTGTCTGATGGAGAGATGATTAAACAAATGTATGCAAGAATTTTTAATAAATGAACATGAAAGAGTGAAAAAGAAATCCTCAAATTTGAGCAGCCAGTGTTTTTGCTTGATATGAACTATTGATTGACTTTTTTTGCCACTTTCCTTTAGCCTCCTCACAGACGCTGCCCTGTGAATGAACTATACTGAGCCGGTAATGACGGGCAGAGAGAGAGACAACTTACTAATGAACTTAGCTAATATGGTCCGGGCTAATAAAAGTCAATCCGTCCTGAGAACAGACTCCGTAGGGTCATTACCCGGGAAGTATTTAAAACCAATCAGCTGCACCATAAACCGACTCATGGGTGATGAAGAAGGCTGGTGTTCACACACACACACACACACAGATATACCCAGGAGAAGAATAAACCATGTGCTTCTTACACGAGACCCGACTTCAATCAATCAACGGGCCTGAAAAACAACTTCAAACCCTCAGAGAGCTCAGACCATCTCTCACATGCAAAGTGGCAAACGCATTTGAGTTAATCCTCAGCATTCCTGGGCTGAGCTTTCTCTGGAAAAGGTGGACGTGTATACGCCGATTGTTTGATTCCAGTGCAGCGGTTTCCAAAAGGCACAAATATGGACTGAAAACTCGAGTATCGTAAATCCTTTCTTGCAGAGCCAAACCAAGAGCCAGTTTACTTCTATAGCCAACTGAGTAAGTGCACATGGACCGGAGTATCACACTCACACACACACACACACACACACAGCTGCGAGGTGACAGCACACAGATCCCCTGTCGGTTAGTCATTTCTCGTAGCCAAAAACGTGTCGGTGCGAGTCTCTGTGAGGATTTGGACTGATGATTTCGTCAGGCGTGTACAGGCCGACGCTCTCTGCCGAGCAGTTGCCACACTGCCGGGGAAGTGAACACAGATCTGATGGAACAAAATAAATCAAACGGGAAGACGGGGGAGTAGAGCATCGCTCATTTCTGGTCTGGGTGGCACAGAGGGGAGGAGAGGCGGTGGGGGGGGGGGGACAGTTTTTGACAAGTATTTTGGGGGGGGAATTTGTCAGCTTGGTTCCAGACTTTTGAGATATCGTCCGTCTTCTCCCAATTTGTTCTGCAATTCAAAAGTTGCGCCTGGTACCGTTTAGCTGGCGTCCCAGCCAACACCATGAATCAGAATAACTGTGATAGAAAAGTGTAAATGGAATACCTACAATCACAGAGATGTCCGGAAAGCCAAACTTGTAAGAAATGTGTCCTAAAAGCGGACAATCAACAGCAGACACACAAAAAAGGCACAACTGGACATATTCTCTTCCTTTACACGCCTCTATCGTTAGAACGACAAGGGCCGACTACTGATGCATTAATACTTTCAGCTCACTTCCCAGGTGACCGTAATTGTTATTTATTCTTTTTTTACTGTTGATAGAAAAACATGTTTTTCCCAAACTCAAGCTGCTGCAAGTTGCTGTAAGCGCCTGATACGCACCTTTGGGGGAAGCTAAAAAGCTTAACTAGCATTTGGCCCGTGCCCTGTGGTGGATGCTGTCATGGGACTGTGGTGCTGAGGCGATGCGAATGCAGAGTCATTCAACTCTAAAAGGCGGGACAAAAACAAACGGTCCGATTGCCCCGATGCAACCCTGACATTCTGTAGAGCTCTCAGACCAGTGGAGCCACATTCATCTTGGGTCACTCACATTAAAACTTGGCTGGGCCGCTCGGGGAGGCCGTTTCTGAGATATTAATGATCGACTCTGAGGGGGGGTAATAGTTTCCACCGAACCTTTTATAAATTTATTGAAAGTCATTTCAGTGAATACTGAGGATTTGCTGTTTCGCTTTGTTTTGCGGGACATTGCAGGTTTTAGAAGGTGGTGCACTTAAGAGAAAAAATGCCATTTGTCAAGGATATTGATCTTGGATAACATCATCCTTCTGTGGTTCTTCACGCTTCTAACTCGAATCATCTTTGTATAAGATGCATAGAATCGCCTTTCACTGCAGCACTAAAAAAGTCAAATAGAAATGTCATTTGCAAATATGAATATGAGATTATTGAAATTTCCAGCCGAGATGTCAACAAGTAACGTGCCTCCTCAGCGCATCGTTTCATTCTGACCTTTCTGCAAAAGCACCTCAGCAGGGTCAACAGGGTCAGAGCCCAGTAAAAGCCCTGTTGCCCCCCGAGGCAGAGCACCGCATCAGGTTAATGCCTTGCCTCAGGGCACTGCGCCCCTGGTTCATTTGATTCGCCGGAGTTCACTGACCCAGACATTCCTTCATATTCATGTTGGTTTCTGACTCGTTTTAGTACCAGAACCATCTTGTTTGGACCTTGAGTCTGAAATAAAAGTTTGATTGATTGATTGTTGTTGTTGTTTTATGTACCTGGTTTAAAACAACTTACAACTACAACCATGTATTGCTGTCCATTGTCTTTCTGCCTGATGTTAACGCACCAACCCCCAAGTCAAATTCCTTGTGTGTCTGACACATTTTGGTAATAAATGTCCCCGATTCCTGATTCCTGAACTAAACCAAAACGCGCACTGAGAATCTCACCTTGTGCAGCTGAGGCACGATGTGCGCCAAAGGTCGCGACAAGTGTTTCACTCCTTCGGCAAACAACATCCAATAACAACACAGAACAAACAAACAAACACAAACACACACACACACACACACACACACACACACACACTTACCGTGAGCGACGGCGAGACAAATCAATAGTTGGTCACATCAACAAGTGGACGCCATCGGGGCTGCTGCTTTCTCTCTGCAGCGAGTGGGACCCGCGTGGGGAGGAGGGGGGGGGGGGTCCTGTGGGAGGGAGGGGGTTCCTGTGTGGGAGGAGGAGGAGGGGGGTTTTGATGGGAGGGAGGGGGTTCCTTTTTTGTGGGGGGGGGGGGGGGGGGGGACAAGTGGGCGCGAACCGGAGCGGGATCTCGGTGCCGCGGAGCTCCGGCAGTTAGTGTCTTTCTGCAGAAGCGAGTTAATCTCCCGCGAGGTCGATCCGGTTGCTGCACGCTGCCGCGCTCGCGCGCCACGACGGGGCCGTGCACGCGCAATCGGTGGGTGTGTCGCGCAGAGTGAAGGATCTGTTTTTTACTACTACTACTACTACTTCTTTACTCCTTTAACTGTTGTACGCGCCTTTCACTTGAACTACACTTGTTTTTTTCGTACTCTCCGAAACATCAGAGATTCAAATGTGAGGGTGAAAATCTGTTACGCTTATGTTAAGAACCTCTCCTGCAAAAGCAATAAAATATCATAAAACGTCATGTGATTTACTGCAGGTTTTGCAACAGCGTTGAAGCTTAAGCCAATTTGGATGAGTCACTTGTTGAATCCAAGGGTTGACATTGCTTGTATTAAAAGCTTCAACAAGTGGCTTAGTAGTGCAACAAGGACATTTTTAATCCTTTTGGCAAGTGTTCTTTTTACAAACGGGCATTCTTTAGGGTTGCATTCATAATGAGGTCACGATGTAAAATGGGAATCGGTGCAACTGGAGTCTCGACTCGTTGGGGTTTTATTGTTCTCGTATTTGATTTATGAACATTGCTGTTTCCTGCTCAGCATCCGGTCTCCAACGCATTATATATATATCATATATATCAGCCCATCTGATGAAGTTAACTTGCCACATAACAGATGACGGAAATTACACACATCTCAGAACCAACAACGCTACTTTGTTCACCACAAAGCACCAATAGCTGTGAATTCCATGAATAGGTTTGGTTGAACAATAGAATATGACCTAATGTCCAGATTTGCAATTTAACAGCAATTAGTTCTCTTCAACATTCAGATGGAGGTCGACTATTTGGAACAGAACTGTTCTCGTAAAAAAAAGATTTGATTGATTCGTCACATATAAAAGCACCACGACATTGTGGCTCAGACTTGGATTGAATCTATTGTTGATGAAGAAATCCTCCTCAAAAAGTCCAAGTTGGGAGTTAGGGGTCGTGAGAAGGAGACAAACAACTTGTGTTTATGAGCTGAAATCCAGTGGAACTTGAGTGTTTGCTGGAGTCAGCCACAGCTGGGACACGGAAATTAAACAAGAGCAGTGAATATCTGACCTCAGATATCAGGCGCTCGGACCGTTGGTCGTTACTCTCAAACTTTGCAAAATACAAAAAACTAAAACATGTCTGCACATAGAAATATACTGAATCTTGAAAAAGTCCTTCACAGGTACAAAGATACTACCAACCTAACCAAGACGGATTTCATGGAAAACGGATCAATGTAAGAGGATGAAGTCACTTCAAATCCGTGGATTTATAAACAGACACATGGTGGTGAAACGGTGTGACATGTTCAGACAGAGAAGTAAGTTCATTTCCCTTCAGAAACTACTGGCCAAAAGCTTAATCATCACATTTCGTAATGATTATGGAGTATCGTAAGAGCCTCTCTGAGCCTTCTGGGCCTCCGCCCTTCTCTTTCGTCTGGAGGACGGCTGGAAAAGCTAGAACGTTGAACCCATCTTCGGGAAGGGGCCACTTTGAGAGCACGCAGAATCTGGACCTGGTCTTTATTTAGCAAAAGTCATGTCATCAGTAGTCTTTAAGTGTGCTGTAAAAATAAACGCGGTGCATTTCAGACTTGCAAGTCACATGACATACTAAGAATACTTTCTTTTTTTTGTTTTGAAGATGCATCTCTGCATTCTTCCCGGCTGAGTCTTCTCGCCCCGTTTTGATTGGATGACAGGATAAATTCTTTATTTGGAATTTTATTTCACACCGCTCACCAGATAGCTGTCGAGAGTTTGTTGTGTTTTTTTCCCCCAACAAAGTGCTTTCCCTGTATTGTGATGATCCAAAAGCTTGTGTACACCACTTGAGCTGAAGGATTCCTTTCAAACCTCCACGCGGTGTCACAGGTCTGTAAATTCCTTCAGAGATGGAATGTTTTGCCGACCGCATCTGGTTCTGCAGGTTGCCTTCCACCGTCACACACTTAAAAACTCGAAAAGTGACACCTGCAGCCAATTGTGTGCGATGATGCGTCGATGCTCAGCATGCACGGCGCGGTTGGAGTGTGTCCAACAGGATGTTATCATTGGTTATGTTTTTTTGTGTCAGCTGAATATTCCGGCACTGACAATCTTAAAACACCGAAAGTCGTTTCACCAGTTCTCGTTTAAGACGAACCACAACAAACATGGGAGGCAGAAGACACAAAAATGATTTTAAGATATCAGAAGCTTTCCCTTCTTCTAGGAATGTGCTGCTGCAGGATGTGGCATTCGTTCCTTCCTATTGTCAGATATAGGAAGCAAAAACAGGACACTGCAGTCTGTAGGATGGAGAAATAGTGTGCAGCAGTAATAATTTATTTCAGGGGAGTGTCACATGTCACATTGGGAAATAAGGATTGTACAAAGATGTGCGTTTGGTAGTTTTATCACGACAAATCTACAAAAAATCCCCCCACATGATTAGAACCTGCAGTAATCGGGACAAAAGAACAAAACAAAGAAAATCAAGCAGAAATCAAACAATAAAAAATACGGTTATTTAATTGAAACAGTTTTAACGTGAACTGACTGAAAAGCAGAGATTAAGTTGCAGAAGTGGCTCGATGTGGAGCTGTGAGGCTTTATGATCCGGCCTGCAGGATCCCAACTGATAATACATAATATTGAGCACTGCGGCTGTAGAGGTTCATTAGTTATCACTTTGATGGATTCATCCGGTTGTGTAGTTGATTAAAGCTCCGGTTGCCTGCATGCACATGCGTGTGTGTGCGTGTGTGCGTGTGTGCGTGTGTGAGAGAGATGGAGTAGGGAGTAAACCAGATACCACTAGTTAAACAGACTGAAGACGCACAACTAGCGCTGCAACTCAAATTTCTCAGTTATACGATTGGAAAATACTTGTTGAAGCGTCCACAACTGTTCTATATATTTATAGACAGATTACTGTTGGCAGGACGGATTTTTTCGGCCGGCGTCACAACCAGAAATCAATTAATCGTCAGTGATAAACGCATGAGTTGTGTGTGTTGGGTGGGTAGGTGTGTGTCAGTGTTTGTTCAGGACTGCGTTCATCTGGATGAGTGGTGTTTGCTGTTGCTCAACCCAGTCGGATATCTGCTCATGGATGAAGGGAGAAGTGAAAGAGTGAATGTCTTGTTTTTTCAGTCACAAAGGAAATGCTGCTTCGTGCTTCTTCTATTTCAACGCCGTATCCTTACACAAGGGAGGGGGGGGAGGTGGGGGGTGACACATTAAAGTGTGTCAAAGGGAAAAGTAACGTAACACTTGCAATCTCAACTGCTTAAATTTAATTGCAAGTAAAATAATCTTGTCCCAAACTATGAACTGATAACCATCTATGACGCTATTCTAGTTTCCTGTTTCTAACACTTTGCCAGACTTCAGTTCTTTTTGCACGTTTGGAGGTTGACAAATCTCAATTTTATGAGTTTTACTCTTGGAGGGGAATATGTATGAATCCCATTGAAGGGCAACGTTTCGCTTTCATCTGAAAGTGCCACGCCCCTTTTGGCGAGTAAGAGTTCTGTGTCAAGGTGCAGCCTCGGACTTTCATTACTGTATTCGTTTCACTTCCATGGAACACGTTCTTGGCCAGGCACTTCCGTCACTACAAAATAAACCAGTTAGGCTTTGAGACTGACACGTTATTTCACATTAAAACAGAGTAAACATTTATTTAACGGCGGGTGACTGTAAAAACATCCGTTACCAGATTTTAAAGGAAGAAGACCAAACAAACCGCTGTTCCTTTTATAGGAAAATTTTAATAGTTATTCAATGTTCTACATTTTACAGTAAATATACAATTACAAACTTGGCTTAGTTATAGTACTAGATCACTAACTGATCTTTAAAAACAAAACAAAAAAAAGAAAAGAAATCATAAAAAAAAGAAAGAAAAAAAAAGAAAAAATTGAAAACAGATTTACACTTCATATCACAAGCCTGACGCTGGTCCGTCACTCTGGACCAAATAGCTAACATACAGTTCACTTCTCTCAACGCTGAACACACGTTGGGCTTCAGTTTCAAACACAACCGTACGGTAACAGATATACCATAGCATGTGCAAACTGGGTACCAAACTAAAACTTCCAAAGATGGGGTTGTTCCTAACACTCGTTCCGGGAGGGGGAGCTGGGGGGGTCGGGAGGGGGCGTACAAGTATGTTTTATTTTTTTTTGGAAGACAAGGAATTTCCACTTTTTGCATCACAATTAGTGTCAAATTAAACAACGAGATATGACAAATTATGATTGAAAAGCTGCAGCAGAACACCAAAGACATTTAAGAGCCCACTATTCACTGGGATAGTAGAGTTTTCATTTATACTTGTGAAAGTAAGTAAGACTGAGCCACTGCAGGGCAAAACGTAGAGGAAGAGGAGCAGGAGGAACGGTGCGATGAAGGCTGGAGGCCTTTCAAGGGTTACAAATGTCAAAGCTGACAGAGGAAAACCGAAAGACGATAAAAGACCCATGATTGAGATTTCTTTGCACACCGCTCCCCCTCCCCCCAACACATCAGAGTGTCCGACTGTTCATTTTCACTTAAGTGCAAATTGGATATAACGAGAGGCAAGGAATGAGGTGAAATGAAGAAGCGGCCTTACTTCGACCGTCGTCCTGAGCCTCTCTCCGGAGCCCCCCCTTTAAAAAGAGTTACAGTTTAAGAGCGTTGGTCCACAGTCCAAGAAAAGAAAACTCCACCGAAGTAAAATAAACATCATGGAGAAAAACCCTGTGAGGTTTAAAAAGGGTGTTTTTAAAAGAAAATATCGGAATTTAGAAAATGAATAGATCTCAGTGCTCAAAATATGTCGTCCAATTGTGCTTCTTAGATGGAAACGACACCCAGAAATGATTCGTTTGACGCTTTGGCTCAAAGCCTTGAACCGGTGATGCCACTTACAGACTGTCACAGGCGACATCTAGTGTTTAAAAAGGCTCAGTGGAGATTTTCCAATTACTGAAAAAAAAAAAAAATGACAACAAAAAAGGGGAAAAGTTGTGACCGAGACGAGTTGGTGAGGGTGGCAAAGGTCAGACTGGCAGCGCATGAAGACCAAGAACACAGAGCAGCGTGTTAAAGGAGCGAGAGGTGGAGCAGGACATGTGATCCGACATCATTTTGCATCCCGGGATGAAACAAAAAGTGTTTAAACGGTCGGAGGGATGCAGAATGGCATCTGAAGTGAAAATAGGGTCAACAGAGGACACAGCAAGAAAGATAATCGTGGGAATACGCACCAACAACAATGTGAGGGAGGGGACAGTAATAGGAAAACACAGATTCACAGGAAGCGAGACATAACAAGGACTCAAGAGTTCACCAGTCACTTAGGAGGAGAAACTAATATGTACTTTCGGGAAAATATGGCACGGCACAAAAGGGGCGTGGAGGCCGAGGGTTTTCATCCATGGTTCCTTACATCTCTGCGACCTCCAGAAGCATCGGAGGGTGGGGGGAGGGAGGGGGTGGGGGCTCTCTCAAGGTTGGTAAATTTCGGCAACAGTTAAAAAAAAAAAAAAAGTGGCGTTTTGGTGACGAGAATTGCCACAAGTTTGTTGCCGGACCTCGACGTAACATACTCCCTTCCTCAGCGACCGGTATGTAGGAGGACAGAGATGCAGAGGAGGTAAAAATATGTGTATATATTTATATATATTAAAAGCACAAACAGTAGCTGCCACACTGATGCAACCATGCTTAGCTAGAAATACATTACTGTACCACTGGCTGTACAAATACACTGCAGGTTCTTTTTAAACTTAAGAGATCCAATGCTATAGTGAAATACACCTGAATATTATGCATACTCATTACGCTCAAGTGACCAGAGTGAAAGAAGAAGAAAAATTAAACCCATAAGACTTAACTGAGAAATACTGACTGAAGTAGTGGTTGGTTAAATAAATCCTTATGATGAGGAACATCACTGCTGTCGCATGAAAACACTCTCCAGATTAGTTTCAAATCAACTGGCTTGAATTCAAGCGTAAAAGGCTCTTATGTAGTGGGAAAACGTTATGACCCAAGAATGTCTGACCACTTTGTTCAACACCGAAGAATCGTTTCCAGAAATCAGTCTCAAAGATTGATGTTTTCATCCGACAGCGGCTTTATGCAATATTTTCTTAAGTTAACCTACTAGTGTACAAACATCTGGACTAAGAATACCTCAAATATTCAACCTTATTGTTTTATTTTTCATTACAATATAAATTGCTTCTTCCTCCCTCCAGCACTACAAAGCCTAGGTACCTGTTACTTAACATTAAGTTATAGTCATCAAGTCTTTTTTTTGTCTTCTGTTGTGCAATATTTCCTCAAAGTTATTCAATACTCAAATTCTTGATATGTTCTACTTCACGTCTTAGCAGTAATTGTAATAATTATTGAATGGAGGCTGCATACAGAGCCCGTAATCCATAGTTAAAGATTACAATGATAAGCATAAAAAAATCCATTCAAAAAGCTGATAATTACTGTGTGTTAACAGTTGGAGGGGTTCCCTCTCGTTTTATTGCAATATCAAACCACTTGACCTATATACCCGCACAGTAAATGCTTTTGTTATACAAATCTGTAGTATACCGATCATGAAGTCGTTTTTTTAATGTTTAGATCCTGAAAGAAATAATAACATCTTTTATTACCTAAGAATCACCATAATATTAAACCACTACTACTTGGTGTGTTTGTAGTGTTGAGACGGGTCATCGTACTGCCGGTGAACACAAGTGCCTTTATGTGTATGAGAATGAAAAGGCAAGAGAAAATGGCTGCATGTGTTCCATGTCTCGAATATTATACTAATCTAATGACCCGGGAGGTTATGCTGGATTTTTTTCTTTTTTTACCTCATTTATTTTTTAAGTGGAGAATTAAGTTTAAAATTCAGTCAGTAAAAGCAGATGTGCGTTCTTTCCAGAAACAGACAAAAAGATAGTGAACATATGGATTCATCCTTTCAATAAAGTCCAAAAAGTCAACTGGACTGAAAGCAGAGTGACGTCATGGCGGCTCTGCACTCTCTGCTAAAGTATCCTCCATTGTTTTCACTGTTGTAGACACGACCACTTAAACCAGCACCTGTTCACCTGCTATTCCCACTAAGTTAAAATGTTCACCCAGACGCACGGCGGCGCTCCCTCCCATTGGCCACGATGTGTTCCTAAGCGTGGTGCACAACGACGTGTCATTTGTTGGAATGGACACGTGGACTGGACTCTCATCTATCGGCACCCATGTATGTGACCGGTCCAGTTTTAACTGTGGGCTCGAGAGTCTGGGTTTCCATTCGTTGAGTGTTTGGTTACTAAGTCCTTGCCTGGAGGAAGGGAGCGAGGGAGGGAGGTGACGAGGAGGCGATGAGATCGCAGTGGGGAATCAAGGTACAACACAAGTAGTGCAAAGTGGCAGAGTGCTCGTGCCGTCTCTTGCAGGTGAGACGTCACAAACTCAAATGTTTTGTACCTTGAAATGAAACCGACCCGACCGTGAGATCTCCTCCTCCCTCCGCGATGTCCGATCGCCCCGTCTCGTCTCGCTCTCCTCTCTCTCTGCGCAAACGCAATCCCTTTAAACTCCTTATCTGCTGTCTGCCATGCTCACCACTAGAAATCCCTCTACACTATGCGAGTGTGTGTGTGTGTGTGGATCAGTAACAAGGTTTTGTGCAGTAAGTGCCACTCCGGTGTTTTTCCAACGCACCACAGGAGCCCCTGTGTGTGTGTGTGTGTGTGTGTGTGTGTGAGGGAGAGAAAGTGAGCATGACCACTCGCGCCGTTGGCACAGCCATTATGAATATTCCCACTAAAACGCATTGACCTACGCTAAGGTTAAGATTCCGATAAGTGTCACAACATACTAGCCTGCATTGTACGTAGCACGAAGTAATGCGAATGTGGAACCAGTGGGACACGCAGCAGGATGGGTACCGGCCAGTAAGCGCTCTGCTCATAGCACTTAGATGGCAATAGAACGACAGGGATGATGAACTGACTACTGCCGGACGGACAGCAACGCGCCGGAAGACGGCTGAGATTAAAACCCGAAAAAGAAAAACAAAAAAGGAAAAAAATAAAATATTAAAAATAAAACTTAAATAACCCAGAAAATTAAATTGCTCATAATGTTAAAACCCTGTGCTGAAATCTAGCTGTTAAAACTTTGGCAGCATAAGTCAATAAGTCTTTGTAGTGACTGAAGGAGATGGTGATGAGGAATAAGTGCCCAATATATTCCAGCCAACCGAGAAGCAGCAGCAGGAAGGACCACACATACCAGCACAACACAGAAACAGGAGCAACTGACACCCGTGATTGGTCAAGTTTCCTTCTGGAGTTCCAATGACAGACACATTAAAAAAAAAAAAAGAAAAGAAAATTGGATAAAATAAAAAAATAACCGTAGAAAATAAGGTAATGACTGGTTGGCAAATGAACAGAGAAAAATAAAAGCAGCTTTTGTAAAAACGTTAGAGAATGTCGCATACTAACAATAACAATAATAGTAAAGTGGCTGTTGCACTTTAGTTTTGTTCTTGCAGACAGGTGCTGGGTTCCCATGGTTACCATTGGGAGCCCGTGTAAGATTTGAGCAGTTGCATACGATGGTGGACTCCAGATCTGGTGGGAAAGAAGAGCAGAAGTACACCATGGTGATTAATTCTAAGGCTGCCTCAGAACCTGGAAAGGAGGAGGAGGTGTGGGGGGGGTTTACTTACATGATGGATGGGCTCTACCAGTGAGGCGGTACGTAGCTGTACCCAGGTGTCCCTTGGGGCCTGTAGGTTGGCACGGTAACCGGGTGTCCTCCAATCTGGGCGTGCTGGGGCGTTGTCAGCAGGGTCCCTACAGGAAGTAAGCAACACCATTAACGACTCATTTTTTATTCTTGTTGCCTGTGACGACCCATTTTAGATTATTTCTAGAATTTATTTTGGTATATTTCGGGGTCTCGGTGGCCCGGGTCTCACCTGCACTCATGGCCATGGTTGTCCCGGCTACCATCCCCATGGCAGCCATGCCGTTGTTGCGAGGAGCGTTTACCGGGACGGGGGCCGGGTATAGGGCCGTGGAGGGGATGCTGTTAGGCTGCACCACAGTGGTGTGATGGATCACATGGGGCTGAGCCGCATACACTGGCTGGGTGTAGTACGCGCCCTGTCGGGACGGACACAGGAAATGGTTGGTGAAGCCTAGGGTCTGCTGCATTTGTGTATGACAAATAAAACGGGTTATAAGGGAACAAGCAAAACACAGAGAGCAAAGACATCCAACTGCTTCTGCACTCCTTACCTGTGCGTATAGGTTCTGCTGAGGGTAGGCACTGCGGATAGGGTACATGGCTGTTGGGTATGGGGTGGGAGTGGGAGTGTAGGGAGGGGGCGCCCCATTTGACTGAGTGGGGGGCACTTTGTACGGGGTGCCTGCCGAAGTGTATCCTAAAAAAAGGCCCACAAGGAAAAAAGAAAGAAAGATTTAATAACAGAGTACTGGTCAAACGTTTGGAAGGATTTTCTCATTCAATTCAGTGGGAAAGTGTGTCCAAACCTTTGGCTTGTGTTAAATTTAAATTACTTAATATATAGTTAAATTAGTTAATATTGAATCAAACCAAAACATCTTGAAAAAATCCTGTATCACTCTGAATGTAGGGATCAAACAGTTGCTGTTTGGTTTAAAATTCATCATAATAGTTTTGTCCAATCATAAGTTGCAGCCCTATTTAGAGGTTCTCTTTTGCATTTCCTTAATAATCCACCAGATGGGGGACTGGTGCAGTCTTGTAAATGGGTCTCAAGTCTCAAAACAATGCAGCCAAGGATTTGGTATGATATAAAAGCCATACATTTACCAATATTCCGAGATGGTATTGCTGCATACTACAAGACTGTAGTAGTACTACAGTCCCGTAGTTTGCAATACTACTGTAGGCAATAGAAACACCTCTTACCGGATAATATACAGCACAGCAGCCTGCCAGCGTCAGTCACACGAGATTTAGCCAAAGCCCCCATTGAACGCTACTCTTTTGACACTGCATCCAAAGGCTACTGTAGGACAGTGAAGGCATCTGACCCAGACCACTGCATTGATGTCTGCTGTCACCTGGGCTCTGCAGGGTGCAGTACTGCCCAGCCGCCACTTGGAGGAGCATGAAGGTCAAACATGCTACTAGCTAGTTGCTGCTGAGGAGCTTATGAAAGCCCTCCTCTCACACAAGGACAAGGGAACAAAGAGATGCTGCTTCTATGGATGTCTGAATGTGTGTGTGTGCGCACACATACCCTCTCTCTCACACACACTAGAGGACAATGGTGTGTGTGTGTGTGTGTGTGTGTGACAATTACACCCTGCTGATGGAAAACGGTTCACTATTCAATGGTCATGAGAAATAAAGACATTGTCCAAGAAATGCTTTTAAATCGGAGCGTAGCTGGCTTGTCTGGAAGGGGATGTTTGTCTGGACACAAGAGCTAAACACTCATTTGCCCGCACATTGAGCCCTGCAGAACACAGAATAAAATGTGCAGTTATGTGGTATGTATGCAACAAAAAAAACACATCTAGGTTCTTTTGTTGGAAGGAAGCTGCGTGCGGTCTACCAATTTATACTTGATATTTTGTAAAACGCAAACTGGGGGAGGGGACGAGGTTCAAACGCAGCCCAGATGAAATCTATAAACACACCCTGCCCTGGTGAGATACTTAATATTCAGGAGAATACTAGAAAACATTTGAGTATCTATTTCCCTCCCTTCAGAAAAAACGTGTCTTTTGTTGACCAAAGTAGAGGAATTCATACACTAAAATGTATTTTTATTCAGACTCTTATTATACCAGAAGTCCCTTAACCGTCTCATCATCTCACCCGTCCTTTCTCCTCAGCAACATACATCCCATCTATTTTTGAATGCAAATTTTAATAACCTCCAAAAGAGAAAAGAAAATGCTCCCAGGACACTCTACACACAAAAAGGGGCAGGGAGGATTTATCTGTAGTCCCATAAATCTCTTGCAGGAGCAGGAAAACCTTGTTTTAACGTTTGAATACAAAATCATACCGACTCTCACCCGCTAGTTATCCAGTTATCGACTACCAAAACACTATTTGCCAATTGAAGTCACTACCTAATCGAGGTTTCACTTAACACACAAGCCCCAGTGAGATGCTATTGGACTCGCTCGGCGTGTGTAGGGTGAACAGTTCAGCACCCCGGCGCACTATACCAAACCAATATATCCATGCAGGCGGCCCATATGAGGAGAGCATCGAGACAACTGTCGTTCCCATCTGCCTCGGGGACCAGACACCAACAGAGCACGCATGTGCTGCTATACGGCTCCTGGCAGCTGTTGGCGGCTCGCTTCCCTTCACCGTCGTCAGGCTGAGATCACCACTTAGTCCGGTCCGCCTTCACATCATTAGAACCGCCCCCTGCGTCGCTCTAACACCGCCTCCTCTGCTCAAAACATTCCACCGTGAAACGTATTCTAAAGCATAGTGTTTTATAGTAGTAAATTTATACATTTTTGGTTCACATAAACAATAAAATCACAAGAAAAAAAAAAAGGAAATCAGCTCTGTGGGTCGGCAATGGAAAGATATGTCAAATTTAAAAAGCGAAAGTTTTCCCAGACTTTAAACATAGATTGAAAAATGGAATATTAACAGTTTACTGAACTGCTTTCCAGTGTGAACCGAATGATCCATGACCACCATCAGCATGACACGGCCAAGTCTGCAAAGACGACTGTGGCAATGAAATGTGATGTTTAATCCTCAATGGGGGTGAAATAATACCCCTGGTGGCTTTCTGGCTCTGTTCGCACGTTTGTTAACATTGCAAGATTCTTTTCCCCATGTTTCAACATGTTTAACCTTGCTGTGCATTTTTTACATTTTTGTATTGTGCAAATAACAAAGGGACCAATAGGCAACAGTATCGTTTATGTACAGGCCGAACACAACGCCGTGCCATGCTCTGCACGTACCAGTGTCTTTGTGACAACCGTATCATAAAACTTCCTCACACTCTCTCCCAGCTTTGTGGCTAATTTATGGTTTTTCCCTTCAAAAAATAAAAAACAATAAAAACCCACTAATTATCACTCAAAATGTGCAGGGTACTGATATTACATTGTTAAATACAAAAGAAGTGCTTAAAAGATGTGCGTTTGTATTGGGGCTCACCTGGTGGATACCCAGGACTGCCTGTTTGATAGAGGTTGGGTGTATAGGTGGGAGCCGTGGCAGGATACCCTCCTGGATAGCCTGAAGAACATCACAGAGGAGATGTCACAAACCATATCGGAACAAACGCAGCGGGCCACAGATGTACATCACACACACACACACACACACACACACACACACACACACACACACACACACACACACACACACACACACACACACACACACACACACACACACACACACACAGGACAGTATTTGGTTTAGAACAAGATGTGCACAGATGGCGCTCATTAAAAAAAAAAAAAAAAATGTCTGCACCAATAACACAGTTGGCTGAATGCATCTTACATACAGACTAGACACACCTGCCAATATGCCGTGGGAGGAGACACATTCAAGAACACATTAGTAATGCAGGCAGACACGTGCGAGGGGGGCGCACACGCACACACTCTCTCTTTTGTGTCATCAATTACATGTCGAGCAAAGCAGATTTTGGCCCGCTTTCGCTGGTAAAAAGAAAGAAATAAAGAAAAGAAAAGAAAAAAGTGTGAGTTGGAAGCGAGCGAGACAAAGAGGGAGGGAGAGAGGAGAGAGACGGTAAGAGAGTGAAGTGCTGCTCGCTATTATTGGCAGTCGATCTCACAGAGTCGGTTCCGCAGCCTTGAGGCCGGGTGCTAAATCCAGCTCTGGCTGCTGCAGGGTGGGCCAGTCAGATGTAATGTGATAAATATCTGCATCAGTGTGCGCCGCAGCCCAGGGTTGTGGCGGTTAATCGGCCTGTGCTCAGCCCAAATTAATGTTTTTATTATAGATTACAGAAATAAAATGTGGCTTTTTGACCACAGGGTTTTTAAATCTCCATAATGCCACTGTAAGTGCTTAAACGATTGGCTGGCCACGTCAATAGTCAACACGCATAACTAGCAGACAACACGTTCAATAACTGCCCAACAATGGGGATATGTCCACTTAAAAAATATAAACAGCCTTTCATTTCGTTTTTTCTAATTGGCGGCGTTACGCAGTGGTGCATCGTTCAAGAGACAGAATGTCTGAATGGTGAAATTAATTGGTCATGTGCATTGATTCAGAACCATCATTAAATTATACAACAACAGACGGGATATTACGTGCTGATGAATATGGGGGGGGTGGAGGAGACAAACAAATGTTTAGGTTTCTTGCTTCAAAAATAAATAAAGGGAGGGGGGTTTATGACCAGGGGTCCGTACATGTATAGATCATCTTTGCTTTTATTTGTACCTGGCTGCTTATCTCTAGTGAAACAGCTGGCTAACGTAGCATCCTTACCTCACAAATTAAATAGTATTTTACTTCAGACATTATGACTGGAGTTAATAAAACATCTCACAACCTAGTTCACAAGCAAAACTAATCCAAAAAACAAAATGCTACATCTAGATGCAAATATACATCTAGCAGCCAGCGGCTAATACGTTTATTCCTGAGATTAATTTCGTTAAGGAAACTGACAATTACCCCTTCAATATCTAAACCACAACAACCAAAACAATTCCCCCTTTCTCTTCTCTGTTGAAGCCTGCTGGTCTCAGAAAGTTATGTGGGGCTCATTTCCTTACATTCATTAGAGACCGTTTACTATCAGTAAGATTTCAATATAGGCAAATGGACTTTCATGCACCTTTTTATTGAGTCTATAGAGTTTGTGTCCAGGGTTCCCGCATCAATGGATACACACAAGGAGGACTGCTTACTAACCCAAGCTCACAGGAAAAAAAATCCTGAAAAACACGTTGCTCGTCGGACTGTCACATTCATGTGTCTTCACGTGGAAGCCCACAACTGGAAGCTACACAAGCACCCGAACGCACCACAAACACCATTAAATGGGTGTGAAACTTGGTGAATGAAACATCGGAACACACATCATTCCTGCAGCCTACTGATGCACAAAGAAACGGTGGAGAGAAGGGAACCACAATGACACAATGGAGCAGCCAAATGAGCCCAGCTCCATGCTTCTGCATCACGTTAGAAAGATGTCACGAGCGTCAATGTGCTTCTCTGACTTTGTCTCATTTCCATGTTGACCACACGGTTTCCTCCATGTGAAACATTGAGCTGTTCCTCTCTGTCACATTGTTTCTTCTGCCAACAGCGTATATTTGTTAGGAATGGTTTGACTGCATCTCGTCATTGTGTTCATCGCTAACGGCACGGAGACGGTGTGACCGTCGACGCGTTGAGGTCATGGTCCAGGCTCACACTACTCCTCTGCACTGGGTGTTAATGACATATTTAACTTGATTGCACCCCTTTAAACTATCACCTATTACCTTCCTTTTAACTTTAAATCAACAGCTTAAATACTTTTTCCATTTTATGAAAGCAATCTATTCTTTAAAAATCCATTCCTAAATGCGTCCCGAGTCGCTCTAGAAAGATTAGGCCTCGAGGCAGAAAACTCATCACAAATCAATTCAATTCCCAACGTTACGTTCACCTGTAACAGTTCTGTGACAGCGGGCTTTCCTTTTATTAACGCTACCCCTGAACGCATCAGACATTAAATGAGCTTGGGGAGCCAAATAATTATATTATTAAAAAGGCCCATAACCGAATGTTTGAAGAGAAGTTTATACCAGTTATTTGGGAATAAATGGCTCCGAACAGGTTTTTACTACAAGGATGCTGCTACAGGCCCAATATTTATTCTCTTCTCCCTGCGATGCTCACAAACACATCTCTTATATTTGTTACTGATGGTTCATTAATAAACGTGTGTGTTAGTCTCACCTGTGAAGGCCATGTTCTTAGGGTTTCCATACGGGGTGCCAGGCTGAACTGGGCTGTAGACGGGATTCATAGCTGAAGCTAACCTGTTCTTACTGAGAAAGAGAAATAGTGTGGCGGGGGGCAGTGGGGGAGGAGAGAAGAAAGAAGGAAAATGGAGGAGGAGAGAGAGAGAGAGAGACGTAAGCCATTTAAATTGGAAAGAAAATTGTTCCGATCATCAAGCACACGCACACGCTCACCACGCACATGAACCCCAAACTGATTCTTAAGGCGTCATCCAGCTGAAGGATTTTCCCAGCATGCAACAAAAATTCATGATGATTGATAGATTAAGCCCGGTGATATCTCACCGTCAAGTAGGCTCAGCATATGTAAAAAAAACAAAGGCTTTGGGAATAAATGAGGCACACGCACGCATGGGTCCGCTGAAAATAAGGGTTTGGTTTGATGTGCGGCATTAAGTACAAATGTTGCACATCTACCTCATTTTTTACTACTGCGCCTAACAAGGCGGGCCGAACTCTGACAGACTGGTTTCCACAGCCGGATTGTGCGCAAAAGTGGCCATTGAACATGTACGGGACTGGCAGTGGTCGGGGCGAAGGTGACCAGTATCATAGCCATTCATCCCGCATCTCCCATTAAAAAGGCATCTTTCTCCCTAATGTAGATGAAAATACCTGAAGGTCTCCGAACTTACCTGGCCATGGAGAAACATGGGCATGGCAAATTGTATACATGTGTGTGTGTGAGTGTGTGTGCATGCGTGCCCCGTACCTCTTGTGCGTGTCTGGTTGATACATGAAACTGAATTTGTCTGTGGGATGCCCGCTCGCCATTCTTGCTGTATGCAAATGAGGAAGGAGTGGGAGTGGATATGCAAATCTGAAATTAAAACAGCGAGAGGTCATGATTACAACGAACACAGGAAAAGGGAAAAAAAAATAGCTAAAAAAAGAAAAGAAAGAAGAAGCAAGCACTGGTGCCACAGCAAATGGTTAGTGACGCAGCAGGGAAGACAGTGATTTATGTGCGTTTGAGTCCTTCATCGTGCCCGCCGGGTCTTCTGCCACTGATATGCACAACTGTGCTAAAAAAGAAAAACAATAAATGTAATGTTATGTACGTTGTGAGAAATAGGTCGTGCTCGCTTCCATCTTGAAATCCCTCACACCGTCAGCTGTCTTTGTATCCAGCACTGCTGCCCCTCTGTGTGTTTATCCTGTATGATGCGTGCATGTCCAGGATGATTGTGTGTGTGACGTGCTGTACACAACATACAATACGAGCAGCAAAGCCAACATTAAGACAGCCAAATGAAAAAAACGGCACAACACACCCAGTGAGTGGGCAAGTGGCGGAGAACAAAAGATAGTAGAAAAGGGCCGGAGTCCTGCACCGAGCGGTGAGTAAGCATGATCCGGAGCCACAAACACAAAGCGGAAAAACTGAGCAACAATGCGTGTATGCGTGAGCCGTATGTTTCCAGTTTGTGTTGATTGGTTTCTTTTTCTGACAGAGATGGGAGCTTGTACATATTGGCAGGGCAACCGGCCGGCTCTGTCCGTTTTCCTACGGACTAGAATGTACGAAGTATGTGGCGGCAAGCTCTCTCCACACAGCACGTCGCCCATTCCTCATTTGCAGACTCATCACTAGTTTGTCCAATTATTTGTCCTGTGGGTTCATGGGATTGTACCAAAAAGACTCACAATCTGGACCGACCCGCCCTGGGTTCGTGCTTCATGGCCAGTTGACCAATCCTTCAGGTGATTATAGCTTCACCGCTGCGATTCCTGCGCGTACACAGTAACCGTAGCGATGCCAAACGGCATCAATCGACAGCATCTCAGTGCTCCAAAACGCCAGGAGGCACTCTGCAGCTGAGCGAGAGCACAATCACGTGGATGGCACAAATTCTTTAGATGTACAGGTATGCATAGATCCAAATAAATTATCAAAGAATTTATCAAGACTACAATCTACAATCGTCGGCTCCTCGTTGCGCACAAGTTACTCCTCGACATGCTGGTAGACAGAGAGCTTACTTGCTACTACCTCCCCGTCGGCCGATCCATTCGCCCCTGCAAGGTTGTTAACCTAGTGATCAGCAACAAGAACCTGTGTGTTTGTGAGTGAAAATGATATCTGTGAAAAATATCTGCCAGCAAAAGATTTCAGCGAATGCATCGCTGCACGTTGTAATTAATCGAACGGATCTCCTAGGATTTCATTTCTCCCTCTGAGACAACACTGCTGCTTCAGTCCTTTTCATTTAATGTATCATTGGATTTCTCCACATCATCATTCCATCAGTCTCTGCACCATCAGATGCAAGATTATTTCAAATGTACCACACTGCAACATAAAAGAAAAATCTATTTCACTTGATTACTTAAAAATCACAATGCCTGATATTCCCAGAATGTCGTCCAAACCCTGTGTGTGTGTGTGTGTGTGTGTACGGTGGGTCAGAATTCATTACAAACCATCCCAGTTGTTTCACTGAACCCACAAATGCTAACCTGTTAATCCATCGCCTCTTTCATTTCAACAGGCAATTATCCAAAAACATCACCACATCAAAGTTTAAGAGCTTAATCTGCTTGTTTTTAAAGTGAGCCGAGTTGCATTGTGCGGCTAAGTGTAGAGGGAGGTAACAAAGGCCATTAACACACAAGCAGGTGGCTAAGCTAACCCTGAGGTCTAGTGCGGCAAAAACATTAACCAATTACTGTGCCTGAGTAGAGAAAGACGTGCGTGTGTGTGTGTGTGCGCGCGCGCATGTGAATGGGTGCAAACAAGAGGGCCCCCACAATGAATCTGATTAAGGTTTTTGAGGAGTAGATGAAGGCAGAAATCCATGTGATGAGTGAGAGTGTCTGTACACAACTCTCTTTGTTTATAGGGGGGTTGTGAAGGAGCTTCAGGCTCTCCTTAGAAAAAAAAGAAAAAAAAGCCTCTCTCTAGCCAGAAGACCTTGTGTGCCAGAGATCACGAATATATATATATATATATACACACACACACACACACACACACACACACGTACGATTGTAAAAGACAATTCTCCAGAGCATCACTATAAAAGAGGCCCTGTTGAACAGCGTAGAGGGCAAGAAGACGTGTACACATCTCCATGATGTGAGCATCTGTAGTGCTTAAGGCATAATTCATTAGAAAAAGAAAGTTTCCTGAAAACATCACATCCAGCAAACAGTAACTGATGCTGGGTATTCAGAGGCGAGGGTTTGGTTGCTCACAATGAAGCCAGATTTAGTTGTTCTATAATTCTTACTTTAAAGAGAGGAACAAACTGCCGCTCTGTGAATCGTACCGTCCACACTGCAGTCAGACAAAATGGCTTCAAATCATGATTGCTTGCTTTAATCATGCATGCTTTTTTTTCTAATTAATCTACATCAACCACACTTTCCCAATCCTGATTCCCCATAACCCTTCATTTGTCAATATGCTGCTACGCTACAGGGAACAAGCTTCTAAAGACTTGATATTATACAAAAAAGGTACGGCACGTGGATTAAAATGCATTAAACCTGCGGGGCCGTTCGAGTCGGTGTAAAGCAGCCAGCACGAAGAAGCCGCAGCGCTGCAGGTAAAAGATCCTCCGTCTCGCCAGCAGCCGCCGATGACTAACTAATCAAAAGCAGTTGGTACGGCTACACCACAATTCACCAGGCACGCACTGGCTTCATTTTGTCAGAACGGATTAATGGGCCTTGCTCTCCCCCGGATGCAAACGCAGCAGCCTTCAGCTTCGCCGCCGTGTAACATTCCTCCATCGGGCTGAAGGCTGCAGGGGATCAAACTACATGTGACGTGAAACCTTTTTTTTGTCTCTCCACTGTGCACTTTGACTCCTTTAAACCAGAGACCACGCTCCCACATGCCTGGCCTTGTAACGGTCTTCCATCCACGACGTGAAATGAATTGGATCTCACTTCATTTTTTCCCCCCTCACCAAGCTGCTGGTGTATCCATGACACTGCAACAGAGAAAAATTGGATTTGCACTGAAAAGTGAAGCTGCTGCACTGCAGACGAACATCTGGTGAAAACTGTCCAGTGGATGTTGTTTGCTGTGTGTCCTGGATTTGTTTAGTGCTCATCGCTCAAGCATTGTCCAAATGTTAAAAGGGCACATTTTATTCAAACTTCAACAGCGAATTCAACAGTAATTAGATGTCTCATCTCAGGTCTCAAGGCCACGAAAACATTCAACCATATAAAAAATTGTTTAAAATACCTTTGACACTGAGAGTGAGTCATCTTGGAGCACTAGATCATTGAAAAATGTTTCCATCTTAACCTAACGCGATTGAGCCTTCTCGATTACTTGGTTGAGCTACATTATTGCATAAAAAGGCCCAAAGAAAACAAAAGATTTCTTTGCATCTTGGTTAATTCATTTATTCTTCGTGAGGACATAAAAGGGATATCACTGAAAAGGAGAAGATTTATTTATTTCACAATAGAAACAGACCATTGTTCATTATCCTATCAAGCAACCCAAACATATTAATGTCACAATCGTACATAAAAAAAATGTTTTTAAAAACAAATCCGCACAAAAAGTGGCAAATATCATTTTTTTCTTCTGAAGCAACGGAACGATAAACACAATAGTTTCCTAATTCCGTCGACCGACTGATCGTGTCTGCTAAGCCAAACTGCGGCATCAATAATCATCCAAGTGTGTCAGGAACTCGCGCTCCATTGTGGCACACAAACTCACACACACACTGACATTATTAAAAAAGACCTTCCAGCTCCGTGCCGGTTAACCAGTTACTTTCCAGGACTTTGTTAAGCTTAAACCCCATTAGTGGGACCTCATTTGTGTTGAACTCGCACACTATAGCCTGGAGGCCTTTGCACAGGAGCACGGCTCGCCCTCGCCTGCATCTTCAAATGTTCAGTCATTTGACAGGCGGGTGCCTCGTTTCAGATCAAGCCCACGCATTTACATTTGTGTATGTTAATATAAAATGTATGTGTACGTTGCAGAACAATAACCGTGGTTGCACTCCTTTAAGGGAGATTCCTGCAGCCTGAGGGGGAATAGGGGGGCACTGGAGGTAATAATGAGGGAGGAGGATTGTGAAAGAATAAACCTTTCGCTCACTTACTCAAACACACACAAAGAGCTTCCCTTCCTGGAGAACATGTACAATACAACACAACCCCCACACCTACTCAGTCCTCCCACATAATACCTCACCAGGCATCTACTCTTTAAAGCAACAAATCAAAACCGGTGGGCGTCCTCACGCTTCGGCCCGGGAGAGAATGGAGCTGAACGGCTTCTTCTTTTTTTAATCCCAGAGAAGGCGGCATCTCACTTGGGTTATATGAAAAGGAAACAGCAGTTTATTGTCCCATGATTTATATTTGTCCGAATGTGATGCGGTTCATTATTATAGTAATTATTTAATGTTTGGGGGTTGGGAACCAGTCATACTGAAAATATCAACCTCCATATTGAGTCATACATTGAATATGCAACGCAGGCAGCGTCTTTCTTTTTTTCCCAGTAGCGTATTATCTTATCGGTTCGCTGCACTCTAAAGCTGAAAATGAGTGTTTTCTTTGTCTACTGAAAACCTTTGGACAAAACCTGCCATTTTAGATATCACCCTGGAGTTATTTTCTCCTGACATTTTATCGACTAAAAGATGAATCAAGAATATAGAAGGCATGTTATTGATGGTAAAAGTGATTGCAGCCCTACTGTACACCACTGGAAAACAACCACAGAGATGCATTAAAGCCTCTCAAAGCAACTTGGTTTAATATTGTAATATTTTCTCTTTGAAATTTATATTTATAGAAAACAGTGCATTCATGCAGGTTTGCATGGCTTTTGAAGTAGCAGCAATCATAACTACAGCGTGCAATTCGACAAAACACAGACCCGAGGGACGGACCAGCTAATAGTAGCTGCCATCACAGTCGGAGCTGACATCCATTATCAAGTCGGGGACCAAATCCATCTTGCTGCAGTCCTCAAAGGCAGTCTCATGGAGTCAGAACCCCCCCCCCGAACACAATCAGACTTGCCCTCCAGCAAGAACCTCCAAGCAGCCCCGGGCTATTTCTAATCTAGGACAGCCCTGTGCTCTTTGGGACAGCATCTCCCCTTCCCTCTGTGCCGGCTTCCTCCCATTTCATCCTCCTTTCCAAAATCATCTCATCAGTCACACACCGCGTGGGTCTGCATCTCTGGATTATTGGGAAAGCCCACTGGAAATAAAAATGTTGCCATGAAATAAATACCCATAAACATTATCCATTTATAGAGATTTCTACACTCGCTGTAGTCTTGGCACAGCGCACATTTAGGGAGAAGCCCACATTTAAAAAAATTTAAAAAAGGTATCGTCAAATCAACATTTGGATACGATACTGGTTGTAACAAAATGTGAGTTCACAATGCACAAAGAAATATAAAATCGTCAACAGTGTTACCGTGACAATGTTTGCCTCAACGACAATTTGTTCTTTATTATGAATGAATTAAATTTGGTCTAAGTATATTATAAAGAATGCATCAGGTAATCGACTCAATGAGTTCTCAAAGCGAATGGGGGATTGGATCAATAGCACTGCAAAGTCTACGGCCGTGCTACACAACTGATGCGCCTGAATATCCGACTGCAGAAACTCAAGGCCCCAAGCTGACGTGTTTTTTCTCTCCACAATTGGGCTGCGAGGGAATTAACCCTCGCTGATTGCCTCCATGGTAGCAGTTATTAAAGTATCCTCGACACAGTGTAAACTATTCTACACTATTAGGAAAAGGGAGGGCGCTGGTGCACCGGGCTTTTTGCGGTAATAAGAAAACAACGAGCTGCTGGGTGAGAAGTTCACATTTGCTCACGGGTGGGATGTTCAATTTCAAAAATGGCAAAGACTAAAAGTCCCTTCTTGCAGACACACACACACACACACCTTAAATTCAACTCAAATCAACTACGGCCACCAGTTAAACGTCATGTGGATGTATAAAAATATGTCCTGAAAGCGGCTTTATGGAACATGAAGCAAAGATGGCTCAACTACCAGTTAAGATTAAACGGATCCCCCGCTCTGCTTCTACAACCGTCGGCCCGTAACACTGTGACTTCTATCAGATTGCTCCTCAGGCACTGTAAGCTTTTAGGTTTAGAAGCAGTTACTGTGGTGCTAATCGCTGCAGAATTGCAGCTAAACTTAGTCAGCTGTGCTTAGATGGATTTAAAGCAGATGTGGAGGACCGAAACATGGTCGGCTCTGTATGGAAGTGGGTGGGGCCTGTTTTAGGCGGCCAATCGGAACAGACGGGGCGTTTTGAAAGGGGCCTTAAAGAGACGGGCCTGCACTCAAACCGACCGCTTCAGACAAAATGAGGTGCCGCTGATGCCAACGTCTTACTTACAAACTCGACGGAAGGTCAGCCAAATGTATTTTTCTTTACAAACATGGCGATTGCGTCACTTTACACAATGGGTTTACTTTTTTACAGCCGATTTAAGGAATACATTTCTTCTTTTAATTGAGCTATTCAGTCTTTCCCCCTCTGGTATAAATAGATACATGGAACTACCGCATGAATAAAAACTATTGATCCTGACTGTAGGGATCAGTAATGAAACTACAGGTAACCTGTGTACACAGTGGCAGACCCTCCACCCCTCACTGAGATTGACATGGAATGCATTACAACTTAACCTCTAGGGATCAGTTCAACCTTTTATCCTTGTCCTCCTCCTTATGTTTTCCATGTTTTACTTGCCACCGTGCACACACACACACACACAATTATGTATCAATGCTGGTCGATAACCTCTGGATAACAATGAAACATTGTCATTATTTAGAAATACAATGGTTTGTATACTCATCAATTAGACAACAGATAGTGAATTGCTAATTGATCATTTCAGTCAATATTAAAGAAAAATAACTTTTGCCCTTTTAAATGTGGGTATTTTCCTGTTTTTAAAACATTAATAACAAAATTAGACATTTAAAGATGATGAATATGATTATTTATTAAGTTGAAGTGAGTAATTTGATTGATATGAACAAAACAAAAAATATATAATTTAGGCGTATTCAAACGTGACAACCGTACTGTCAAACATCCCTGACTTTACAGGCAAACCAACCACATCTGAAATCTGCTCTTCGTTGTTTCTTATGCTGATCCTCTTGTCACGGCACTGTAAACTGGACCCCGGGGACGGGACTCTGGAAGGTGCCGTCTGTGAGCATCTTGTTCACTGATGATAAACTCGTTAAGTGGTTCAAACCACAAGGGACCAAAGGGCCAAAAAAGATGTCTCTTTTTAGAACCACTGACTGTCGCAGCATTAAATGACTCCGGCTTTATACAGTCTGACAGTTTTACGGTTGCATTGTGCAGCCCACCATTCACAGCCAGACTACGCCGAACGCATGCCGAAACCCACAATTACCACCCTGTCCTCCATCACGGCAGACAGGACTCGCCGAAGCTCCGGTTTATGTCCACTGCAACAATAGTTTGAAATCCATCTGTATACTGCAATTTCTGAATGCATTTCTCAAGGATGACCATTGTCCCTGCATTTGATATTTCTTTGTCATCAGGGGGATGCAATTCTGACTTCACTAGTCTTGAAAGGAGTTGGCGCAGGCTTGTAATTTGCGTGTTTTGTATTTATTCCGGCTACATTTTTACATTCAGGTAACATAACAAAAAGAAAATAAATGTCTACCGTACATGGAGCCGTGTGCCCCTACAGAATATCCCTTTGAACTGAACACAGATAGCTTAAACTGTGTCTTTCCGGTGAGGGGCCAACCCTTTCTATAGAACTGGATTAGCAGTCAATGACTAAGGCGCTACCCCCCCCCCCCCAAAAAAAATAAGGGATGATTAAGAAGTGGATTCATTTCACTGATAAGAATAGTCATAAGGGAGAAGAAAACACGCCTTAAGCTTTTTGTGTAATCCTGTCTCTTTGGAACCATGAGAGGCTCTTTTTGGTTTTTGTATTCTGTGTCAAGGAGAACAAACGTTCCAGCTGGATCTCTGCTAGGGCAGAATGATTAGTTGATCATAAGACAATGAAGTGACACACATTTTGAGTTCTTTACAGAGTAAAGACGGCCAAACTTTAACCGAGTACAGGCTGCTTTTCTCTGAATAAATGTCCTTCAATAGAGTTGAAAATGATTTGAAGAGGCCATTGTGTATTTTGAAGAATCGTACTGACCTTTTACACCGTATTCTGAATGCAAAGTTAATTGTTAATCAAAAAAATGACTGGTCAGCAATAATTATTAGTTTCTGCATTTCCAGGACTTCTTCCAACAGTAACAGAGGTCTTCAACTCAAACTCGATCAGGAACCTCATGTTTATTATGAACCTAGGATGAAGTGCGCAGATTATGTGTGACCCATTAAAATTGACAATACGTGTAGACGCTATTACTTATTTGAAACAATGTTCCAACAGAACAGACGCAGCCCCTGAACTCCATGAAAGGCAAGTTAGTAACACATTCTTTATTTTACATATTAGTGGTTGTAACCTAGAGGTTAGCAACCGTCCAGGCGTTTGTATTTAATAGATAACTACCGTCATGTCCATCAGAGCATGGCAGCAGACGGCATTCCTGAGATAACGTTAGCAAGCAACGTCAAAACAGCCACGGCTGGACCAAAAAAAGGGTCACACTCAAACAAGCTTAAGACACCATTTTGAAAATCTACCGATTTCTAGATAACAACTCCGAGATGCCATCTTGCCAATTATCACCAGATTAGCCACCGTTAGCATTTGGCTATTGAAGCATTGCTAAAAAAGGCACGGCGTTCGGGAATCCCCGCGGCTCTCACGTATTAGGAAGGTTAGCTTAGCTAGCCTAAAAAAAACAGTAGCATCCTTGCATCCCTCGGCACGCGCTGCTCAAACGGCTAATTAGCCAGCTAGCCGAGTAGAGACTAGCCGACGACAATGAAACGAGTCAGACCGGACTCTACCGGTACGATAGCGGCTGTCGGTGCCGCCTGGGCTCAAACCGCTCACGATAAATAAATAAAAACCCGTTAGAACTGACACGACATATAACGTTATTATCAGTCGGACTCCGCAATTTTAGCTCGTTTAGCACCGTTTAGCATCGCCCGCTAGTTCCCCCCCAACCGTGGCAACGGCGGAGGACAATTGAAGGGAAACGGAGGAGGAAGAAAAAAAAAAGAACCCTCGAAAAACTAGCTAGTCAACACATGGACATTCCTGCACCTCCGTTACAAACGTCGGTGGAGACTTACCAAAGCCACTCGGTCGAACAAATACAAAAGATTCCCCCTGTGTGCGCGGCGGTGATGTCTCCCGTGTGTCTGCTCTGCCTCGGGTCGGTGCGGACTGGCTCTGCTACGGCAGCGTTTCGTCGGACCAGTGGCGCAGAGAAGACAGCTTTCACCCGAAGAGACGGCCACCGTGTGGGGGATGGGGATGCATTGCCGGGAGGGAAAAGAGGAAGGGAGGGATGCGGGGATGTAAGGGGGGGGGGGGGTCTGACCCGCCGATAATTCACAGCGGAGGGGTTTTTCATCATAGCCGAATAATAATTGATCAATTCTCACGCAGATTGATGTAGTTCAGATTTACTGGAAGAACAAGATCAAATGAGAACGAGATTAGCTGTTGATATTTGACGTATATAACTGGTTTTACCTTTAATCAATCAATAACAGAGCATTGCGGGTTAGTGTGACAATTTAATGCTACTCTACACGTATAGGGAATGTAAATGACACGAACACGGTGTATTCGACAGGCTATTGTATGAGGACACAACTCCTTCTTTGTTCTGTTTTATGTGTTTTCGCACCTTAATGAGTGAGTGTGTTGTATATGTATTATATTGATGATAATCTACCTTTTACTATGAGGAATACGCGATGTTGTAATAGAAGTGGCTGCTGGTATTTTGAAATCAGCATTTCCACGCAGGAACGAGTGTATTATTTGGTCAGCAGCACCGTGGCGGTGAAACGTAACGAAGTTCACGTTCACTCATTTAATAAGAGGCGTTTTGCCTCGTACACAAAGCACAAGCTCACACATTTCGCTTTACGGTAATTCAATGCCACCCAGTGGTGATGCGTAACGATGCACCACAATAACTAATTTCAACACACGTCCTTTGCTGTGTTTTCATTTTGTTCTCGCTTGAATGCAGTGTATTTAATGTCATGTTCTTACGTTATATTGTTTGTCTAATCCGCCCATGTATCTTACTGCCGTTACGTTAATTTCGTCCGTACAGCTACAAAAATAAGGTGTACGTTTCAAATCGCGTGTCAATGATTGCGTATGTCTTTCGGATAACAAAAATCATTAAAACAAGTGAAGGTGGACAATGTGCAAATCAAATACGAACACAAACATGTATTATTCTTGTGCATTTCGGAAAACGACAACGTTTCAACCTCTAGCCAATGCGCTACACTACAGAAGCACACTCGCATGGCTCTAGGCCACAAAGGAAGAGGGAACTACAGTTCCCATCAGCCATTGCGCATCCCTCCACCGCAAACAAAGAGCCGCATACAGGCACACGTTACTCGAGGATTAAAAAAAAAAAAAAAAAGATACGTATCTCAGTATCGGTAACATAACGCAGCGGAGAGTATGACGCCGCAAACAAATATTACCGCCATAACGGAAAATTCGGCCTGGGTCGTTGCGTGATTTCACGTTTCCGGAAGTTGGAGTGGCGGCGTGAGAAAGAGCGAGCGCGAGCGCTGTCCGAGGTGCTGACACAGTGAGTAGCCTGGTGCGCGTTCCTCTTCATTCCTCCAATACTCCACGTCTACTTCTATCCCTATCTGTTTTGATTTTTAACAGCGAGTTGTCATCTAAGTCAGCGTGTGACCTAATGTCTGTATTTTAACCGTGGCAACGTGCTAACTGTGCTACAAACACCAGACCTTTCTCTAAACTTACTTCGCTATGGCCCGTCACAATGCACCTCTTTTTCTCAAGCCGGCCGTGTTCTGTGGAAATGCATTTTAAATTGAATTTCTTTTTTTTTTATTCTTTCAAAATTTGAGAAGATGGATGAACCTGAAGAGTCCTTGTCCCACAACTCCGGCGACAACCCCCCGAGTGGTGAATCTGTCAGCACTGCACATTGCAACGGAGTCCCGGGTCGCAGGGCCCTGCTGCGGGAGCCCGAGGCACACGGACTCCAGCTGCTGGCAGTGCTCAGGTCCTTCAGGGAGCAAGGCTTGATGTTTGACTTCACCATCAGGGTCCAGGAACGCAGCTTTCCCTGCCACCGCTGCGTCATAGCAGCATGCAGCGATTTCTTCAGGTGTGTCTGTCTGTCTATCTATCCATCCATCATGCATCTATCCATCTATCGGTCAGTATGTGACTGCGTTGTCTTTAGGGCCCTGTTCGAGGTGGACATGAGAGAGCGCGGTGATGGTTCAGTCACTCTGGGTAACCAGTGCACGGCGGCGGTGGGTTCTTTCCTGGACTTCGCTTATTCCGGAGAGACACTCATCACTGATGGCAATGTAGACATGATGTTCCAGCTTGCCTCTTTTCTACAGGTAGAAATACAATTCTTTCTTTTTTTCTGTTGAACATACATTTTTGCCCAATTTTTGCCATCCTCATCTGGCTTTTGTTGCCGTATAAAGCAGGATGCAGGATAAAAATATTTACAAACTGATTTTTTTGTTTTGATTAATTTTATTAGAATCATCAGTCAAAGTCCCCCTTAACTTAATTCATCATCCATGTTTTAGAGGTGCTGTACACTGATATTTAACTTTTATAGAAAAAGAATAACAGTTATTAAAGTCGTTGTTTAATCATGTACCAGTGTTTTTAAATATGAACTGTATGTGTCCCCAGGTGTCTGTCCTGTCCAGAGCATGCAGCAACTTCTTGATAGGAACAATGGATCTTAGTAATTGTCTGTCCCTCTTGTCCCTCGCTGAGGCCTACGGCTCTGCTTCCCTTCTCCAAAGTGCCAACCAGTTTGTGGTTCAGAACTTCTTTGACCTCTCCAAAACCCAGGAGTTTCTTGATATTCAGGTGCTGCTTAAAAAACGGCAAGATGAGGAAGGCAATTTAGAGTATATAAGGATGAATGTAGACTCACTTTTGCCTGTTTTTGGTCATTCTCACTAATTAACATAACAACTCCAAATCATAGTTCATAACCAGCCACATGTAACTCTTTGTGATTCATAACATAAAGTGGGAATTTGAGAAAAAAGACAGCATTCCCTCTAAATGTTATATTTGTCAATATGCATCATTCATCTAATTTCTGCACAAGTTCACAACATTGTTACCATAATCATAAAGTCCGGCCCTTAAGGGTGGTACATTTCTTGGTAAAAAGTGATTTAATTTGACTATTCATCCTTCTTCCTTCATCTAAAAACCTTAACTCAAGTCAGCATTTTCTATTTCAATTGCTTCATAGGTGAATGTATTGGAGGCATGCCTAAGTTCAGATGCTCTAAACGTGCCCAGTGAGGAGGACGTGGTGATGTCACTTCTTGGATGGACACGTCACGATCTCTCAAGAAGACAGAAACTGTTGCCAGGCCTTCTATCTCTAACCAGACTCCACCATCTACCTGCAGCTGTACTAAAGGTATCGGCCAGCTGCGCCTGCGTGATTTAGGATTTTATGTCGTGGTCGTGTGATTGTCTCAACATGTGTTTCCCCCCTCACCGTCTCTCTCTCTCAGACTCTGCGTGACTCAGACGCCCTGCTCTGCGATGGTAAGTCGTGTCTCGCCCTGCTCTCGGAGGCTCTAAGCAAGCAGGTTCATTACAGCGGCCTGCTCTGTGACGCCAGGCCAGCCACCACGCAGACCTACATCTACATCCACAAGACGGAGGAGAATGGAGAGATCCGCCACACCTTCTGCTACTGTCTGGAAACAGACCAGTGGAAAGAGCTGGGAACAGAGGGGGGCGCTGCGATGCCAGACCCACCAGGATCCTGCCTTACCAGCTTTGGAGAGAAGGTAGGTTTTGGGGTTGAAGCCCGGGACATGCTGCTGTTTGGAGCCTTGTTAACATGTGAACTCCTAAGTTTTTAAGTCAAGAGTAAATCTTGATTTTTATTAAATTATTCTCTCTGATATATCCTGTAATATATTCACCAACTTCTTGTCCCTCCCCTGGATCTAAGATGTTTGTGACAGGTGGTTGCCGGGGGAACTGTTGCCGGACAACACGTCTCCATGTGGCAGAACCGTTCCACGACGCCACGGATGAGGTTTGGTGCTTCTGTCCCGTGACCCTAACCTGCACGCCCGCGCCTGCCATGCGAAAGCCCAGAACCACGCACACGGCCGTAACCTGCCTGGACAGGGTGTACGTGATCGGAGGACGGACCAAGGGATCAAGAGGTGGAGCTCCTAGTCTGCTGGAGGTGACAGTGTTTCCTTTACATACAATTAGGTTACCTTATTGCACAAATTGGGGTTTTTCTTTTTTATGTGCAATACAAATGTGGGTCCTTTCTATCATATGTCCTAGGTGGAGTATTATAACCCTCTGATCCAGACCTGGTGCTCCGTCAGCCCGCTGCCCACTGCCATCTTCTACCCAGAGTCCAGTGCTTGCGGAAGTGTCATCTACACACTGGGCTCAGAGGTGGAGATCACAGACTCCTTCAACCCCTCGCTGGACTGCTTCTTCCGCTACGACGCCCAGCAGGACCAGTGGAGCCGCCTGGTGGCAGAGTTTGGCCAGTTCTTCCATGCCACGTTGGTCAAGGCAGTGTCCATTAATGATACGCTGCACCTTTGTGACCTGTCCACCTACAAGGTGAGCCTTTAGATGGGCACTGATGAATGGATGAGCTGCCCCTCAACGTGTAGCTGTGTGATGGCGTTAGAAAAAGCTGAAGTTTCACTATTTCGCTACATCTAGGTCTACAGTTTTTGTCCAGAGACCTGCACGTGGAAGGGTGAAGGGTCATTTGAGTGTGCTGGGTTCAATGCCGGAGCGGTTGGTATGAGAGACAAAATCTACATCCTGGGCGGAGACTATTCACCCGACGAGATCACCGACGAAGTTCAGGTAGGAGAACCTTTCCACTCAGTTTTTCATGATGCTTTAAAGGTGGAGGCCAAATGTATCTTTGCTTTTATGAGGCCTTGGAGACGTGATCGGCAGCAGAGAAGCATTGGCATCTAAATGAATCCACTACAAAGAAAAACAGAGGCTATTCATTGTCTGACCGTCTTCTTGTGACCTGTACAGGTGTACCACAGTGAGAGAAACCAGTGGGAGGAAGTGACTCCCATGCCCAGAGCACTCACCGAGTTCCACTGCCAGCTGATCAGCTTCAACAGATACAAAGACCCCTGGGGTGACACTGCGTGACACACAGGAGACACCCACCCATGAAAACATTTGAGTGGCTACACATGCAGGTGTTGGACTCACTCATGCAGGTACCCATGAGTCACCGTTAAAGCTTTCAAACCGTGCAAGACAGAGAGCTGAGCCAGAGAAAGACCTAAGACTGTCCTCGCATCACTCACACATCTTCATAACACAACGGCATCCGGGCCAGATCCTTTTCTTATTTATTGACTTTTTCCTTAACTTTGTACGTGTGAAGCCCCTAATGCCACAGGACCTCTGTTGTGTCATTCAACATCTGGTGTCTCCCATGGAGGAACCCTATAGAATGGACTATTTTAGAAATTCTACTTTAGTATCTATTTTTTCAGTTTTGGATGAACAGGACAATTACCCCAAAGAGGTATGTGTTCATTTATCAGCTCTCTGACAGCTCAAGTATAGAAAATAATACTTTGTTGGGTACTATTCAACGTCCCTTTCGTGAATTTGTTTGCACCGTGAATGGATCAAATGACTTGTGCTGTACAAGATGGTACAGATTAGAAAATACACATTATGTTGTAATATTCATGGCTGGGATGTACAGTTCAACTGATTTTTTTCCAAATTTGTTTTATTTTTTTTTCTTTGCTTTTAGCTGATAAAGAACTGCTCATAAATATTACATTATATTATATTTAAAACTGAACTATATAATTTAGTGGAAATACTGTGTGGATGATCTGGATAGATTTTCATTTAAAACTACTTTATTATATTAAACATTTATTCTGTTTTAGGCTGTCATGAATCCACGCATGCCCTGTTTCTCCCCTCATGATGTATAATTCAGCATGTGCTCAATCCACAAAGGCCCTTGTCAATCTTCAGTAACTTCAGATGAAAATGTGCAATCACACCATGTAGCTTCAAAGAACACAGCTCAAAGATTCAGAGAGCAGTAAAGTAGAAAAATATAGGCTTCACGTTGTAAATCATCTATGCAAAAGTCATTTGTGTAATGAAACAGAAAACTAATCCAACAAACGAAAGACTGTTTAATGAAAGAAAATGAACATGACGCTTAATTATTTGTGTCGATGTCTTCTTCTTTGAGTAATATAGTAGCTGCATAGATACATTAATCCCTTCAGTGAAAACCAAAGATTAGTCCCGGGAGCATGTCTGATTGTATCAACTCCCCACGAATGACATATGGGATGCTGTTTATGTGACATTACCGCGTCTAATAGCTGTCGCTGTGAAAGCCCTGTTGATTGTTAGTCTCTTCTGTCTCTTTCCCGTTTGGGTCCTTCCAAAGATTCAATGCCACCTCCCGAAAACATCTAAATGAAAATTATGATTCAAGACTGTTGCAATTGACAATCTGTCTGCAGCGATCACATGATTTAAGACCTCATACCGCTATTAAACAGCTCTGAACAGGTCAAAACAAAAAGAATGAAAAGATGTTGAAGAGTAATCACTGGCTACAGCAATCATCTCTCTGTCTCCTCTTCCTCTCAGTCCTCTCGTCTCTTGTTGCTCCATGGTTTAGTCCTGGTAAGCTCTCACCAGCAGCCACATCAGCAGCACGGTGATTAAGACGATCACGAAGTTGAGGAGCAGCTCCTGTACCGAGCGGTCCATGTTGGCCTCACGCTCGGGAAGAGGAGGAGGGGAGGGAAGACGGACACAAGTGCGAAGGATGCAGATGTTGGCTGTATTTTATAGAGCTGGGGCACCGGACCTAGGAGCTGTAGAGAGATACGAGAAGTGAAAGATATAATACAGGTATGACCAAGGCAAATAATGTTGTAGTAATGAAAATATATATATATGTATATAATTCTCCAGTGGAAGTCCTGTGTTTTGCAAGTGCATGTATGTGTTTGATGCCTCTTTTATCACAGATTAGAGGGATCAGACACGTCTTCTCTCAACAGGGGCCCACAGTATCCCGTCTCATGTACACACATGGGAGATGATACACACACCAGAAACGCATACTCAATGTTACACTACCATACATTTGATCGGGCGAGAAAGAACTGTATGGGATAGTTATTGATGCGTGAACAAAACACATGCGAATCCCTTTGCACCCATTGCATTTTCATTATTTAGTTGTCAATTGTACAATTTTTGAAAGGCTCAGATTGGATGTAGCCAGTGAGCTGTTACCTTTCTTCTTCTGGCAGCAATCTTACTATGAGCAGGAAGAGGAGAGAGCAGATGATCTTTTGTGTTCCAGTGGTACTTGATCTTTAATAGCTTGTCCTCTTACTGAAAATGCGGTTGTGGCCCTTCTGCTCCGGAGCATCTATCAGCAGCTGATCTTCTTGCTTCTTGCTGTTGTCCAGCTCTCTTCGGTCGCCGGGGGGAAGGAACCGCTCCTAAAGTACACCCCCTCCCCACCCTCCATAGCGGCCCGCCCATGTTTCACATTCACCCAGACTGATGTCAGTCACCAACTAAACAGCCAATAGTCCTATTTTCCACAATCGCATCAACCGGTGTCTTCCATCTCTGACCCTACAGAGTCTCGCTCTTGTACAGAGACATGCACACAAACAACCCTGCAGGGACTCTGGGTTATTTATAAAACATTATTGCGGTTACTAGGTGGATTATAGTTGTTCCAAACACAATGCCCGTGTCTTTTGATGGATGGAGGATTGTGTAACATTATCCGTGTCTGGGTCTGAGCAATGCACAGGGGTAAAGAAGAATAACATTGAGGGCGTGCCGATTTAAGTCCATCTGATCCCACAGGTCATCATGTTGCCTGGCCAGTAGTAGCAGAAAAGGGAAGCGATTCCTCCCTTCTTAAAAGCGTGACATCATGCTGCTGCACTTGAGTTGCTATCGATGCTCTTTCGTGAATGTGATGACCTTTCTGTAAACTTATTTTCTCAACGGACCCACAAACACCGGCAGCTGAGCAACATCTCATTCTGTTTCTTTCAAGAATGTTTAGACAGAATGATGGACAGGGGTGCACCAATAGACTGTATTAGCTGATGAAACAACCACCTGTAATCGGCATGACGGACAGCCTGGTTACCTGAGTTAACTGAGACCTACAGAGCAACCAGCAATGCATTAATTAGTGAGCAGATGCTGCTACTATTGGAGAAATCCAGGCTAGCTGCTTCCCGTCTTTATGCTAAACTAAGATAACCACCTGCCAGCAGTTTATTTTAAGTTGAAGTAATGTAATGTCAATCCTCTCATCTAATCCAACCACCAGAAGGAAAAAACTGTTCCTTTTGATCAATGTTGTTAGTGTAAAGTTCTTCTCTCTCTCTCCCGTGGTAACGTATAATCACTGTTCTTTTACATTCTACAAAATAATCTCGACAGTTCCCCACAGTGAAGCTCTCTGTTCATCTCACACTTGACAGCTGCTTGAAAGGCTGTTATCTCTGATCTAATGTTAAACCCCCCGACACACCTTCTCATGTGCACACAGAGAAGTCGCAGCATGACAAAGTGCGTATGAGCTCGGCTCCCTTGAACCTTTCCATCACAGGATTCCAGGATCTTTCCCAAAGGATTTAACAGATCAAAAAAAAAACGGCTGCCATTTGACCCCCACCCCCTGCTGCCCTGCCAACGGCGGGCCGATAGTTATCTGACACTCGTATTCCCGTTGTCCCAGAGATCCAGCGCCGAGGGCGATTTGAATAAAGACGGGCTCAGTGTGACAGCCGTGTGTGTTTAAGATGGAAAAGCTCTGGCACGGCGACCCTCTAGATCAGCTGAGAGACGAGGGCTGTCAACAAGGCCTCAGAGACACCATTCCACACATTCTGGGACGCTGTGTGTGGAGACGCGCAGGCAGCAACGCCGCTCTTTATTTCGAGGGAAGTCTGGGGGCAGTGTCATGGTTTTTGAAGGTGAATGTTGAGAAAAAAATGTAGGAAAATTGTGTGTTTGAAAACTCCAGTGAAGCCACCTAATTAAGGTGCTCGAGAGATTGGGTTTTTTTTGCCATCAGACCAAGAACATGTCTTTTGAATCAAACCACCCTGAGTATTCATTATCCTGGACACTCGATAAAATCATGTGTGTTGTGAAAACAAAGAAATTGCAGCATAGCTTTATTCCTTGCTGCCGCGGGCTCTGCTTGGTCACAAAGCAAATGCCTTTTGGAAATCATCAAACACACACAAAGTAGAGAAGACTATTTATGTTCATTATTTATGAGACCGTTTTAAAAAAGAAAAATGGAGCAGAGTTTGGTAATGGTATGAAAGAGGGCAGCCAGCTGTTGTTTTGTAGACTAAGCTGAGCGCTGATAAGACGACGAAGGGTTCCCACTTGCCAGCGTTCAGCCTGCCTCTGTAATTACTGAGATGGCTGAGGACAGGTGAGGGCTTCATTACACAACACGGCCGAGTATAATCACACACAAATGATTCGTGCTCACACACGCATACAGAACATGCATGCTGAAGCACACACTCCCACCCGAAGGGCCTGTAGACAGAGTAATTAATATGGCTATATAGAGGAATTCAACATTATACTAACCATGGGAAGTACAAACAGAAATCTGACTGGACTGAGTAACAAAGATTTTCTTTCCTTATTTTGATAGTCGGCAGCCCACATTACAGAATGGCACAAACCCAGAGGTAAATATAGAGTCACCACTTTGGCCAGTATAGGCCAACACACTGGACTGGACGTTGTTACTGGTGTAACACAGCCAGATGGTGTTACTGCGTTATTATATCAACATATCTGCTCTGAAAAGGGCTTCAAATGAGCCAGGAATGCGATTGAATCATCAGAAAGCACCGGGCACTGGGACTCTGCTTTCCTGGGAAGAGATTCGTCGGGAACCTTCAGTCTTTGATGATCGTTGCACCCGGACAACATTAAGGGGACGGACCATGGACGCCGGTACGGGAAACAGCGTGGGAGCTGTCAGAAGGAGCAAAGAGGACAGAAAAGTTCTCCGTAAACAGCTAAAAGCCAGTCACACTTTGCTAAAACACGAAGGCATCAGGACAACACCGCAGCCTACCAAGGTAACAGGAAGTAAATACGCATCCTCCGGAAGTGGCAGCTGAGAGCTAGCCGACACGTAGCCTCTTCTTGTTGCGTTACGTCTTTTGGTTTTCTACAGCTATTAAAGCGTAGCAAACAAAAGTCGTTTTTCAGTTTAGTTGAATAAAAGAGTGCCCGCTGATAGATCGCTCGCTTAATCTTGCGGTACTTGTTAAATATTAGCTTGCATCTGTAAACTGGTTTAGATTATAGAAATTGAAATCTTGTATGCTATTTTACACCTGCGATGGATTTCCCCATCAACTACTTTCTTATGCATGTTGAGCTCATTTGATTATAAATAATCAAGTCTGGTTTGTGTTTAGTAGGTTTAACTGTGAAAAATGAAGCTGTTATGAAATAAAGTTTCTCCAGGATCTATCAAAGTCTCAAGTATTACAGTTTTATCAGACTGACAGCTGAAGAATCTATAAATTCTGGACATGTCAAACCGTATCCTGGTTCTGGAATTTCACCGGTCTCTGGAACCGGTCTCTAATAAAACCTACGTGTCGACCCCCGATCTCTCTTCCTCAGACTTTGGTGGTGGCAAACGGCGGCCTGGGGAACGGAGTCAGTCGGGAGGAGCTGTCTGCAGCGCTGGGAGAGATGGGAGAGCTGGAGACACTGATCATGCATCCTCACAAGCCCTACGCCTTTGTCACATACAGGTACAGGCACAGCTGTCACAGATGTGACTCCTGCAAGTTGTTTCAACCTCTCTGCAAGATTTTGGTTTAAAACTCACCCCGTTGGTGCTTTTTCTTTTCCAGGTCTGAGGAGAGTGCTCGGAAAGCCCACGTCCGCCTCAACGGGGAAAAGCTTGAATGCAGAGAGAGCAGCGTCACGCTCTACCTCAGTTATGTCAACTCAGGTAGTCGCCCTAAACACAGATTACAATTGCGGTCAGATGTGCTTAAGCCATCGGAGGCATTGTTTACTGCATAGTTCAACAGTACGTTGGACAGCTGGATCGCTTGGATGTCCAGTAATGTGATCCTCACTGTGTTTTCTGTGTACATAGTAACCTGTGAAGAGGAAGTATCTGTGCCTTTGCCTGATGGATTAGTCTTGGTGGAGGATTTTGTGTCTCAGGAGGAAGAGGCTGTGCTGCTCGCTGCTATAGACTGGTCGTCTACTAATGATGATTTCACGGGTGAGCGAAAAAGTCGTCTTTTCTGTTTCTTAAATTTTGGACTTAATTTGCTCACTCAGGAAATTCTATCTAGTCATAGACTTGAGTGTTAGTCAGATGACAGATGCTTAATGAATCACAAGAATTTGAGCTGACTTTATTCTAATGCATTTTAGCAAAAAAAGCCCTGAAACACAGAAAAGTCAAACATTATGGCTTTGAATTTCGCTATGACAACAACAACGTGGACAAGGACAAGCCTTTAGCTGCAGGTAAGCAACTATTTTCACCTGAAATACATTTTTACTCACTAATTACAATGTTGTCCTAAAATCTTTCTTCAAATAAAATGCATGCGATTTGCATGCAGCGGAGAATTATCATCATGTGTTATTTTTGGTCTTGTGTAAAGACGGTACATATTCTGTGTGTGTATCCAGGTATTCCTCAGGAGTGTCTACCTTTCCTTGAGCGGTGTGTGAAGAACAAACACATCGACATCCTGCCGGACCAGCTGACTGTCAACCAGTACGAGTCTGGACAGGGTGAGTTTTATTCCAGGTGTTTCTCCAATGACGACTCGCCGGGATCTTATTACAAAAATCATGTCGATATAGCTGACCACATCTAGATAAATTGCGAGGTAGTCCAAGCACAACAAATTCAATAGTTTATTACCATAATTATAGTCCGGGCTGACGAAATCCAGTGTTCTGATTGGTTGAATGTTCAACGCACTGATTTGGATTTTATTGATTTATTCCACAAGGTGGCAACAGAACATCTCGAATGCATTACTGAGGGGTGATGAAGGTTGCTGGTTCCTCTCAGTGGTCTGTTCATAGATTTACACTACACAGTAACATTTTAAGGTTTTTAACGGTAATGAATTGTGCGTCAATGTATCACTAAGTTCATGCATCACCAACATCAATGATGTCTGTCAGGAACACAACAAAGAGTTGAAAAATTAGTCACTTTTATTTATTAACCTGTGATACATTTTGACTATTCTAACTATTAAAGAAAATGTCCATTGTACAATGTTTACAGGCATTCCCCCTCACGTGGACACTCACTCTGCTTTTGAGGACACCATCCTGTCGCTGAGCCTGGGAGCAATGGTGAGAAGCCAGTGCATCGTTTTGTGATTTGAAACCTTTTTACATTTCAACATCAGACAGTGATGCAAAGTTATAAAAGGGTTGTCAATGGATATTCACAGCTTTGCCTGTATTCCTTGTGGTGTTTGATCAACAATGATCATATCAACCGTCACTTCACTGACCACTATTCTACTTCTGTCTCGGGGGACACAGGGGTCAGAGATGTGTGTGTGTGCAGTAAACCGTATGTTTGAATTGTGTGTCCTTGTGATTTTACAGAAAACAGCGTGTCCCCTTGCTTGCAACATCTGTTATTATCTCATGCTCACTGTGGCTTTCGGTTGGTAGATAATGTCCTTAATGACTCTCAGACAAGTGTCCCTGGTTGTAGGACATTTTTTTGAATAATTCATGAAGAGCAGAGAAACCGATTCTACAAACAGTTGGTTTTACTTTGTCCTTGACTGCTGTAGGTGTGACTACATGGGGTCACATGGTACGCAATGCTGATTGAGTTCCTTATAAGTGATTGTTGTCGACTCCCCATTATTCAACAAACAAACCACACACTCAACAATACAATTTCCGCGATTAAGCCATTGTGTTTGAGACTTTGGAGTCAAAGCCTAAGACAGTTTTTATTATTTCTTTAATCTGTGGGTGCAACTCCTTTGACTAAATTCTTTAGAGCGCCATCAAATTTCCTGTCAGCCTGCCGCAGTTTAACATGTGAAACAGTGTTACACTTTACAGGGTTTATTGAGCTCCTTTGTGTGCCCGTGTGTGTGTGTGTGTGTGTGTGTGTGTGTGAGACTGATAAATAGTCTTGTGTGCTGCCTGCATCACCATCGATTTACTCACATTCCACTAGTGTAAATGATTTGCTAAAACCCTCAGAGGGTAACAGCACAGTTTGTGTGTGTGTGTGTGTGTGTGTGCTAGTTTGTTTCCTCTTTAGCTAATAACTGCTGAGTAAAGGTTTTCGGATTTGAAAACAAATGTTTTTCAAATGTATTCATTGACGATGTTTTGACTGAGTAATAATCGCTTTGCAGTTAAACCAAAATTCTGCACAGTAGTACCGAATGAATATTCAGTTTGAGACATCGCCGCTGGATTATTATAAAGTCATGTAAATTGGATTCCATTCGACATAAACCAAACAGCTGTACAACAACATATTGGAATGGGGAAGAAATTGATCGACGGTAATTAAAACCGACTTGTTTATAAGCAGTCCGATGGCTGTAGCAGCAACGGAACAATAAGGAGCATCGACCGGCCGGTAAAGGCGCCCATAATGTCCTCATTAAAGTCCAAATCAAGTGTGGGTATGCGTGATGTGACCACTCCGATCTTTGTCATTATCGTTCTAAAATACGGCCTAAAATCGTCTCCGTTTGTTTAGTCACCCGCTCCGCTGCGACAAACGGCCTCCGTGCTGTATAAAGAGATGGATGTTCTCATTTTAAATGCAGACGGTGATGGAGTTCCGTCATCCAGACGGTCGTCTTGTTGCCGTGGTGTTGCCGGGGCGGAGCCTCCTGGTGATGAAGGGGGAGAGCAGATACCTCTGGACACACGGGTGAGGCGGACCGTGTCTGATGGATCCGTCTCCCCACCGCTGGGAGTCACTTTATCTCCACACGAGCACAGCATGTCTATGTTGCCAATTTGAGTCGCTGTATGTTTTCAGTAGTCACGACACTCTGCAGTTATACGTCTGCTTTATAATGAGAGTAATTATGACACAGTCACGTTGTGTGCAGTCCAAGTTTTGTACTGTGATTTGCAGTCCAGGGCTGCATTGTCTGTTTCCTTTTCTGATGCTAAAAGCAATATTTAGTTACACTAATGCAGCTATTACAAAAATGTCTGGTATGTGATGTAAAGTCCAAAAGGCACCTGGTCACCTCATCCGGTTGAGCCTCGATGAGTTTTAGGTTAAGAAGGAGTTACAGGTCCTTTCTTTCTCTTTCATACAGTCTGTTTATTCTTTTTTTCTTCTCTCTCCTTTTTAATCCCTTAATACACAAAGATTAAATGAATTAATAAAAAATATGATCTCACAGTTTGGTCACATCCACATCAAAATATTTCGGGTTCAACAAATTGCCTCCTATTGAGTTTGTTTTTCCCAGTCAACACCACTACAACTGTCCCCTATCTCCTCTCAGGATAACTGCGCGGAAGTTTGACACGGTGCCGGCCCGCGGCCCACAATCCCCTGCTCGCACTGCGCCTGACCTCAGTGCGTGCAGCAATCTAACGCTGAGCAAGAGGGACACCCGCACGTCCCTCACATTCCGCAAGATCAGACACGAACCCTGCGGCTGTGGTGAGGATCATGCAGGCACACAATGTCCAATAAGAGAAGACTGTATTCCTATTTATCGATGGATCAAACCTCTTCAGGCTAAATTCTGCCCTGAAAATCGCCAACTGTAAAGCACATTGTACTGATGGACCCCCCCTCTCCTCCCCCCCAGCCTTCCCCTCTGCCTGTGACAGCCAGGTAGCTCCTCTAGCTCCCCCACCGCCGTCTCCTCCCTCACTGCCCTGTTGCCATGCCGACGCAGCCCTTCTGGAGGAGGAGTACGTGCACCGGGTGTATGACGCCATCGCCTCACACTTCAGCAGCACTCGCCACTCCCCTTGGCCCCGCGTTTGCCACTTCCTGTCCACGCTCCCCGCTGGCGCTGTGCTGGCTGACGTGGGCTGCGGAAACGGGAAATACCTGGGGGTCAACCCGGAGGTGATGGCGGTGAGTGTCATCGTGTGTTACCGTAATGTCCGTGCGTCTGTGATACTTGAGAAATGGAAAAGGAGAAATGTCCTTTCCCATTACGGTTCTATCGCCACTGCTTCTTGGATTATCCGCAGGGTAAATAACACATAACAGAATCACGCCGTGACTGTAGGCGCCGTTTCACAAACCGAATTCTCTAATGCGAAGGAAAGGAACTTCAATGCTTTTCCTAACGCCTCATGAATTCTCCTAACTATCTTTTCTTGACCCAGTGACGTTTTCCAAAGAGGTGAAGGACTAGTGGGTAGGAATAGACGGTAGGACTAGTGGGTAGGATATAGACGGTAGGATATAGACGGTAGGACTAGTGGGTGGGATACAGACGGTAGGACTAGTGGGTAGGAAGAGACGGTAGGACTAGTGGGTAGGATATAGACGGTAGGACTAGTGGGTAGGATATAGACGGTAGGACTAGTGGGTAGGAAGAGACGGTAGGACTAGTGGGTAGGAATAGACGTTAGGGGGGCATTTTTTGCCTCAGTCGAGGTCGAAGATATCTTTTGACAAGTGCGGTAGAGACGAGAGTAAGTAACCCAAACAACAATACGTCATAATGTTTGAATAAAAACCATGACACACATCAGTCTGAAGGCAGTTTCTTTTAAGTCTCAAGTGTGAACTTCATGTCTCATTCAAAGTTCACTCACTTGGGGAATCTGGAGGCCTGCGCTGCTAACTTGCGGATTTCTGTTGGTTGTCATTGTTTGTATTGGCTCAGTTTCCATGGCGATATCCTACATTTTCTGTTTACGAATGCACACTGTGATATTAATGTTTGGGATTTGGGGGTGCGTGTAAGCAGCTTATCCTGATTTAGACCGAACCGTGATACATCATTACTGAGAACATGTGATCATGACACACACACACACACACCAACGTCCTGAGATGAATCTTGCTGTTTTTCCGGTCTTGAACTTCTTTTTGTCTTCACTATACTTCCCCTCTCACTTCTCTCCCATGGCGGATTGACACTTTACAATTTTCCATTTTCCATTGAAAGGAAGAAGCTCGACCTTTCTTTGTTTGCATCAGGTACAGATTAAGTGTGCTTGTAGTTTTCCTCACCATCACTTATCACCTCCTTCTCTTTTGGGAAGAGATTTGAAGCTTGATTGATTGGCTCCCTGAGAAATAATGTGTTAAAAATCATCATTGCTGTCGTTCAATCCCCTTCTTTTAGTTCGATTATTTCTTTTCATTTTCTTTCCAGCTCCTCATTTCTTTACTCTACTTACTTTATTTCTATTGTTCTTGTTTCACCACTTTTCGTTTTCTCCCCTCTCTCTCTCTCTAAACTAGTCTACGCTGCATTTCATTGGTTCAGGAAGAAATATAGCTTGTATTCTCAGTTTTTGCATTTTATTTTTTTATTATAGTAGTAAAAAGGTCAAATAAAAACCCTGCATCCCTACACTCGACATCAAGTCGTGTTGTTTGGTCCTCCTACTTGGATTTCTCTGTGCCTGCGTTCCTGCTGGTGATTGGTTTTGTGTCTCCTTTCAGGTCGGCTGTGACCGTAGCAGTGCTCTTGTCCACATCTGTGCACAGAGGGGTTTCCAGGCGTTTGTATCTGATGCTCTCCGTGTCCCTTTGCGAACGGCCTCGTGCGATGCCTGCATCTCGATAGCAGTCATACACCACTTCTCGACACAGGTACACACACCGAGATCCTCATTTCTATTCAAAGACGAATACAAGCAGTTCACTAAATTGTTAGTAGCAGTCGCAGCTTTCTGGACTGTGTGGACTGATGGAATATCTTTAGGGACTTTACCACAGTTTCAATGGGAAGGTTTCCAGGTTGTGCCTTCAAATCCCATGGAAGAGTTCAATTCGGGGTTCTAGTGTGTGATAGAAGTGGTGAAATCAATTGTGTTTGTGCTGTAGGAGCGTCGCCGGGCTGCAGTGAGGGAGCTGGTGAGACTTTTGAAGCCGGGGGGTCGAGCGCTCATCTACGTTTGGGCTTTTGAACAAGAGTACAAGAAGCAGAGATCCAAGTACCTCAAAGAGCATCCTGAGAAGCACAGCCCCACTGAAGACGCACAAACGGGAAGCAGCCAGGAAGCTCACGGGGAATCAAGCATCCATACCAGCAGACGTTTAGAAGACCTGCAGGATGCGACTGAGAGCAAACTCAGTGTGCACACCAACCGGACAGCATTCAACACCCAGGACCTTTTGGTTCCCTGGCATCTGAAAGAAGGGAAAAAACAAGTGGATGAAGAGTCGAGAGAGGGTGAAAGGAAGGATGAAACGAAAGAGAAATCCCAAAAGACTAACACAGGCTTTGGATCGGGGCTGGACACCAGCGCTAAACCCAGTGCAAGCGGCGACACTACTCCGACCTGCGGTTCCGCTCTGAAGTCTGAGTCTGAGATCAGTGCCGCGCCAGTTTTTCACCGCTATTACCACGTGTTCCAGCAGGGGGAGCTGGAGCAGCTGTGTGGTCAGGAGGCCGGAGTCACCCTGCAGAGCAGTTACCACGATCAGGGGAACTGGTGTGTTATTTTAGAGAAGGCCTTGGGGACAGACTTATGATTTGTGATAATTTAGAGACAAATGAATGTTCAAACAAGAGTTTTAATGGAATGTTAACAGCATAAAACTGAAATAAAACTTATTTTTTCCATTACATGTGTCTGTTGTGCTCTTCTTTCATCATTCCTGGAAAGGTCTGACATGTGGCCCTAACAATCGTGGGGTTTGAAAGTAGTTCTCTTGGATAATATCTCCTAAGGTGATTGTTGAAAAGAAAAGGTTGTAAATATACCCTGGTTTTGTGTGTGTGTGTGTGTTAATCCTAATATCAAAGAAAAAAAATCAGCGTTGAAATTTTAAGTAGAAATGTTACTAGTTTTATAAACACTTTTCGCTTCAGTAAACAAACAATATACAGTCTATGCTCAGTCAAGATTCATTTACAAGGATTGCGATGAAAAGGGTAAAAGTACCACGCAATAACTTATGAATTGAGGACCTCCCTTCACTGGATTTTTATGCATAAGCACTTTTAAATCAAAACGGTAACAACGAGATCCATTCCCACACGTAAGCGTTTTCTGTTTGTTTTTGAACTACAAGAACCACAATGCAGCGGCTGAGTAGAGCGCGGCGGCGCTTTACGACACTTTGCGACAGCACTGTCGTTAAGTGTCATGGCGGCGCAGGGAGTCAGTTTTGAGAGTACGAGCTACATCGAAGAAAGAAAGGATAATAAACGTCAGGCGCGAGAAGAGGCGTTAGAAAAGGTAATAATGGTAAACGTCGTAGTGAATATCCCATTGTAATCCGGAGTCCCGCTCATTAGCGTCTGTTTTGATTTAAACCATTAACGTCAGTCCAGATGCGAGCTAACAAGCTCAGCAGTCGAACGGCTAGTTTGCCGTAAGTTAACTTACGAATAAGCTGAGCGGCTCAACACTGAGTTTTTCTGTGGAATTGTTCTTAACCGTGCTAGAAATCGGCATCTTTGTGTCCATGGAAGCAATCAGCCCCCGCGTTTCTCCACATTGACCCGATCGTGCAGGCAAGGAATTACCACCCGAGGACAAACACTGCAGGGGCAGATAGGAGACCTGGTGTTGTTTAGTATAGATTCTATGTCACTCATCGCCTCCCCCCGTGTACTTTGTTGTAATCACATATGTACTCAGGTATATATTAGTGTTTTTGCCGAGCAGCTGTGTTTGCATGATCCACAGAGCAGATGGTGCTAAAGGTTGTAATCACAGTATCTGTCTACGCTCATCTGTGCTCCAACTGGACCATAGCAAAGAGATTAACTGGGTCTCATTCATTCTGCTGCTTTTCATTGCAACTGAGTGATGAATCTCTCAAATATGTGCAAATCATCAATCACATCAGCAGTGCCACTTCAAGTAGATTGTTTTCATATTGTCCAATATAAAATCCTCTGTCTTTCATAAAAGAATCATTTACAAATAACCTCAGCCCAACGTATTCCTTTAACCTGTCGGAAACCGCACTTTTCTACTTATTTTCTTCCTGAATAATGATTTTATATTTTCTTTTTGTCTTTGAGGCCAAGCAGCAGTATGATAAGGAAGAAAGGAGGAAGGAGCTGAAGAGGCTGAGGGGAGAGGACACGTGGATGCTCCCCGAGATCAACCAGAGGCTGCAGGAGATAGAGGAAGTAAGATACAATGTACAAAACCCCAGCCAAGTCACAACTGTATCTCAAAACACAAGTATAATTACAGTAGGTGACAATAAAGTGAAGTTTAATTTAAGCCAACAACTATGAGGGTAGTCAATCATACGTTGGTGAAACACCCCCCTCCCATAAATGGAGGAACATGGAGCAAAGAATCCCCCTTTGCTTTGTGTGATAGAGTGATGGCCAGGAGTGTATTGCATCATTATAACAACCAATGCAACCAATAAAAAAGAATAACACTATTCATGGAATCTGCAGGATGGGTCTGTGAAGAGCAAGAAGAAGAAAGAGAAGAAATCTAAAAAGAAAAAGGAAAAAAAGAAGAAGACCAAGAAGGAGAAGACAACAGGAGATGGCTCCAATGACAGCTCAGAGGTGGGTCATTATCTTATTTTCCTGTGCAGGAATCCTTTAAACTTGCTAACACCTAATTAGTGCAACTAGATGCTGCTAAACTGGTTCATAACTAAAATATTAATAATGTTTTTGGCTCGGGGAGCATTTTCTCCAGAGTAGTACCATTCCAGGCAAGCCGTAATGTTTTAATTTAGAACTCTTTACAAGACTACAGAGTCTTAATCCTGCAGGGAGGTTTATTTAACTTTTTTATATTTAGCTTTAGGCCTCCACCTTCTTTATTAATTTTCCTCTCTTTTATTTGAATGCCTTAATCTCTTGCACTCTTTTCCTTCTTCATCATCATTTCCCCCTCTCTTCCTCTCGCTGTGAGTCAGGACTCGGGGGACGAGTGGGTTGAGGCTCAAACACAAGCTGCTAAAGCCTGGCAGGTGGCTGGTGAGTCCAAACCTCCAGAGAGCAACCTCAACCCTGCACACAATGTCGAGGTAACTTTCTCTTTTCTCATGGTACAACACAGTGAATACAACAATACTGCTCCCCTTTTCCCCACAATGGAGGTGAATAGAGAAGCAGGATGGAGTGTCTCGAGGTAATACTGTATCTCGAGATATGAAGGTGTTTTATACAGGCATTCTTTGCTTCATCTGGTTTAATTACCAAACCTACAACATGTATATAAGACCAAACTGTCCATCTATATATGTGTCTTTGTTTACCCACCCCCCATCCTCTTCCCCCCACACACACACACACACACACACACACACACACACACACACACACACACACAAACCCTTTCTGTCTCTGTCACGTAGAGAGACGAATGGATGACCTTTGACTTCCTGGCAATGAAAACCACGTCTACAGCGGAGAAGAGGGCCGAGAAAGAGCGACTGAAAGATGAGGAGAGGGCAAAGGCGCAAGCCATTGAGCAGGTATGTGTGTATTAATGCGCCCTGCTGCCTCCCTCCCCTTTTCTCGTTGCCTGAGTGAGAGAGGGAGATAAAGAGTGATCCCGTTTATTTATGTACGGAATGCGTATAATATGAAAACACACTCTCAGTCAGTCATGTCACTAACGCATGCGTGGTCACCAAGGTAACAGAGGTTGCCACTTCTTAGTTGACAGAATCCCGTACTGTTTGTGTATGTTTTTTTTGTATATATATTTTCATATTGTTTTCTGCATGATGTTTTCATCTTCACTATTGGCATTTATGCGTATATATATGTTTGTGTTTCCCTCAGGCTGGTTTACACAAATTGGAGCTAAACCCATACTGGAAAGATGGAGGAACTGGTTTGCCCCCGGGGGAAATGGCTGGTACACCAGCTAAGAAAGGTATTAACAGATCTCAGTCAACCCCACTGAACATTCTGGCACGTTCTTCTTTTTTTTATTTTTTATTGGCGTTCTCTTAATATTCAAGCTACCCAAAAGGAAAGGCAGAGTTGTCAGTGTCTCTGATTAATCTGTCCTCAGTAGACCAGAGTGTCCTCACTATTCTCCTCCAGCTAAGGAAAAGGTAGAATAAAAACCTGGTTGAAGTTCATATAATCTTTCTGCTCTGCGCGCACACACTGCTCATGCACTTTCATGTTTCATACTCTTTGCTCTACTGTGGTATCTGTCATTCCTAATGTTCTCATTTCCGGTTCTTTCCTCTATTCAGATCAACTTGAACAAAGTGCTTGAAAATTACATCCACAAACTTGAATTAGCTATTGATATGTTCAGTGAAGATAAAGAAGCTTAAAACTGTACATTTCTAATATATGGGAAAAGGATGGTGCAAAGGGAGTTTTGTTTCTTCTCCTCTTACTAATTAATCAACATGTTTTTTTTTCTTTTCTGGATTTATTTTTCAGCTTCAGCTTTTCTTTGTCCAATTTTTTCCTCATTTGCAATTACTTGTTTTACAACATACCAGTCGTGTTATTAGAGGACGTCATCAACTGTTTGTGAATTGCACATTTCAAGTGGTGTACGGGTTTTCCCTTTTTTCTCAGATTGCTCGTTAGTGTACCTTTTACTCATCATTGCAGTATTTATTCATATAAAAAAACAACTATGTATGGCCGTTGTGCACATTAAGCTTACAGGCGGCATCTAATTGAATGACTTGGATTTGTATAGTTTTAGGAACTTAAGTTGAGAGACAAATGACATGTCACTCCCTGGAGGACCTCGAGTAGTTTTAAACGCCACACACAACACGTCGCGGTTTTGTCTGTGCGTCTTTGTAACGTTTGTTCCTCCCATTGTTCCCAGCAGGGTCGATTGTGAACGATGCTGGTCTGAGCTGGCTGAGGAAGAGCTACCAGAGGATGAAGGAGACGGCGGAGAGGCAGCAGCGCAGCCTCAACGACGTGGTGGCTGAGCGATACGGAGTGAGTTCTGCTGGCTCGAGCATGGCGTGCACTGTTTAGCTATTAATCCACCACATCGTAATATTCACTTTACTGTAACTTGAGTTTTAAACAAAAATAAATAAATAATGAGTCATAGTTGCTCTGACTCACGTAAGGATACACACACAAACACACTTCTTTTTGGAGGGACGTGTGTCTAATTGGTTTATTATTAATCTCTTTTCCGTCTCACGCACGCACGCAGTCAGTCAGTGTCCTTTGTTAAGTCAATTTTAGCAATGTCAGCATTTATGCTGGCAGTTGACAGCGTACAGAATGTCACTGTCAGAACATTGTGTGTATGTCTGTGTGTGTGTTTCTGCTGCAGCAGTGCACCCCGTTTGTGTTCCTTAAGCATAAACCTCTTGTATGCTGTCAACCCACCATGTAATTTACAATGTTTTTTAAACATGCTTTTTTATGCATTTTTGTATTTGCACATAAATATTATAGTTGCATGCTGCTGTTCGTGCATTTGTATGAAAATCCTGAAGCCTTCTGTTTTATGGAGATTCCCTCGAAATAGCAGAGTAGGAAAATTTGAGGACCCACCTGAGTTGACGGGGTTGTCGTGGCGCAGGGGTTAGAGAAGCACAAGGTTGGTGGTTCGAGTCTAGGCTGCCCCATGTTCCATGTCGAAGTGTCCCTGAGCAAGACACCTAACCCCTAATTGCTCGCCGGGCAAAATGTGAAAAAGCCATGGGTTTAAAGTGTAATGTAAGTCACTTTGGATAAAAGCGTCTGCTAAATGACCTGTAATGTAGACGATGACTTCTCTGCTTTTTCTGAGCTGAGACTCATCACACTTTCATATGATGTGGGGAAATTTTTTTGTGTTTATCTAATGCTGAAACGAATCTACCTGAGAATGGAAAGGATCTCAACATGCATTTCCCCTTCAACAGTCAATGGAGGAATTTCAGCAAAGACTGGCGGAGGCAGAGGAAGCGGTGTACGGACAAAGCAGAGGAGGTGAAAGCGGCAGACCTGCGAGAGGCGGGTGGAGGAAAGGCGGCAACGAGGCCAGAGAGAGGTGGAGGAGAACAGATGGAGATGGGGCGGAGAGAGAGCGGAGGGGAAGAAACGAAGGGAATTCCTCACCCACAGACACGGACAGACACCGTGCTGGTAGAGGTGGGGAGCGGGGAGGATATCTAGAGAGAGGGAGAGGTCGAGACGAAGGCAGGTTTAGAGATAGGTATGGAGGAAGAGATGATGAAAGAGAGATGGACGGAGGAAGAGATGATGAAAGAGACATTGATGGAGGAAGAGGAAGAGATGACGAAAGAGGGAGGGACGGAGGAAGAGGCAGAGAAAGGAAGAGGGACGCAGGGACAGACAGAGAAAGAGATGATGAACAAGAGAGTGATGGTGAAAACAATAGAAAGAAAAATCGAGAAACTTCTGCGTCATCATCCGGTCAAAACTGGAGTCCGCGTCCTCCCTCTCTTGGCTCACTCAAAAGCCGATTCCTCAAGCCCTCCGACGACGACGATGAGCACGGTGAAGGTGGGTGGATGTCAAGGCCTTTTCTGATGCATGTTGACACCTGTCATATGTGAAGCACCCTGTGCTCCCTTTCTTTTTAATCTTTTAAAAGGAGCGGTGCTATAGGTCACACATCTGCTCAATTCATATCACGAATCAGAAAAGCGATACCTGAAGTAACGCGCTTTGCGTCTTCCCTCCCGTGCAGCTCCACAGCGACGTCCTCCGCGCGCACGCCCGTCCACGGGATTCCTAAAGCCGCGCTCCGACGATGAGGACTCTGGTCCGCGTGGTAGCAACAGGCCGGCCCGGGAGCAGGGCGGCCATCCGCCACGGGAATCTGAGGAGAAAGAGAGGGATCCTGGGAAAACCGTCACTGCTCCAGATGACGGTCCGCGTGCTGGAAAAGCCGCCGTCACGACGTCCAGGTTAGGAGCTTTGCGTTTTGTTGCCTGAGAACGGAGATTGGCAAAAGTGACGTCAAACTCCACCGTGTTAATTGAATATTGTTTGGGAAATTTTGTTATTGTTGACATAAACATGACAGCGGTAGCTTTGCTGATACTTAAACCTTAATGAACACTAAACTATTGAAATCACTATTTTCTATTTTTCTCATCCTAAAAATTGTACATTCCATTTTTCATCTGGGATTCAGTACTACATAGAAATGATGGTCCCATTAAAATCCCACGTTTTCTTACTCCCCAATTTAAAGCTTAAACCCAGAGATGGTTACTTTCAAAGTGAACCTAATCCTCTTCATGGAATCTGAATGAATCCCTTTAATTGTGTAAAGAAAAGTACAAGTAAGGTGTATTTAATCATGTCCTCTTAGCAGCTCATGTGTATTTTGGGTTTCTAGTGTGTGTTGTCATGGACACACGCACAGAACCAGAGCAACTAATGGAACATCAAGACAGAGTGCATAAAAGCATCAATCCTTGTTTGGAGACGTTCTCACTGTAATCCCTTCCATAAAGCATGGCTGTCTCTTCACATGTGTACTTGATTAGTGTCAAAGGACCTACAGGGATCTGCTTTCTGACATTGCTCTGGATAATCCCCCCCGCCTCTGAACTCTTATGTTATCGGCACTATTTCGTCTGTGTATCTCAAGCACTATATTTGGTAGCAGACGTTTAGACACGGGTATGCTCTTCACAAAGTGCGTAGTCGAGCCAACGTGCCGAACACCGCTGCTTCATGAGGCCCTGTTAGTTGTGCTGTGTTTTGCCTCGTTTAGATGAAGCGGCATGGCACGAAATGAGGCAATGAAAAGTGTAATCGCCTTGAACGGTGCTGCGCAGGCTGCAGCTCAGGCCTGTGATCATCTCTGGTTGACAGCGCACAAGAAAACAACTGAATGGTTCGATTTAAAAACCACATAAGTACGTTTAGGATTACTAACACGGTATTAGAGTCATAACATCCAGTTCTTTTAAATGGTTTTGGTCTACCTCTTTTTTTTGCATTTTCCTAGGAGTGAGAGTGACAGCGAGGAGGAGGAAGAGGAGGAAGAGCTTCCACTGCTGTCGGAGGAGGAGATGAACCGACTGGGAGCCAAATTGGTGAAGGCGGAGATCATGGGCAACGCGGTGAGCACGTGGTGTTACAGCTTGTCTCTGTGTCGGGCTGAATACGAGATGATTTGCCTTTTTCCCTGGCCCCACAATCTTGTTTCTAGGAATGATCTTCTTTTTTTAAAGAGGAAATAACTCAGAGAGAAGATCTGTGAAGCCTCGTCTCTCCTTAAAGGGACACGTGAATGATTTCCATACATCTTACATCACACACATTTGTGTTGTTTGTCTATCAGTCATTTGCACACACCTTGCCTGACACACACACACAGACTCGCCCGCCACCGTCTATAACGTTGATGATGAATGGACATATTGACCTGACATCCAGCATCTCCCGACAAGACAAAGCAATCAAACCGATATTCCTGCGATATTCCTGTACTTCAAATGTCTTTTTTGTCTCGTACATTCATTTTTTCCCCTCATTCCACTAGTTAAAGCCTTCAAGCCTTTTGCCGGTTGTCAACATGCACAAGAGAAAACAATCTAAGCCTGTATTCAGAAAATATTCAGCTGTGTATTAAAATGCAGCTCATTTGCAGCTGTGGTTTTTCTGTTCACATATCTGACACTCGGAGGGTAATCCGGTAACAGCTGTCAAAATTCTTCCGTCTGGCTTCGGGTTTTTTTTGGGCTGTGCGTTAGTTTTATAACAGTCTTCATTCTGTTCTTTGATTTCCCTTTAAGACACAACACGTGCACGCTACGCTATTGACTGCGATGGGTGTTGTGTGCATGTGTGTGTGTTTCAGGCCATGGTTGAGAAGCTGAGATCACAGCTGGACGCGGCACACAAAGCCAAAGAGAACCACGCCGCCCGGAAGATCCTGCAAGACACGGCGAAATCCAAGCAGGTCTGTAATACACAAAATATATATATATAACGCCTCATCTTTTAGTATACTTGGTGTTTAACAGTTGTGCTGATATCTACACAGGTTGATTTGTTCCAGATGTCACAGGATCACACACGTTGATACACACAGCTGTTGTTTACATGTGTAATCGCACACATTTCCAACTGCAGACATGGTGTACTGTAGATCTACGGTGTACCATAGATATGTATATAAATACACACACAGCAGCCCTCTCCCTCCCTGGGGGAAGAAAGTGATTCATGCGTACTTGTCTTCCGATGGAAAAATAAACTCTGCCCGTTAAGTCCGACTGCTTGCAGAAGGAATTTGTTTGTTTGAAGTATCTTTCCCGCTATGCGTGGAAAAGGCTCCCGTTGGGCGCCGGTGACCCTGATGGGAAACAAATGTCTGCCGCTCTGCCTTGACGACGCTCTCCTCCCAGAGGTCGCTCAGAGGTCGCCCTCGTGATACGTGTGTGAGAGGACCCCGTACGCGCTCCTCTAAGGTTTATTTTAGTTTGTTTATACAAACCATTTCCAGTGGAGGCCAGATCCGTCCCCACCAAGGCTGTCCTCTCTAAAATGAAGGGGCAAACCCCTCAGGAAGGGTTCTGACCAAACAGCCCAACTCTTGAGCGGAGGGGAACGTCAGCACTAGAGATGGAGTGCTGTTGATTTGCACTCTTCAGAGATCCTGCCGATCGCTCTTTTGGCTCGTCTTCACGATTCAGTGTTTGGACTCTCGCTGCCTGTCTGGCTCATATTTTCACGACGTCGTGGAGCTTTAAAACTGTGTCGACCGAAGACGGGGAAATGTCCTCTTCTGTCATGTTGTCACTGACAGTGCAGTTTACATTTCCTGTGACTGCCTCTCATCCTCTCCGCCTCTCCCCCTGTTTTCCCGTTTGTTTTTGTGCAACTTCAGCTCCGTAAAAATAAGCCCATCTTTGAAAATCACAATCCCGCGTTCAGCGCCACACTGGCACTAAAGCCGGAGTTTTACCAGATCATTCTACCTCTGAAGTTGGAACAGAGCTCAGTTCTTTGTTTCAACAATCGTTTGAAAGAGCTATGCATAACTCCTCGAATGCATTTGTCTTGACAGAGGAACAGTTTTAATCTAATTCAACACAGAACATTTAAATATATTTAGAAAATGTTGTAGTTGGAGTGTATATCGGTGTTCATTTGAGGTTGTGTCTTTTTATGGTGATCAAGCCCTGATTATTATTGGAATAAACCTGTAACATGGGGCTCTCCATGACGGGCCTAATGCATGTGTCCACTAATGCGGTCAGCCTTTCTGACCTGGGTTGCATCATCACAGCATTGATGAATCCCTATTGAGCCATTATCTTTTACGTACTTTATTATTTTATTTTTTTTAGGTCACAGTTGACGCAAGCGAAGACCAGGATGTCCTGCTGTTCAGAACCGACCATTCAGGTCGCGCCTGGCCTGTCAACGACCCCTCTGGACCCCAGGAACCCCGCGGAGGCCGGCGGAAGAAGAAAGCGGTAAAGGGAGAGGGATGAACACTGGGTGAAATGCATGGAGAAAAGTACTGACATGCTGCACATTGTTGCAACTAAAAGAGAGGGATTGAGAACAGGGGAGGAGGAGGTTTGTGTCCTGCTGTTTGTTCCATGTCGGTGGGTATTCATCAGCGGGCGGAAAGAGAGCAAGGACGTCACCTGACTCCCAGTTGAAACGTGTGTGTTGTAAGCAAAGCTCTGCAGTCCACTCTCAGTCGGTGGTTATTATGACTTTATTAAGTGGCCCATGATTTCTTTCCTGTCGGTCTCACCCTCTGTTTGCCTCGTGATCACAACGTCGCTTTGTCCATTTCGGTCTCAATTTCTTCTCTGTTGTCACTTGTTGTCTGTCCTCTTTTCCTCGCTGTAACTCCAATGGCTTTAAAGTCTTTCTTTTCTTCTTTACATTCAGCACCCACGTCACTTCATGTTAACCGCCATTCTCAATTAAAGGTGTTCTTTACACGTTCCGCTCTCCTCCCTCATCAGATTGAGACCCATGTTGACGGGGAGCGCGTGCGCTACTTCCAGGATGATGACAGCGTGGGTCTGAAGGAGATGGTGAGGAGGGAGAAGATGAGCACTCCACAGGATCAGACCGCCCTCTACTCTCGCATGGCTTCCAAGGTACGAATTCATCTCATCGCATGAATGTAACTTTTGACTTATTTGTCCTGGAGAAATAAGCAACGTGGCGTCTTTGGGCTTATTCCTCACCACGGCAACGCAAAGTTGCTTCTTCTAACCGACGGTGCAAGACCGAAAGGTTTATTGCGTCCTCCTCGGCTGAGCTCCTTGGCCTTTTACGTGAGGAGTATCAAGTATAGATACATGTTTCCTTCTGTTGGTGCGTCTATTCAGGTAGGTAGAAGTTTTTTTGGAGGGCGCTTTGAGCAAAGTTAGATGACGGTCAATAGAAATACGGCACGGTAAAGGTGTAAATCTACAAATCCAATTGTGTTTATGTGAAGAATTATTGTTATACTTTTATGAGGGATGGATGTTGAGGATCTGTTCTGTCAGACTTGTATGCATTTGGTTCTGCGATCATCCGCTGGTGTTATTCCATCCACTCCTCTCTCTATCCTCCACTGTGGGCTTGAAATCAGCAGATGGGTCCTGGCAGGTTGTGCTGCGTGTGTCAGTCTCTCGGCAGCTCTGCAGACTGCACCCTTCCTCCATCCGTCTCCTCTTTTTGTTTTTGTTTACTTCTTCTCTGCCTGTAGGTAGGGATCCTCACTGACGGGCGTGTGCGTATTTGCGCCTCAGGAAAATGGAAAAGGAAGCATCGATAAACAAAGGGGGTTTAGACGAGTTGCCATGGCGATAGAAACAGACAAAATGCTTCAGCTTCGTCCGTGTTCGTTTCCGTTCTTCGACTTCCTCTGACCTCACTGGCTCACTTCCCCTCGCTCGCTCGCTCACGCACACTTGCAGGCACAGCATTAGAATTACTCGCCCGCACACGCACATTCATTACACATGCATACGTGTAAAAATACACCCATACTTTCTGCACCCAGAAAGAGTGACAATAAAAATACATCTACAGTTACCATGGCAGGGCGTCTATAAATACCCGTTTTATCGGTTGGTCAGGGATAAAGTCTGTTAGCACACATGCATTGTCTTAAGAGATTTAATGTGGTGTATTTTGCAATGGAATGGGTAGTGTGCCAGACACGCGTCAACCCCTTCCACTCGCCTGCTACTTGCTGAATTGATAATCTATCATTTAAACTGCGTCCAGAATGTGTCCACCAGCCGAGGCGTGTAAAGAGACAATCGTCAGCGGTGAAGGCTGATTATTTCTCTCTCTCTCTTTTACCAATGTAGCATGTGCTGCTGCACACTTAGGCGCAGTCCTTTGCACACACTCACTCCTACGGACACACACACTCTCGCACACACATTCCCTCCCACACTGTCACTAAACTAATCCAATTTTCACTCTCACTCGCACACTCACTCCTACACAGCGAGTCATGCACACACACTTCAGCCCCGCTCGCCCATGCACAACAAGTCCAACTTGTTGCCCGGTCGCCGTGGTGACCATACTCGGACGTTGGAACGCCAGGGTCGATACTCCTCCTGCCTCACACTGTTAACTCACAGCAGAGACCCACTCGCGTACAGCGCTGTTTGACGGATGGTCATATTGTGTCGGCACCTTCGTGCACCAACTAGAAGAGATCCCACGGAACAGCCGGCTACTCCACAGTCCGATTGCAAAGACTCCCGAGCCTCTTTTAGGAAGCGCCAGAGTTGAACGTTTTTTCTTTTGAAAGCTGAAATGAAGGGGAAACCGCATATTCTCGCTGCATCAATAAAGGGGGGGTGTGGGGGGGACACACAAGTTTTTTCCAAAACTGATCAAAAACTCTCCTCCTACTTCTCTCCTCGCTTGTCCCCGTCGTCTCCACCCCCACCCCCCCCCCCAGATGATGGGCAAGACGGACGGTGACAACTACACGCTGGACGACATGTTTGTGTCGAGCGCGGCGCAGCGGGAGGGCGAGGGGAGGGAGGAGGAGAGGATGAGGAGCAGAGCCGTCGGGGAGAGCAGGAGGCTGGCCGCCTGCATGGAGAAATGCCAGCAGTGCTTCAGCAGCCCAGAGCTCCAGAAGCACCTCATAGTGGCAATAGGGAGCAAGGTAAGGGACGCCGAATGCACGAGGGGTTTGAATGTCGGACTTTGTTGGGGCACCATTTGTCGCTTAATGGATTCATTTTGATAATTAGTCCTTTTTTATCAAGAGAAAATGCAAATCATTCACTTGTTCGTGATTCTCAAATATGATCATGTGCAGGTTTTTTTAACAGGGTTTCCTTTACCCAAATCCCAAATATATTCATTACACAATCGGATATTCATATATTTTCTAACTGGAGTCAGAAAACTCATCAGAACCACAAATAAATTATTTAAATTGTTTCTGATTAATTTCCCGGCAATAAACGGATCAACGGCCTAATCGTCACAGCCTTAAATTGAAAATACGCAAGGTTTAGACTGCTGGTCTGAAAATAAATAAATCTCTAAATGAATTGCATTACTAACTTCTCTCTCTGTGTGCGTGCGTGCGTGCGTGCGTGTGCTTTCCATTTTGTGTGCAGGTGTACTTGAGCCTCCCTGCGGGAATGTCGATGGCCGAGGGCCACTGTCGAATCTGTCCGCTCCAGCATCACTGCTCCGCCACCGGATTGGATGAGGATGTGTGGACAGAAATGCAGGTTAGCCAGTCAGACACAAGACCGTCAGTCGGATACAATCAGAACCACATGCTGCTTTTCGTTTTAATTATTTAAGAGAATGGCTCAAATTGAGTTACTTCACTTTGTTGTTTCTTTCGGTGTTCCCAGCTTTTCCGGCGAACTTTGGTGCAGATGTTTGAGTCCCAGGAGCTGGACTGTGTGTTCATGGAGACACACATGAACCTACGCAGAAGACAACACATGGTCCTGGAGTGCATCCCACTACCCCGAGAACTGGGCGACATGGCGCCCATATACTTTAAGGTCCGTATGTGTCAGCGTTGAATCTCATCATTCTGATTCTGGCTTTGTCAGGTTTTAAACTGGAAATCCCGGATTGTCTGGATGGGTTTTGATTTGCGCGTTGATGCTGTTTTTGTGGGCCTTCAGAAAGCTATAATGGAGTGTGATGAGGAATGGGCCATGAACAAGAAAGTCGTCGAACTGTCTTCGAAAGACATCCGCCATTCTGTAAGGCTCCGTGACTCTCTCTTCTGTCTTTTACTCCTTTCCGTTATTTCTACGATATTTCTGGTTTTGTCAGACTCTTGTACGCTCCAATCCGTGTCAACTATTCCGTGCTTGTTCTTTTTGTGCGTCATAGGTTCCTCGAGGTTTGCCCTATTTTGCCGTGGACTTTGGACTTCAGGGAGGGTTTGCTCACGTCATAGAAAATGAACAAAAATTCCCCCATTACTTCGGCAAGGTTAGTGTTGTTACACTTGGTTCTACTGGAAGTAGAAGAAAATATCCCATGAAATGTTACACTACATGTGTGACCGTGGGTCACAGCTTCAGATGGTTTGATGAAGGGGCATTAATGGCATACGTGAGAAATGCAGTCGTGCATCTCGCCTAAAGTAGATTTACTCGCAGTATTATTCCAATGTTGTTTTTAAATTCTTTATTTTAGAATGATGTTATTCTTCAAAAGTGTGTAGTAGTTGTTGTTGTTTATTTTACAGAATTATTTCAATATGACCAAACCCCCCTTTTCCCCGTACAGGAAGTGGTGGGAGGCATGATGGACTTGGAGCCGCGACGTTGGAGAAAGTTGATCAGAGAGAATTTCGATGACCAGAGGAAAAAAGTCCTGCGGTTTTCTCAGTGGTGGAAACCGTACGACTGCACCAAGACTAAGGACTAGATGGGCAGCTTCTCACAAAGGGTTACACTTTGCAGAGTAGTGAAGATTACACACACACACTGTGGTGCAGACACTGTTGCATCTATGTATTCTGAATTTGATGTACAATTCATATTAGATGTTCTAATATTAAACACTTTTAATTCAATAAAGAAACAAAACAACCGTGATTTTGATTGTTATTTTTATGTCCATCAAACGTAACATCACATGCCAGAAATTGTTTTGTGTTGCTGTTTATTAATGCTGACAAGGCCCTCAAGGCCAAAACACCGAGTTGGTGTGTAGTTTTAGGTTTTTCAGGACTAGAGAATCTTTCTGTCAAAGTTAGTTCTTTTAAGCGAACAATTACATTATTTGCATAAGTAATTTCAATCAAACGTGATTAATTATCTCACCTAGTTCCGCATATGCGGCAGAGTTGGTGGGTTGTGAAAAATCTATGAAGCAGCAATTTGAATCGTCTCTGTCAAAGACCCTTATTTAAAGCTTCTCCTGCCGGTAATGCCCGTCCTTGTTCTGCAATCCTGGTATTTCATTTATCACCGTGTGGCCTCGTGATCCTTTGCAGCTGTCTTTTTTTTTTATTCAAAGAGGTTTCGGTGTCATGGCATCCACATGTGCAAGTGCACACATGTGCCATTAGCCACTTTGCCCAGACGTGCTCTTTGATTAGCTCATCACTTCGGAGACCGATGTTATTTACCGGCGTCGTTGCAGGCACCGTGTGGTCATTGGGTGTAGCTGGTTAGTGCTGAATTTGAGTGAGTGATATTTTGCTTTTATTAGAGTACTTGTCCCTTTGTGGTCACAGGGGTACGAATGTTCAGGACTTATTCCATCTGTAACTTGCATATAATCCATTGTTAAATATTGCGGTCTCATGAGCACTCCTAACACTGTGGCCTGCTTATTTATTAGACTTGCATTTCATTTCCCACCGAACAACGTTTGCTGAAGCTAAACTCACATTAAAAGGAAACCTACACAACACAACGGCATAAAGGGAGTTCACTTCCCCTGAAGAGCAACAGTTGTGCATTGTTTGTGTCACTATTCTAACGACCTTGAGCAAGTTAAGTCAACGGAGCGGATTATTGATTGTTCATTGGATATGATGTAACGGGCAATCGAAATGTGCATTCAAAGGTTTGATCATAATGTGATCACGTTGACTGAGTCCGTAATGCAGTTTTTAGCGTAACGCCACGACATGCAATTTGCTACTCTTTAACCCGATTTGTATCTTTTTGAACGCGTCCCCTGGGACAGTGCAGCAGCCTTCTTACACCAGGCGAGTGACAGCGAGCCAAGGTTTGTGGTTACAAGCAGAACAGCGCTCTGGAGTGATATACGGTTATGGCCAATTAGATTGGCTGAGGGCGGATTTATGACCACGACTGACATTTATTCTCCCCGTCTCAGCCACACACGCGCACACATCTCCTTTCTGGTCATTTTTAAGGCAATGATACGCAGAACATTCAAATACTCTGTGTACTTTGTGTGTGTCTGTGAGTGATGTGGCAGGTAACTGATGAATTTACAATTTTTTGTTTTATTTTGCAAGTACGTGCTTGCTTATCTCTGTGGAAAACCTGAGTTTGACTCACTGGTGTGCGTACGTGTGTGTGTGTGTCATCGTACTAAATCTTATCTTCCTGCATTCCACAACAATTATTTTCAGGCTCAAAGATTCTGCTGAACCTGTTTGCTCCTAGCTGGTTTTGTCTAAATGTTTTTTTTTCTCTTATTTTTGCATGTATTTATTTGAACCACATGAGTCCATGTTTCTGTGCATTAAGTCTGTCTGTTGCACATAATTGTTCAGTTCAGTTCGGTCTTAAGAGGCAGCTCAATCCTTCCTCCATCCATGGTAATGTTCCTCAAAGCTGACGCCATCCATGTCAGAAGTACCCATTGAATGAGATCACCAGGATACCAGGAGGTGCCCCCTTCTATTTATTCTAATCGCCCGAGCACGCAGCTACCGAGCTGTTACCCTGTCTGCACTCAGTATTGCTATTGCTTATCTTCCCTGGAACCGTATTTCATTCCATTGCTGTGTTGGCTTTATTAAATGGACACATTATTACTGATGGATGGCAGGCTGATTGCTGAGAGCAAGCGAGCAGATAAGGAAACAGGAAGAGCGACTGTGTGTGTGTGTGTGTGTGTGTGTGTGTGTGAGACAGAGAGAGAGGGAGCTAAATTCTATGCAATCTATTGAGGTCATGCTGCTCCAGAAAGTCAAATGAATTAGTAGGCACCTCCAGGAAATTACAATGTGTGTTTGTGTGTGTGTCATGCAAGCATCACGTCGGTTTTCAACGCCTCGCTCTCTGCTTGTCTTTCTGCGCCCTCATTGACCAGACATGTTCTGCCAATGGAGGTCAAGGTCATGGCCGTGATTAGTGCCGACGTGTGCATCACTCTGTTCTCTAATGGGAGCGTACAAGCGCGTGCCACCGCTGCCAGCTTCATTATGCGCCTGTGATTTGCCCTTGAATACCCACGTTGGACACATTTGGCACGTTGTGATCGTGAACTTGGTTTAATGTCCGTGACTGATTGATTACAATCGTGTTTTGCTTAATTTGCTGTTTGAGATATTACCTGTTTATTACCAGATGTCTACATGAAAAGAAACCGCATACAACACTGTAAAACTGGACAGGAACAATAACCCAAAATTCTAAATTACTGTTATTTTAAATTGCACATTTGAAACAAAGTGGATGGCTGCCCAAACACGCGGCCGGTTTAATGTGTTGGTTGACCCGAGGGGCCATCGTCTGCTGGTTGGTCGTTGATCCGCCGCCCTCATCTACCACCTGCTGTATTTATATACATATGCATTACGTATAGAGTCGTAACCCTATGCTGTAATAATATTTTTTACAATACAATCCCCAATTAGGGCCAGCTCGGCTTTTCCCTTGGTCTTCATCAGCTGGTGGAGTTATACCAGTTGCCATGGAGATGGATCGTTCTCATGTGAACTGTTCCAATTTTTGCATCAACCATTAAAAGTCCTATAGACTTGGACAATATGCAAAACAATCACGAATGAATGCCCACTTTCCACCATTTTTTGGTCTTGAATATGATGGAATGTTGTCCATCAATTTCATTTAGGGAAGAAATATTACAATGAACCCAAAATACAGGGTTCCAAATCCCTTCACGAGCGTACGGAGCTGTGTTCCATGCGCTCGCGGGGAACTCCTCGAAATATGTCAAAACAATGGGTAATGTCCAACAAGGTGTCAAGTGTCCACTGAACCACTCCACGCATCTCTCACCGCCCCCCCCCCCCTCCTCTCTCCCCCGCGTCCCCCATCTCACGCACCTGACCGACAGAGACCAAAACCGAGCAGCAGCAGCCGGCGAGGACGAGGAATGACGAGAGGACGCGTAGCGGACAGACAGCAGAGCCACCGTCGCAGAGGACAAGAAGGACTGGAAGCAGAGGGGACACATCTGTTGTGACTCAAAGGGGAGACGCGACATCTTCCGGACTCCAGCAAAAAAAAAAATATATATATATAGTCTATATATAAATCTATATTTATATAGAATATGATTCACGTGTCGGAATTACCGCGGTGGACCAGCATGTGGGATTTTTCGCGAGCCTATATCCGTTTGGTTTTCCTCCTCCTCCTCCTCCCTTTTCGCCATTCCGTCAGGCGAGGTCGGCTCCACCGCTTTAACGTAAAACCCATAGAGACCAAAAGCCTTTTATTTTTTTAGGAATGTTGCAAGGGCCCGTCTGGTCCGATAATGGTTCGGGGGTAAAGGAGGACGTTTTTTTTTTTCCAAGAGGAGAGACCCCCCCCTTACATAAATGTTTGCGTGCCGTTAGTGCTCCCGGTGGACCAGCCGTCTCCCGCTCAATAGGCTGCGGAGTCTCACGCGCAGAAGGACGCGTCTCACGAGCGGAGACGGACCTGGACATCGTCTCCTGCGCACGTCGCATGCACGCACCGTCGTACGAGCGGACCTCACCCCCCCTCACCCACCCAACAACCCTCTCACCCGCCACTATCTGATGACTCCCCGGCGCAGAGGTGGACGTGGTACGGAACCGACTGTAGCAGCAGCATCCTCATCATCCTCGACTCCACCACTGGCACCATCACCCTCCTCTTCCTCACCACCAACACCACCAACAGCATCATCATGTCCTCGTCGTCGCGCAAGATCTCGTCCGAGTCGTTCAGCAGCTCGGTGGGCTCGGACTGCGGGCTCGAAAGCCCCGGCGGAGACGCAGGGGACGGCGGGCTCGACCCGGCGGAGGAGCCTCGGGGCTGCCCCTTCTCCTCCCTGCACTCGTCCCGCAGAGCGGTGCTCTGGAACGGCCGCGGCCCGGGCCCGTGCCCGGCGGGCGAGGAGCAGAGGCAGGGGCCCGGAGGTCCCCACAAGAGGGTCACCAGGAGGAGACGCGTGAACCTGGACTCGCTGGGGGAGAGCCTGAGGAGACTGACCTCACCCACGGTAGGCCTGCGGCTCGGTGGGAACAGCCTACAATATCATTCATTATTATTATTATTATCATTATTATTCAGACGGCTTGTGCATTAACAACTTTATTAATGTTCAATCAGGGTGCGGTTAATTACATGCCACGCATTCTAACTGAATGCATGGTTTCACCACACTTTTTTTTTTAGAGCATTCTCACTTTGAATGCATAAGGTCCAGTTTGCTTGTCATTCTGTATACCGAGCTGAACATTGCAGACCAAATCAATAACTGTTCTGGTCTTCAGTAGACATTCGGTAGCCTATTTATTTCGAGAGAGAAAGTCAATAGGATGAACCACCAGAGGCATACATTCCATTCCAAACAGCTGTCGGCAAAGTTGAAGACACCTCATTGGAGGTGGTATTCCACCATTGGAGGCTATTGTCTGCAATCCCAGACGATGTCCTTTCTCACATGATGATGTGACGCTTGCTGTGCTGTCTGAACAAAAAAAAGAGCCTCTTTTCATCCTTCAGCCTGAATCATCTGGCCGATTATATAACAAATATATTGTTGTGAGGGAGGGAGGGAGGGGGAGAGAGAGAGAGAGAGAGAGAGAGAGAGAGAGAGAGAGATGCTCTATGTGTTTATATGTAAGGAGTGTGACGAGGGAGCCTGTTTCTGTGTTTCTCAGTCGTAATACCGGCTCAAATGTAATAGAGCAGCTATTGGAACTGAGTCAATCTACGAGGGATGATGTGCGATTAGGGCATTTGCTATAGAGTACAGTCCTTTGTGACGGGAGGCTACATTCAGATTTGATTGCATCTTCTCTAATCCGGCCCCTTTTGTGTTGGGAAAGAATGGTATACTCTATATGTCAGTCCTTAATATATAAGTAGCTCGGGTCAAAAAAGTTAAATTACAGTCTGCAGCCTGTGAATCTGCGTGAGGAAACGTTGCTCTCAAATGAAAATATTTTGTAATTGACTGACAGAGCAAACCTATTTATTATTTGAGATTCCCCATCAATATCCACAGACAACAGACTTCATATAAATAAATACACCAAAAGGTCTAGTTAAACATCTCCAAACCATGTTGGCCGGTGAGAAGACTACATGGACATTCTCATGTTGCTCTGGTTTTCACGTGTATGAAACAAACGTGAAACCAAATCATATGAAGAGGGAACATGGAGAAATGCATTTGGGATTTTTGACAAACTGACAAACCCTTTATTTATGCTGGTTACGCACATAACATGAGCACCGCAGTGTCTCCTAATTGCAATTGCTCAGACCCTGTGGTCCCATTCCAGGGAGAAATATTGTAGATGCTGCAGCAAAGTCCATATGGGAGAGCAGTGATTATCAGCCTTTTTTTATTTATTTATTTATTTTCTGCTGCCCAGGCGCAACCTCCCCAAAATAATTAAATTCAGCAGCGCAGCTAAAAATCCGGGTGGTGTGTATCGAAGAGGACCACTGAGAGCCAACTCCAGCTCTTAACCGTCAGCTCTTACTGGCCCTGATCTTTAATACAACTGCAAAAACAATAGCGCAGATTGGACACTTAAAGGCAGGTTTGTACCACACAACAATATCCACTGGCATTGTGAAACTGCGTGCATGTGTGTCTCTGTGTAAGTATGATTTCGTTTAAGTGCAATTACAGACATCAGCTTGGTGTCTGTGTCAATGGAGCCCTTTTCTGTCTGTATGTGAGGGTCATTACGGTGTCGTGCTTTGCTTCCAGGGAAAGATTAAATGTCCAAGGTCCTTTCGTCGTTGTCTGATGGATGTTTATTTGCATGTAAGCTGAACTCAGCGGCTCACACCCTCAAACAAACAGCCACAGTGGATGACATTTTAGCTCAGTGCTTATAATTAATACGTAGAAAGAATGCCATGAAAGAAAACAATGCGAACTAAGCAGGAGCATTCACCATCAAATTAGCCAATAGACATACACATATTATATCCCCTCGCTTACTAACAACAAAACGGCACAGTGTTTATTCACTGACACTCGCACTCCACACACACACACACACACACACACACACTGTGGCTGCGTGCAGTGGCAGCGTCTGTTGTTGACTGCAATGGACCGTGACGGAGAGAACAGAGCAAGCTCTCTGTGGTTGTCTTCACCCTGACCACACTGACCCAGAAGCAACGACACGCACACCCACAGTTGTGCTTGCGTGACCTTTAGGGGCATTTCATTCATTTCCTGGAGACCCTAACACTAACCGTAACTGCTACCTTTCCAAGTCCTGACCTTAAACTAGGCTCAACCCGACCCTAACCTTAAACTAAGACTCAAACACACACACACACGTGTGCAAACATTCATTCTCCGTCTCGCTCCTTCTCCTGGTCCCGCTTTCATGTATTCACATGGAAGGTGGCCATTAACCCGTGACGCTGATTAAAGGCCATGAGTGTTGCCCACAAATATGAACAGTGCGCAACATTTGCGTGAGTGTGCTAGTTTGTGTCGTCTCTTTTAAATCCGTATCCCAGCTCCATCTTCCCTATAAAAAACCAGATTACCAAACTATAGAAATAAATACGGTCTGTTGGTTAATAAAATGAGAACTACAGTAGAATTGATAGATGCACAAGAGGCTTGTAAGTCACAAGGTTTATTTCAACTCGCATGGTTTCCTTCTCATCGATTTAAAAAATACGTAATTGTGTCCTCAAGTGACCAGAATTCACTTCACTAATCATACTGGAATTATGCTTTATGCGTTCAGCGTTATGTTTAACCTTAGGTTTCGTATCACACAGACCTGCAGGCCGGGCACGTTGATCGGTTCATTCGCCTGCTGTGGGGAGGCAGCTTTGAAAGGGATGAAAACAGATGAAGCCATACAAACATTTCTGAGCAACTGCTGCAAAAAGCATCATTTCGAATGAAATAGTACGCTACACATTTTGCATGCATCTCTTTTCCGATCTTTTCCGACATTAAATTCATTCATTCATTCATTCACTAAGTCCGTTGAAGCTACAGATGGATGCCTAATATTTAGCATTGGATTTGTCAGTAGATTTGTTGTGAAGTCCTTGCAGGTTTTTAAGACATTATGATGTCATCGATCAGCTAATTCATGCTACAAAGATTCAACACTAATGAGTGTCATTCGCTACGTGATCGGTACATACTGCTCGTGTGCAAAGTAGAACGACACACCTGTCGAGTTTAAGCTGCATTTGATAAAAATTGGTATTGATATATTCAATTAAAATTGCTTTGGAAAGGTTAATTACAACATATCATTATATATTCAAATCGTCTTTTAAAAAGACAAGTAAATCTTGAGTAAAGACCGTTTCTTTTAGGTTTATATTTTCACTGCAACGTGAAATAAATGTAAGAAAGGCAATTCTGACCTGTTTAACTTTTTTGTTTTTGAACACAATGGTATGTGTCCCATGCTGGGATCTTGCAGGGTCTCATCTGGTGCTTGAGCACCACTACCCAGTGCACTGTGACCGGGGACCACACAACGGTTCAGGCTTTTGGAGATTTGGAGATGCTATAAACCGAGGGGAGGAATAAGTAAAAGAGACGGAGGCACCTTCACATAGTGGAGAAGAGTGTGACTGGACCTATTTGTGAAGGAAAGCAATGCAGAGCAACAGAGCAAGTGGGATGAAGAGGGTGTTGGTGAGATACTGCTCCCCTCCCAAGGTAAAGAAACAAAGCAAACAAATGAGACCAAATGGTTTGGACGAAGGCCACAGGGAAGAGGACAAGGAGGGAAGGAGAATAGGTCTTAAAAGAAGAAAGAAAGAAAGTTTGACTTTAAATTTGAAGCTAAAATTTACGTGGCCGCTTTCCTATAATGGAATTAGTTTTTCCAATCTTCCCTTTTATTTATCCTGAATACACACAATCACCATCGTCTCAATTACATCCTATTTAAAAAGATTTACTCAGCTACAAGCATTCCATCAATAACAATGATATTATCTACTTAATAAAAATAACAATTTGTTGTTTTTACCTATTATATCCTAATTTTACTCATTTTTGACAACCAAACAATCTACTAGCTGTTAGTAAGGTTGGTTAGAGAGATTATTGTGTGCTGAGGTTTAGCATTGTGTGTACAGCAAACACGCCATGGACCGCAACAACGTGGACTAATGACGACGTATGTGTGTTTGCACATGTGTGCACGTGTGGCTGATAGCAGTTAATGCATGTGTGTTTGGTCATGTTGTAGGAATCTTGTGTTCTCGCACTATAATGCGCATGTTCTGTGGTAAATGAGTAGCTGAATGAAGGATGCAGTAAGAGGAGGTCGAGGAGACATTATTTCCCTTTGGCTCAATAAAGCTAATAGGGTGGAAAGTATTTTTGTAACAACCGTTCTCAAAATTAAATACACTTTAAAATAAAAGAGCACTGAGAAGAGAAGCTACAGATATATGTAACACCAATTAATGTGCTATAATATCATGTCTAATTCTCATTTAACCTGATGGTGAAATAACCATGTTCACCTAAAACATCTGCTGACTAATATGTCGATTTTCTTCACATTCTCTACAACCTCTCCGTCTCTTGACACGTACAAACACACACACACACACACACACACACACAGACACACACACGAAAACCCTCCTGTATGTGTCCGGAGGCCTCAGGATGACCTCCCCAGCTGGCACACTGTGTTCCAGTATTGTCACTATGGTCTTTGCGTTTGAGCTGTGTCACAGATAATCCCGCTGGACCCGCCTCCTCTGGCTTAGACCGACGGTCACGGAAAATAGGCCAGCTCCACACACACACACACACACACACACACACACACACACACACACACACACACACACACACACACACACACACACACACACACACACACACACACACATCCTCAGAGTTTGATGGAGGTATTTTACAGAGGCTGGGCTATTAGTAGAACTTGTCTAAACGACCCACAGAAATATGAAATGAAATTATGACAGTAATCATCGGTGGTGCGTGAAGTCTGGGTGTGACTTTGTGTAGATATATTTGGTTTAACAGAGAATGATGCAACCTTATAACAAGCTGCAAGAAAGACAGCCAACAATTCAGTTCGTAATATATTTTTTGCAATGATTTTAATGTGGATTAGTGAATGTGTTCAGTATTTTTGCTCCATTGCATGAATAGTGGACACACAAATACACATTGAATGTGTGTACTTGTACTTGTTCTTGCAGACGCAGACTGTTCAGGAGGCTCTGCAGCGAACTCTACAGTTCTACAGACAACAAGAGATCAGGTAAGACTTTCTTCACCACTTGCCGGTTTTTCTTTCTAACTCCCGTCTTCTTTTATTAGTCTGCGCACCCGCTGTCTACGTGCCGTCCACCGGCTGTCCACCGGCTGTCCACCGGCTGTCTTGTCTTAGCGTTCCCATCCATCACTTTTTCTCCTCTCCGCCTTTATTTTTCTGACTTTTTTTTGCCCTCTTTCTGTGTGTGTATATATATAGACACACTCTTTCACCTCATGTGTCTGCCTCTCTCTTACTGTCCGTGTCCAAACAGTAGAGCGCAGGAGAGATGATTCAGCCGGGCACGACGCACACTGACATTGTCCATGAAGCACATGCTGAACACAAATATAGAAAACTCTTTGGGACCTTTCTTTGGGGGTTTTATTTTTCCTCGGCTATTCGCCCTTACTGCCCGACCATCCATTTTAATTTTATGTAACAATGACGATTGTGCAGACAGGAGAGATGCCCTTACCTTTTGTCACTCACTTGTTCCTGGTGTCATTCGTCTACACTGCAACCTACTTATGTTTTAACCTTATAAAGACAGTGGTCCTTTAATATTTATATATTTATTTAGTATCTCAATTATTTAGAATCCAAAAAAAAGTAATGCTTCTGCTGGACAACACACACATGTAGGAACAGTGCAACGTTTAGAAATGAGGCTCGTGACCAGAGTGTCTGTGGTCTAATTCCCAGACTGAAATAAATCTGTTTTGGGAAGTGAAAGAGCATCTCTTGCTCTTCCTTTATTGACATTGGTGATGTGACCTTGGGAACATTTCCCTGCCTTTCTGTTGTCCAGCTGTTTCACTTAATCTGCACATTGACCACAAAATCACAAAAACATCTATTCAGTTGGATTTTTGCCACCACTCCCCAACTACTTTTCTTACCCGTCCATTGAAGAGATGGGATGTGGGTTCATTAACCATTTGCCACCTTGTTGTCTCTTCTTATTCGTCAATGTCATGGCTAATCGTGGCTTCCGCTCTGCGTGTTCGATTCATGTCTTTGACAGGTGTCAGGAAGTTGGCAATGAGGAGAGGCAAAGAGAGAGGAGAGAAGAAAAGTGCCCCTTTCTAGAAAATTCTGGTTCAGAAGAAGATGTCCTACAAATCCTCCAGTACATGGCCACCATACTGGGTAAATAAAGGAGATGTGTGTGTGGATGGTCACATCGGCCTACAAATTGGTGTGTTAATGACTTTGTTTATGTATTTATTTGCCCTGTATTTATTCCTTCTCTTCTTCCCCAATGTATGGTCTTCTGGATTTAGTATTGTTTGTTTACATGCGTGTGTGACACTATCAAACAGTGTTTGCCTTTTTTTCCTGCTCTTCCTGTGAGATGCCAAGGTGTTCCCAGTTCTGGTCCCAGCTGGATATGCCTGAAATGCATCCACAGGGAGGTGTCCAGGAGGCCTCGCTGCCATTAAAGGCCTCTGTGCCCAAACCACCTCGATTCACTCATTTCAATTTGCACGAGCAGTAGTTCCACTCTATGTCCAAGGTCCGTAATTTGTCCTGGAATCCTGCAAAGAAAACCCTTAATCTTCACTTCACAAGGATTAGCACCCTCTTCAACCCAGTTCACAATGCTCCATGCATCCATCAATCTCACTGTCAATATAACTATAACAGTTTGCTGTCCTAAGCTCAGTTTTTCCTGTGCACGTTGCACACAGTGTATCTTGTGCTGAGTAGGTGTCTTTTCTTAGGCACGGGTTAAGCAGTTTGACCAGATTTCTTTCTGTTTTTGTTCTATTTTTGTGGTGTCAACTTGTATTTATAATACATGAATACATATCTGTTTTAATTTAGCTATAATCTGTTGATTCTATTTTCTACTGAGTAATTATTCCCTTAGTAGGCATGTGACATGATTGTTTTATCTCATCAATATCCATTATTTTGACATGGCTTTGATTGCTTTGGACAGTTTTATTTTGTAATTGGAAAACTGAGATTTAAAATATTTTTGTTGAGCTTATGTGAATGTGGGCAGGTTAGATGTTCTGTTGTACATCTGCCTTTTGTATTAATATCAGTATTTTTGGTGGTTATCCTCAAAAGACCACTCTTTGGCATCGCTGACCTTGATGTTTGGCCTCCTCTCTTTCACAGGAGTGCCCTTCTGCGAGCTGCGAGAACATTTCGGAGAGGAGTTCTTTGGCCTCTGCTTTGAAGAAAATGAACGAGTGCTTCGGGCTGTGGGAGGCAACCTCCAAGACTTCTTCAATGGCTTTGACGCCATTTTGGAACACATTCGCACCTCCACGGGGCGCCGCGCCTCGTCTGAGAGCCCCTCCTTTCAGTGCAAGGACCCCTACGAGGAGGACAAAGGCAGAAGAAAATTGGATAAAGTTGGCAAGCCAGGAGAAAGCGATGGAAGAGGAAACATTTGGGTCCTTCACTGTTTCAACCCGGCCTCTGTCGTTGGCTTGGTCATGCCGGGGTTCATCAGAGCTGTGGCCCGCCGGATCTTCCATTCGGAAGTTGAGGTGGAAGAGGTGCCCCCTCTGACTCCCCTATTGCCAAATGAAGATGCAGAACACGTCGACGGAGGCCCCACGGCGACCACCCCGACTGCGTCCCCCGCTGCCACGCCCTCCCCGTCCCCTCCCTCTCCTTTTCCAACTTCTGTTCCCACAGTTTGCTTGTCCTTCCAAATCCAGGAGACGAGCCCCCCTTGTCTACCGCCCGTCCCAAATGCTGCCTCAGTGAGCACCAGTCGGCCCCCTCTTTCACTCTCCACCAACCCCAGTGATCTGTGCATCGGCCTGGCCACGTTTTGCCGTGCCTTTCCATTTCACCTGGTCCTGGGGCCCCGCATGGAGCTGCTGCAGCTGGGGGAAGGGTTGAGGAAACAGGCTCGCATTGAGCCTCACCGGACCCTCTTGTTCAGGGACTTTTTTGAGATTGTCTCACCCAAGATGGAGCCGTCGTTCAAGGGCATCCTGCTAAGGCTCGCATCCCCGTTTACCATCCGCACCAAGCCTGATACCACGCAGTCTGGCACCAACGAGAAGGTAAAGATCTCATGCATAACAGTTCTACTTTTCACCACGTATTTTATTGTAGTGTTAGTGCTTGGTGAACTCTAATCAAGTTTTCTATCCAAAATGATATGATCATGTCATGAGAGTATAATCAGTGTGACACACAATGAAATCCACCTGTCCGAGTATCACGTTTATTAATAAATACTTTGTGACTTATTCACTCTAAATGATAACAATAAGAAAAGAAACCACTATCTGTGTGCTGTTACGTAATCGAATGAGAGCTTTGTCAAATGAAACGACATAGCTGCAGTGCAAGGCCGCCTCGTTTAGAGAAGTTGTAGTTTGTTTCTGAGTATAGTGAAGTTGAACATATCAATCATTTGCTCTAGTCTTAGTCTTTTGGGGGTGTAACAGTAGTATGTTGTCTACTGTGATGTTTCCTGCATGGCAATTAGGAGGCTTGAGTTGGTTTACCAGGAAATAGAAATACATCAGAGTTGAATATATGATCCAGTTCTTTATTGATTGGTTGGTCTCCGCAGGCTGTAAATGTCTAGCACCAAACACCCTGATGATTAATAGAACTCAGAGAGAGGAGAAGGATCAGTCCAGCCAAAGTGTGTGTGTGTGTGTGTGTGTGTGTGTGTATGTGCGTGTAAGTGTGTAAGTGTTTGTTTGTTGTCCTCTGATTTGTCACGCCGCCAGAAGAAAAAATAAACAACAACATCCTTTATTACGATTGACTACTGATGTTGAATGATTGGATAACATATCGTTGGGCATTACTGACCTTGTCTACAGCAGTTAAATTAGTTTTTTTTTATAATGGGAAACCCGGTTTGCCACTTTGAAGAGGCTCTGTACTTTTATCCAGTGAACACGAACGGCCATTTTTTCACGTGTGGTAGTATGGAAGGAAACTATTATGAAAGTGACACTAAAACACCTTTGTGGAAGAAATAGTTTTCGTTTTAAAACCCTTTTTTTCTGAAAAGAATGATCTCGTTACAGAGGTAAGTGGGAAGCTGGAAACATGTCAATTGAAATTGGCTCATTAATGTTGTTTAAAGGTACATTTCGGTCGCTCGACGAATGCAAATGTGAACCTATAAAAATGTGACGGGTATAAAAACATGTAGTACTCACGTATTGCTAACACAACTGATTATGAACAGGTTTTAGTGGAATTAAATTTCCCCCAATGTTTTCCTGCTTATTGAGGCGTTTGAGGATTCGTTTTGTGTGTTTTTTTCTCATTTTTGTGGTGCGCTCTTCTGGGGCGTGTCGTCAGGGTGACGGTTGATTCTGTAGATGAACCAGACTTAGTTATGGATTTGTTCTGTTGGGCCTAGTTTCAGTTTTGTGTGGACTGAGCTCATATTTGGGCATCTTGTCCAAATGAACTGACCCCCGGGTTAAGTGCATTAATCTAAACCTCGGCAAAACGGATGACAGCCGGTCAACAGGTGCGTGGCTTCAGAGATCCTCCATACATACAGTACATAAATAAAACCCTCACTGGAGCTGCAGGATTCCCCTCCTCATAGTCAGCAACACAAGACATCTCGTCTTCTATCTGTCATCCACTGTGTCAGTGTCTCGCAGAAGTTCACCATCATTATCTCTTCCTTTCTGCTTCCTACACATTTCTATTTTTTGCCTCACGTTGCAATGTCTCCGCCGTAACATGTTTCCATCTTCTTTAATTGCGTCCTCTTATGCATTCAGGCATTTCCTCGATTTAAAAAGGTTTTACTGCTCAAGAATGGAAAAACATCAGCAATTACCCAAAAAGGGCCCCCCATTTCACTTATTTTCTCCCATAAGAGAGACCAACTTTAGTCTGTTTATTGTTTGGGGGGGTTTGACCTTGTGTGATACCAGATAGTAGACAGGAAGTACAGCGGAAGGACAGCAAGGGAGTTCAGGGTCGGCTCAAGCATCAGTGTTTTGGTTTTTCGTGGTGGCCTTATAATCTTTCTTATCTCTTAACCCTCAGCCCACTGAATGAAGAAATGTTCCTCAGCACATCGGTGCAGGTTTCAGTGACTCCGTCTAGCTGCCTCACAGCTTATGCTGCTGTAGTTTTAAGTTAGACACCGGCTCCGAGCTCCAAACCCCATCACCGGCGGTGGGTTGGGTGGACGTTGTTGTGCTTTATTTTTGCCATAAAAATCCTTGCTCATCTGAGCTGAAAAGCAGAACAAAGTGGGAGAGAACGAGAAGGATGGGCTTGACATTTTAAGGGCAGCGAGAGAAGGCGGCAGGCCAAGGTAAAGAGGCCACAAAAGAGCCGTCCCCCGTGTCGCCTTATGTGTGTCCATAGCCTGTAGTGGATTTTCAGTTTCCTTTTTTCACCCAGGGACATGTGCAAGGGGCGTCCAAAGACCTACTGAAAAGGTCAAGTCTCCCTCTGCCTTCCCCGCTTGGTGTGAGCGCTGTAATCAGCACACAGAAGCTGTCCTCAAAAGCTCTCCTCTACCTGGTCACTTCTTCTCATGGTTCCTTTACACCACTATTTGCTTTATCCTTTTCTGTTATCAGATGTCCCCGTTACTTTTTCATCATGACGAAGAGATCCGGACTGCCCGTATTGAGTTGAACTGTGCTATAAATCAAGCAGTCGGGACTTCCGTCCGGTTGTGATGCCACGACTGTACAGTGACCGGCAGAAGTGCTGAACTCAGCAGCATACACTTTTATTGGTTATAAGACATACCAACAAGGTTATGCACTCACTATTTGAGAAATGTATGATTTGGCCTACTACGACAGGGAATGTAAACGCTGAAACACTTGGTTGGGACCAGGTCCAAGCTGCGGATGTGCACCTGCTTCGGGTCATGGAGTCCAAGCTGTGGTTGGGATGAGGCGGTGCTTTTCATGCCTCTAGGGGAACAGTGTGTGTGTGCAGCTGGTGCCCTAAACCAGCAGTTGTCTCGTCTCCGTGAGACAAACCCTGCTCTTCCCTATGACATGTGCAACAAATACAATATGCTGCGGGAGATGAAGGATAGGGAAGACTTGTGAAAGCAAAGGAGAACGTCTGTGAGGCCCAGCCAGGATGTTCAACTACAATGTAGTGTAATACTTGCTATTTGGTGGCTAAATGAGTGTTTTTGTTTTTTGCATGTGAGCAGCTGCGTGTCAGAGTACAAAGGCCATCTTGACATTAGCACCACCCTTGATCTGGTTCTGGATAAATCACTGCTATGATGTTTTGTTTGCTCAGTATAGAAAGTGCTTTGAAAATCAGTGCCTCCTTTGTTTCTGTCCACTCTTGATACATTTACAAAACGGGGCGTATGAAAACACAATGGAGTAAGAAAACCAGACATAGAGAGAAGACGGAAATATCAGAAGTATAAAACAAGAAACAAATATCTCTGTGTGCTTTTTGAAACAAGGATAAAAATAATAGAAGTCCTTGAGACTTTTCTTATTCAAAGAGAAAAATATAACGTATTGTTTACAACCTCGAGGATGGTTGTAAACAATACGCGTCAATAGTGACTCATACAGATGAGTCTTAGTTTTATAAATATAACCCAAATAAATCTGTATTTCAAAATAAGTCTCTAGGTATGCATTGATCCGATGCAGATATCGGATATAGATCTGTTACTGAATCCAATCCTTTTATTGGGGTTTCTGTGACAATGGGACTGATCATTCTATTCAATTAAATGCTTTTTGTGTCTGGCAGCACGCCGTTAGCAGCACGCCGCTTTGCCGTATGGACTAACAACCAGCACATCAGCTCTTTTTCAAGCTTGCTATGCCAAAAAGTTCTACGGCTGCTTGTTGTATCTATTCCACAGACATACAGTTTTTAGCTGGGTTGTTCTTGGGTTTTCCATCAGTATCAGGACTGAAAAAGAACAGACTAACCCGATATTTTTCAATTTGGAATTGGCTATTCATTCATTTTTGCACGAAACGGCTTAAAGCAGTTGTTCACAGTCATGCCCTTTGGTTTTGTTGGTTAAAGATGTAGCAAAAACTATAGCCTTTAAAAGTGTGTCGCATCACCCTGTTAATCCATTTAAATGTGCCTCAAACAATCCTCTTAGTCGATTACCTGAATATAATGTATGCCGACTTTCCTTGCGTAGATCCTGTAATATGACTCGTTTGACCTCTGATTCTTCTCTCAAATGAATTTATCCCAATGGCGTATTCTTTTTGTTTGGTTTCATTCCAAACCAGAAGGTACAAGCAAATCCCATGCAAATGCATTTGCTTTGTTATTTAAATGTAATGTCTATCTGGGCTACAGTTAGTGTGTGAGTTTGTGCATTTCATTTACTGTGCGAGTGGGATGTAAGAATACGGCACAATATGGCTCGGGTCTAACGAGATACGAGTGTGTGTGTGTGTGTGTTGGAGAGAGAGAGAATGAGAGGGATGAGAGAGGCTGACTCATTGACTCTTTGCTTCTCGGTGCTTGTTCATGCAAATGTGTGTTGACATGCCAGAGTCCCCTCACAAAAGACAATCCATTAGCTGTCCGTCGCACCTCCCGCTATCCTTCTCTCCATCTCTGGCGATTGTACGTCAAGTCCAGTGTGTCTTGTTCTTGTGTTATCTCTCTTTGTCCCTCACTCTTTCCCACCTGTATATCCACCTCTGGCTCTTTTTACTCTCACCCCCTCCATCCTTTCCTTTTCATCTGTCTCCAGCTCCCTGTTGCCTATGGCGATAGGAGCCTGCATCTGTGCACTAAGAAGATAGATCTGGTGTATGTAGAATGTGACATCGCAGGGTGTGCTGCTCAGGTCTGGCTACTAAAAGACATAAAACATTAGAATAAACGTATGCGGTATATAACAAACCTCAATCATGCGGAAATACAGAAAACACAAACACGTACACAGAGTGAAGTCAGGTGGCAGAAAGGTCACAAAGCTTCAGGGTATCAATCAATAAAGGTTTGATCTGAATAGTGGAGGAAATAAACAGCAGAATGCAGAATGTTATTTCCCTGTGGTGACAATGAAGTCACCTTGAACAAGGACTGATTGTAAGTAATTGTAAGTATCATTATTGAATGTTGACGAGGACAAAGCGGTTTGCTTTGTTTTCAGACGCTTTCAGAAAAAAAAATACTCTTTGTATTATTATTATTATTATTATTCTGAAGTTCACCTGTGCCATCTGGCTATAGGCCTTCTATTGCATGTTTCCTACTGTTTGTCTCACTGTCTTCATTTTACTTTTCCCTTCCTCACATTTCCTTTCCCTCTTTGTGAATCTATAGCTATATATATATATATATATATATATATATATATATAGTCTCTACAATGCTTTTAATTCTCACATTTTTTCTATTTTGTTTTGCCCTCCCGCCTTATTCTCTCTGCCTCGTGTCTCTCCCTCCCTCCCCCCTTCTTACTGTGCGCCGCTTTCTCTCCAAAGCACTAATTTCGCCCTTCCTTCCTCCTTCGCTCACTCACGTCCTCTTCCACTGTGCCGTGATGCCAGAGACGCAGGCAGAAGGAGAGGAGAGCGCTGAGTTAAACACGGACGCACAACTAGGCCAGCGCTGCTGCCTCCAGGGGGATGTGTGTGTGGTTGTTTGTCATGTATGTTCGTATCGTGCGTGTGTGTGTGTGTGTGTGACAGGAATGAGAGCGACGGATGTTCACAGGCGGACACGCGGAGTAATCTGGTGAGACGCCGGTCACATCCTACCCACTGTGCACAAATTCAAAAAGCAGCGGCATTCGCTCGATGGATGTTTCAGTCGTCTTCATGTAACGGGGCGATGCGACGAAACAAAAAGCGAGAGGGGGCGGCATTGGAGGTGGTTTGGCGGTGAGGGAAGGCCGCGCCGATCGTGAGTTTGCTGGATCAGGATGCTTTGATGCAGGGAAAACCCCCATCGGAGGCTCCTGGGTGCAAACAGGACTCAGTCTGCACTGCGTAGTGGCCTCAGCTTTAACGCGCAGCCTGTTCAAGGTTCACACCAGTAGGAGTTGTGAACAGCAGGTTGCAAAGCCCAGCTGTACGTTCTGCGTTGCTGACTTGTAACAAATCATTCACTTTTACCTGCAGCAGTCTCATCACATATCGTAATTGTGTAATCAGTGTGTCGTTTGACTGTTGTGTTCCCAGATCTCACTGATTAGTCATTTAAACTGAATACAATATATTCTATTGTGATAAAAACGGTATTATAAATTTGGAAGTTCAATTCAATCGGTAGTTCATACAAAGTGGGTCACAGCAAGTTGTGTTTCCGGGGACTTGCATTTGTTGATTCTTGGGCTGCATATATGTTTATGTGTGTTCCTGTGAAACAGACAGTCGGAAGCAGTTTGTGGATTTCCCAGTTGGATGTATTTTGTGTTTATGTGTGTAATAACATACTATGTGTGTGTGTGTGTGTGTGTGTGTGTGTGTAGAAGTAGACTGTATCTATTATGCAGACCTAGGAGAGCCGTGTGCTATAAATAAAACAGGGCTGCAGTGTGCTCGCTGGCGGAATAATCTATCTGACACTATGGAGAGAGAGAGAGAGAGAGACTGAATGAAAGACAGGTGACCGTGGGGAGAAAAGGAGAAGCTAAAGAAAGGGAAGGACGGGGCAACGACGGAGCTGGAGTCATATTGTTAAGGGCGGCAGCGTGCATGTTTCAATCGCTCTCCTCTTTACCTCCAGGCTTATACGCTTGTTCTCCCCTAACCTGTGGGTGTCGTCAGCGCGGTTTAGGGCTCGTGTGGAACATGTCATAAAGCTATTGCAACCAATTGGTATTCACCAACAATCGCAGTGTTTTATTATGTTGGCAATAACGGTGCAGTTGTTGGTAGAGCTGCAGCCTCCCAAGTGTTTCTTTTCTCTGACGGAAATATTAATATTAAACAAGTTTGCTTCTCGATTTGTTTTGTGACAATTGTTCAAGGGCATCTGGGTAGAATGTGGGTCAAACAGTGACATTATGATGATGACTAATAACTAGGTCAACCCAGTTTTTAACAGCCTCCTCTTATACAGGTCAACTTGCATTATACATTCAACTTTGTATTGCTAAATTAAAACTATACTATATTAAAAAAGAGTTTTAAAGACATTTTTCAGATTTGGTGTGTGGAAGTCCCTACATTGGAGCACGTGGGTTCAAGAAAAGCACAAATCAGCCGTAGTAGCGAGAGGCTGAAAACAAACTAACCACTCTTCTCTGTCTTAGTGTATTTCTGCATCTACTCAGCCTTGACAAACGACTCAACCGTAGTAACTCCTTCCTTTCCCATGTGACTGCTCTAACAGGTTATGGAGTTGAAGGGTCAGATGATCCACGTGCCCGAGTCCTGCTCCCTGATGTTTCTGGGTTCTCCGCGTGTTGATAAACTGGAGGAGCTCATGGGCCGAGGCCTCTACCTGTCGGACATCCCCATCCACGATGCCACACGGGACGTGATCCTGGTGGGGGAGCAGGCCAAGGCCCAGGATGGCCTGAAGAAGAGAATGGACAAACTTAAGGTAGAGTGGTTCATTTTCGGGGTTTTATTCTATACTGTATATGTACAGTACATGACAAGTAAGGAGCTTTCAGTTCATCGGATCTCACCATCAGCCACTCAGATGTTTTGCTCCTTTGTGGCTTCATGTTAAAAGTCAATTACGTTCCGCCTTCCGCATTCGTTCATCCATATGTCAATTGTTTAAATGTACAAAAAGCGGATCACATCGGAAGTATCTTGTGTCCCTGACAGGCTCACATTAGTCGAGACCCGCCACCCTGTCAATCGAGTAACAATCTAAATGGCGAATGACAACCGATGTCCACAGCGTCTTTGAGAATACACAACGTGGAATGCGCAAAAACATTCTGCACATCCGCAGGTCCATGCTTGAGTTTGTTTAATCCAATGCTTGGGCTGCGCTGACGGATTCATAACGTGGCCCCTGGGACTCCTTGGCTCTTGTAATTTGCTTTCAAAGTACCCTTGAACAAGTCACTGAGTTTTGACCCAAGCCTTTGCATCTGCTCACTGCAACGCTCTCTCACTGCCGCCGCTCCCCCAGGCCGCTGTTATAAATAGCTACATCGGAGGTTCACTTGCTCGCCCCATCAACGGTATAGCGGCCGGCGCATGAGACAGATTTTTGCATTATGAAGCTCGCCCACAGACACAATCGCTCGTAAGCAAACCCCATCCAATGAATACACAAATACATTTTACATGCACCGGCTGTTTAAATCTGCCGCACTACCCCCCACATCCTCGAATCGTTGCCGCCGGCGCTTTCCTCAAAGCAAAGCGACCAGAACATTCATTTCCTTTCTCTTTTTTTCTTCTTCCTCTCTCAGGCCACATTAGAGCGGACTCACCAGGCACTGGAGGAGGAAAAGAGGAGAACCGTGGATCTCCTCTATTCCATATTTCCAGGCGATGTGGCACAGAAACTCTGGCAGGGTGAGCCAGTGCCCGCTCGCAAATTTGATGATGTGACCATGCTGTTCTCAGACATCGTGGGTTTTACTGCTGTGTGTGCCCAGTGTACACCTATGCAGGTCATCTCCATGCTGAACGAGCTTTACACACGCTTTGACTACCAGTGTGGCATTCTGGATGTTTATAAGGTCAGTAGACGGAAAGACGCACACTGGTTTCCTTATGCGGCGCAGTAGGGGACGGGATGACGGGATGGGGCCCGATTCTTTGGGGCCATTTCTAAACTGTGAATGAATGTCAAATGTCATTTAAGGTATTGCTTACTGGTTCATATGGTCACCTGAGTTCATTGCTAAAGATAAATGTTCTCCAGGAAGTGACAGTTTTCCCAAGAACTTAGAGCCCCGCCCCCCACCCCCTGCCCCCTGGAGTCTTTGAAACTTTGCAGTTGTATTAAAAGCAAAATCTTTAAAGTATGTCTGTCCACTAAGTAGACATGAATTATCTTTAAGCTATATTTAATCTCTAACACTGCACGATGTGTCCAGCATTTGTATTTGATATTCTTCATGGTTCCTTACCAATATAATAAAATAAACCTGTAATTACTTTGATAGAATCGTATTAAAGTTTTTTTAAGACATTTAATAAAGATACTTTGTGTATAGATAGATAGTGTTTCTGTAATCTTGAGGATTGAAGCCGTGGCGTCTCAACTCAATATAAATGCTTGTTGTTTTTAATATTTATAATATTTTGGCCACTGGGACGCAAGATGCTGCGAGTGTGTCTTTGTTGAGGTCACCAACTCTTGCTGTGAATGGCACATTCCCGAAGACTCACTAATTTATTTCAGCTCTGCTGCTGCTGCTGTTTTTCATACAGATCGAAACAATAGGCGATGCTTACTGCGTGGCAGGAGGACTTCACAAGAAGGTTGATAGTCATGCAAAGCCAATTGCACACATGGCTCTGAAGATGATGGAACTTTCTGAGGAGGTGCTGACACCGGATGAGAAACCTATCAAGGTGAGTTTTTTTTTTCCTCCTTTGACACATCAACTTTATCAACGTGTGCCATTTTATATTTTGTTTACCTACATATTTAAATGTATTCCGTTTGTAGGCCTCTACTTCTTTTTAATGCTGAAACAAACGTTCAATCAATCAATCAACCAACCAACCAATCAATTAATCAATCAATCAATCAATCAAGCGCTGGGCCAAACTACAGTGTTTCTTCCCCTGTACCAGAATGATCATTTGGGGAGTCAAACCTTTCTTTACGTGGAGATTTTTAAGGAGTGAGGTTCTCCTCCTCTTTTTGAAAGACTCTAGCTGCAGGTAGCCGCAAATAAGAGACCATTATTTCCAATAATTAAGTTTATAGGTGAGAGTCAATGGCAGATGGTTGAATGGAATTTGAAAGAATGTATTTGAATTTTCCCTCCGACTTGCAGTGAGCTTGTTTCAGAGTAAAGACTCTTTGGTGTCCGTGGATGTTTCTTTTTGTAGATGCATATGTGTTTACAGTGGGACATGATTGTATGTGTCTGTGTTTGCCGTGTGGGTGTATGCACGTGATGTTTTGTTCTATTTGTGTACCATATGCTTCTGACTGGTGTGTGTGTGTGTGTGTGTCTGTTTTCAGTCGTCTTTACTCTTTTCTCTCGCCATCCTTCCTTTTCTCTCTGTGTCCTTTCATTTCATCCCATTTTTCAATTCTTTAACTTACTTTGTGTTCACGGGCCAGACGCATCTTGATTAACATTAATGCAGGAAATATTTGAATCGTTTTCCAAATTGGTCAACCATTTTTTAGTTAATGGCAAACTGTTGTATTTTACTCCGTCTCTATCCAAAGTTCTACATGATTGTTATTGAATATTTCAAAGAGTTATGATGATAGAGAAACAGTATCGTCATATTGATTGCGTCATATTGGTATATTGTGTCCAATATATCAATGACAGTAAATTTACACAATTTCACACCTTGAAAAAATAATTAACTGGTAAAGATAGAACACAGCTGTTGCTGTGAGTTTTCATCCTCCTTCAGAATCCGTATTACGTGTCAATGTGGAATTCCATTTACCAGTATTTAATGGAGTTAGAGAGACAAGCTTCTCTTTTGCAGAAAAAGATGATTTTATTAATTAGGAGCGGATGGAAAGAAGTCAACTGTGGGAATAGAGTTCAAACCTGTTGTTAATTCAGTTGAATGAAAAGAGGAAATTATTTATTTATGGCATCCTCGGGCCGGGCTGCCTTTGGTTTGCTTTCCTCTGCGTGCTATCTTGCAATGCCAAGCAAAGTATACAGTAGGTAGCCTTTTATTGCACGTTTTATTAGTGAAACAGAATGAACAAATACAAACATTTGCAATAGATGAAGTCAGTTAGAACGATGTCTGTGGAATCACAATCTGCATTTCTTTTGACTTATTTCTTTTTGTTAATGCTGCTGATGTTACATCTTTAACGCAACCAACACTTATGAAATATGAAATCAACCTTTCACAAAGTGCATTATTTACTTCTGTTAGAGTAACATTCAAGGAAAGGCCTGGCCTTTAAAAACAGATGTATTCAGAAGCCCTAGAGGCTGATTGGGGCTGTTCGCAACACACGGGTCATTTTGGGGCGGCTACGGCACGAAGTGGGTCACCCTTTTAATCATGAGATTCCTCTGTGCCACGTATCTATTTGACTATTGTGATTAAGTTTTAATTATTGAGAGAGAATAATTGCTCTTTATTTGTGCTAATGTGTCATCAATAAGAAAAGTTTGGAAGAGCAGCAGACTTACCCTTTAAAACTGGAGTTGAAAAATATTGTTTTAGAAAAACACATGACTGAAAATGTGTATGTGTGAGAGAAGCTAAGATGGATAGCTACTAAATAACAGACAGGACACTCATCTGTATACTTCTGTGGTTCCAGTATTGGCCATTTGTCTCAAAATACAAAGGCCGTGCCCAGATTCTTTGGTCTGATCTTCTAATTTTTGGTCTGATCCTCTCCTTTGCTCTCGCTCTCTCTCTCTCACGTCTTCCCCTCTTTTTTATTGTTTTCTATCAATCTGTCCTCTACAACCTTTTTCCAACTAATTTTCCCCTTTTATTTTTTAACTTTCTTTTCCTCAGTTACAACCGTCCTCGTCCTTTACTATATCTGTCGTGCTGTCCTCTCTTTTTTAGCCCTCCTGACTTCATGTTATTATAAGAACTGTTATGGATATTCATCTCTCCGGCATGATAAATGCTGTTCGGTGAGTGCACTCACTGTAGCCAATGTAGCACTGTTATGCAAACTATTTATGAAAGCCTTGAGAAACTCTTTCGTAAGAGAGAAGTGGAGAGAGTGATGATGGGACACGGAGAAAAATAGACACAAGAGAGATATCACAAGAGAAACACGTAGAGAAAACAAACTTCATTGCTTATCTTGTCACTGCTAATATTGTTCAAATGAATTCATGTGGGCTTATTCCAACCAATCGCACGTTACATCGGCAGTATGTCGTACGTTGCACAGAGGTTAGACAAATCAATTGAGAGACGGATTGTTTCAGTACTGAAAACCATAAAACGTCTTCCTCTGCTTGCATGTGTCACAGTCAGTGAGAGCAGCTGAAGTGCACTCAGTGGTCAGTTTCTTAGGTGCATCTAGCTAAACAAATACAGTCTAATACAACAACGCCGCAATGAAGCCCCCAATCCTAACGGTTATAACATTTTGGTTCATCTTGTCTATTCCGATGAGGCTATAAGCTAAAATAAAAATTCCACCTCTCTGAGTAATGTGTGCAAAGCAGTTGAACAGCACCCCAGGCAACATCCTCCAAAATGATCATGTAGTCGAATGAACTTCTCTCTACATCTTATAACCTGCATGATTGTAGAAGGTATTGCAGGAGTCCTGCTTCAGATTGGATTACTTTAAGATAGATTAACTTAACGAACTTCCAACTGATTGCAACGAAGTTGACTTTAATCACCTCATCTCTGCATGCTTCTGTCAGCTCGGTCAGAGGCTGCAATGTGATTGGTCGTCCGTGCTGCTGTGCCATTTGCTCATTGGCTCGCTGAAGGCCATGCGCTATGGATGCTGACTCACATATGCAAAAAGGAGGGGAAGAGTGCACGAGCGTTACTGTGGCAGCGTTTTAAAGACCCCGAAATAAAGAGGCGAGAGCGTGCTGGATGCAGATTTACTTGTGTGTGGGTGTGTGTCTGTCCCTGGTTGTCTGTTGTAGAGATGGGCAGACAAGTGCATTGCCATCTGGGAGCAGTTTAGCTGAAAAATAGGTCAAACTAGTGCACCTACCAGCCTCTCTCTCTTCTCTCTCTTTCTTCTTCTCTCGCACGCTTTCTGGCTTGCCGTCTTTTTCTGTCCTCCTGTGCCTACAAGGTTCCGCTATCTAATTATAAGTTTACTTGTATGCCTCTCTCACCTTTTGTATTCCTTTCTGTCTTTCTGTGCTCTCTCTTCCTCACTACCCCCATGGCCTCTTGTTGCCATGACTACGTCGCAGTGTGCTGACATGCACATTGAGAATACGTAGAGGATGAGCTGCTCAAGTAGATCATTAGAAATCTGCTGGGTTCCACTAGATTTTGTGTGTATGTGAATGTGTGTGTATATACATGTATGTATGTGCCTGTGTCATGAATGTGAATGTGTGTGTGTGTGTGTGTGTGTTGCACATATGTGCTCTCTGCGTGAAATCGATTGCTGGTCGACTGGCAATGAAGTGGTGTGGTCAAATTAGATTCATAGCCCGGACAGATTTTCGGCCAGTTATAAGCAATTATTTATTTTATGGATTTTCAAATATTCTGCCACAAACATATAACAGTTATAATAACATGGAGGCACTATTGCTACACTATAATTTACAGTAAGTGGATCAGTGCAAACATAACCCTTGTGTTCAAAACAACACGCTTCTCAAAGGCACGAGGAATCATCACGTTGGAACGAGGGAATGTTTAGAGGCTTGTTTGATGAGTGACTTGATTGATTAATTGATTTTCAAAAAAAGTTGCCTAATACGTTACAGCATCTAATCATTTCACCTCTTGATTGGATCTTGATTGAGCAATTAAGCTCCATGCAAACAGTGTAGGCATTAGTGACATGAAATTACAGCAACAAAATCAAGAGCCCAACTTCGGCTTTCCGTCTAGGTGCAAACGTCTTGTGGAGGAAGGTGCACGAACCACACATTTAAACTCTCTGCCTTTAAAAATCCTGCCGATGTTGTTGTTGTTGCACTAATACTTCAACCCCCCCCCCTCCTTCTCTCTTAGCTACGGATAGGGATCCACACAGGTTCGGTCCTGGCGGGCGTGGTCGGGGTTAAGATGCCCCGTTATTGCCTGTTTGGGAACAACGTGACGCTGGCCAGTAAGTTTGAATCGGGGAGCCATCCGAGGTGCATCAACGTTAGTCCCACAACTCACCAGTAAGTAAGGACACGTACGCACAAAGAAATGTGCGATCTTACCTCCACAACAGTAAATACTTATTAAAGGGTAACGTAAGAGAGCTTCCCCTCTCTACTCAACAGGTTGCTGAAAGACGACCGCTCTTTTTCCTTCGTCCCTCGCTCACGGCTGGAGCTCCCGGATAATTTCCCCAAAGAGATCCAAGGGACGTGTTATTTCCTGGAGGCGGGGACGTCTCACAGCCACGCCTCGTTGACCAGCTCTCGCTCCGCTCCGCCGGCCTCTATGAGGAAAGTCTCCTACAGCATTGGGACCATGTTTCTAAGAGAAACAAGTCTGTAGGTCCCGTCGGCAGACTAGCATACACAGTTATTCATCGTGTGAGAGGCTGGAGGTGAACCTGTGCAACATGCAGGATATGGATCACATGGATCTTGGGATATGCAATGCATTGTTTTGAAACTTGGATTCAGACCTCCGAGATGGCCTATATGACTGAAACTTAAAGGAAATGCTCTCATTATCGGTGAGAAAAGAACAACATGCCCTTGTTTTCTCTGAGCGATGGAGGTGTGGCTGAAGAGACTGGAGGATCAGCAACCGTGCGAGTCTGGCGTGGACCCTTCCCCAAGGAGGTGTACTGATTGGGTCAATTAGCAGAGAAACCTTAACACAAAACATGGTGAACCAGCTGGATTCCTCGGCTCTCTTCGCTGGTCCTCTTTCACAAACACCACCCTGACACGGGTCCACAGACGACAACGCTAGAATAAAAACCCAGAGAGACTCTATTTATGGGATCACGGCAACCGAAAAGTGAAAACTTTCTGCCAACAGAGCGGACGCAGAGGAATTCGGATGTATGGACTCTGAGAACGTTGTCACACCTGTTTGCGGTGCATCGTGGCCTCTTGCAGAGCAAAGACCACTAGTGAGGACAATGCAGATGCCCCTTTCAACTGTCTGTCAATCATGTCATGCTCCGCCAAACACACTTCTGCTCGTTACATGACCCGACTGGTTGGTCGGTGTGGGGAACCCGCGATGAGAGGCGTAAACAAGGTTCGAAAAAAAAGGGGGGGTCGTCTAAAGACAAACGCCAAAAACAATTACCAAGTTGATCTTGGAACCTTTTCTGCTTCTGACCCCCAGCAAACTATAACCAACAACAATCCAGCCATTTTATTGCAGGTAACATGTTGAGGACTGAAAATTATTCCCAGCTCAGTGCCTTTTTACTGCTCGAGTCAGGACAAGATATTGTTTGAATATTTGAAAAGCGAAACAAAAGGAGCGCTTTGTTTATCTTATGCTTTGACTTGTTACAAGACATCCTTTATGAACACTGGAGGGAAATTTGTGTGCTAAAGGCCACATTCGGCGCAGCCTTGTTGCAAGTAACCTTATCGGACCAAACCGTCAGGAGTCCCGACTAGTTGCATCTTTCATTTTTAACTGGTAAGATAAATCAAGCGCTTCTCAAATAGCTCAAATATTTGAAAATCTATTAATCTGTTTCTCTGTCCAGTCAACCAATAATATATAGTACTGATAATATCGTACTATACTTGTACACATTGTCACAGAACGCATGCTTGACACAGATCACATTTACATACATTAACTTTTTTTATTGCATAGTTTTGTACTACGTGGATATCAAATTTTCCCCATGCAAATTAGGACTCTTTAGTTTGTTGGTAGAATGAATATGATTTAATCAGTGGAATACTCAGGCCCTCCGAAGACTTCTGTGTAGCTCAACAAACAGACATAGGAAAATAACTTTTGTCTGAGAGAAATGTCATTAATCTGACTTATTTGAACAATTACCTAATTAAACTTGCACTACATTGCTGTCCTTGTTTTTGTAAATGTGACATAGTTAAATATACATTTTGCATTTAGTTCATAACCAATTGAATAGCTGGTTGTCACATGTCCACTGAGAAGAATTAATTAGTTAGCGGTATTGATATTATTAATAAATGAAATGCTCTAATATCAAACCAAGTAAATATAACGTTCGTCAACATTATGTCCTAATTCTAACCTATTAATGACAAAATAATTCTGAAATGATCTAGCTGGTTTAAATTGAAATGAGTGGTAGTTCCTGTGCCTGCTTACCATCTTAGTGTAAAGAGAAGTAAAACTTTTTAACCTTGACTAAGAAGGGAAATGGAATTTCTCTCCATTTAGCCACCAAACGATACAGTGGTTGCTCAAACTCTAATAGATCAGATAAGATGATGCCAAATACATTCTTAGTCAACAACAGCACTAGGCACATTTTTCTAAGGCAAAGGATTTGTTTCCCGCTGTCTGCTGTGTACGTTCAGATGTTAAAGGCAGGATCAGCACATTTTGACATTTGACGTTTGACTCAGTGGCCTTCAAGCGGGAACATATGCTGCCGTTAATAAGTAAAGGATAGCTCGTGGAAAAACACTTTGGGAGATGAAAACTTAAGCCCATGTGGTCAAAAGATTCACCCGCCAAAGGGCTTTGTTGCCTCCACCTGAGATTGCCGCCAGCATCAGAAAGCCGTGTGCCGTATAGGAAGAAAGGATGGGAGGAGGGGGATGTAGAGACTGCATTTCGACCTGCTAGTGTTTGAATCAAAGATGTTTTCAATGTGTGAAATACTTTGGTTAAATGTTATTATTGTCACACATAGTTAGAACAACAGTTTCCCTCAGATTCCCCGACAGATTAACTACCAGAAAACACTTTTCTATAAAAGGTCCTCAAAATGTTTTGGCAATGAACATATTTTCCATTCACGTCATTGTTCTTCAAAACAAAAATAACAATAACCTACTTTCAAAAAAATGTCCTGTTACTTTCAATAAACAGTCTAGACAACTACTGTATGACATCGTACCACAGATCCCAATGTTTGAAGAATTGGGAGCATAGTTTTTAGCCTAAAAATATCAGGAACACAATGAAATGTGTATTAACTATGAACTAGGTGCCATAGTTACAATGAAATGTGTATTAACTATGAACTAGGTGCCATAGTTACAATGAAATGTGTATTAACTATGAACTAGGTGCCATACTTAGGTTCAGCCATGTAATCTAAAGCTGAGCAATTTGAAAGACAACTCAAAATTTAAGTCAGCATATGCTTTTTTTTGTGCCACATCTGCTTAGAAAGCAGCATAAGATTTTATCGCTTTCTTGGAAACAAAAAGACCTGAATCTTCTCGTGATGTCACAGAGAACCAAAAAAAACTACCTGGGACATCAGTGAGACACACAGAGTGTATATGCACACATCAGTGGTTCAGATGATTAGCACTTTGACATTTCTCTTTATAGTAATATCGACATGCCTGCCTAATAAAATTCCAATGGGTTCAATAAAATTGCCAAACACACCAGCGAACGGTTCATCTTTTAACAAAAACACGTAAGAAGTTTCTGAGTCTTGAAGTCCTGGGATAGTGGATACAGCTGAGCCTCATTTTTTGCCCTGATGGTAAAGCAAATGAGTAAAAGACGTAAAGAACTCTTTCCGCATGAGCTGCTATTTTTTGCTAGTCGGTTTTAGCAACAGCTTGTCGGGAATCGATTCACAGCTGTTTGCAAGTACATTTTAAACCGATAAAAAGTCAAATCATGGACAGACGGCGGGCTCAGAAATCGTATTTCAGCCAATGTGTTGTACCTCCTTTGCTCTCCCTTTGGACTGTTTACCTGCATTCAAAGACTGTTTGAACGTGACTAGTCAGTACTACGCAGAGAAATGCACCGACACTATTTTAGTATCGTGCCCAGCAGAAAAAAAGATTTAGGGGTCCCATAATGTAGGCAAACCACTGTTAAGTGTATTTGACAGCTTCCGCAATCTCTGACTGCCATCATTTTCTACGATGCAAATGTGCATTTATGTGTCCTGAAGGAATAAATTGTAGCAAACATCTAGAGCGGGTGTCCTTCGCATACAACTTCAGCAGTGCCGGAATTCTGTATCTTGGCTAAATAAAGGACATCGCACCAGCGTTACACCCACGCAACTTGTGTCCACCCCTCATGTCTTCAAGTATGTGAGTTCTCAGCGTAATATTAAACGTTTGATGCTGTTATGAAGCGCTGGGGTTGCAGGCACTTGTTTTCCACCTTGTTGTTGGTAATGGACCGTTAGACTGCAGTGCATACTGTAGGTGTACAAACATTTGTTAATCAAGCCTATTGTAACAAATCTGTACAATTTAGATCTATTTAATATATAAAAATATGGACATTGTTATAAAATCTGCTGATTTTTTTGGGGGAGGGGCTATAATTCACAAAATGATTTCGACATAATTACATGTTGCACTGCTTTGTTGTACGTTTTCTATTTCAGATTCTTTGTGTTAGTACATGTGCCATCTAAAGCCAGGCTGGGTTCCCAACATGCCAGTGTCCTTCCATCCCTCAAGTATTTTTATTTCAAGAATTTAGAAATAAAATGTAGATTTTTCCATTGCCACTATATTCTTCTTTTTTTGTTACTCCTCAAATTTTAAATGGATTTCTGAAGCGTCCAAATGAGCGTGACACTGTCATTGTCATTGAAAGAGACATTTGCTTAACGTGTGTTTTTTTTTTGCAGGACTTTGTTTTAAACTCTCTTGTTGCCAACATCCACTCCCCCCCCCCCCCCCATTGACTTGCAGCGGAGTGGGTCCCGGAGTGGGAAACTGGTTCCTATTCAACATTTGCCTGGTTTTAACAGCAGAAGCCAACATGGTGGCCACTTGCTATCCACGTCCAGGGTTTACAAAAAGATCCCGGCCCCCTTAAGGACGCATGTTATCCATCTCCAATCTGTAAAGCTTCACCCACATGAGAATAGTAGCTGCCATAACATTTGTTCCCAAGCTTGACGTCAAGACTAATATTATGATTACGACATTTCACTGGGACCTCCCTCAGGTGTCTCCTTGGAAACCAGTGGTGGACGTCAAAGTGTTAAAAAAATGGGACGATGTTTGGTACTTTGATTTCATGTTCTAAACTTGCAGAGGCGACCTTGGGCATGAACCATGTTTGTTTCTGTTGTTGGAGTCACCTGCGTATGTGGAAGAGGCTTGATGACAGCTGTTTGCTTATGACTGACATTAGGGCACATCTTTTGTCTTATATGATGTAAATAAAATAAAAAAAACACCAAGTATCTTTAATAAGTAGGAAAGACTGTGACTGTTTATCCGTGCATCTACACATTTGTAAATGACAATAAAAATGTCGGAAAACTTTAGTGATACTGTGATAAAAACCCTAGTTATATATTATATTATATATTACATTAATTTAGTTTGGGTCAGGGAGAGACACATTTCTTTGGTGACTGATGAGAGCAGCAGAAAAAAATGGTTAAAAAAACACATCACACACAGTTTCTTATTTATACATTCAGTTAAGGAGGGATTTTCAATCATCAGTTACAATCATTCTTAATGTACCGCAATGGTCATGGTTTCTACAATGCTGAAGGGAGCCGCAGATTCAGGTTAATATTCTGTGTAGGATTCATTTTTGCAAAAGACATCCCTCACATTGTCACCTTGACTGACCTAAACTGTTTTCTCTTATTAGGTTTTAAATAATAACCAGTCAGACTCCATTAACGTGTGATGAATTAATTTTTGTTTTGGGTTGTTTCATTGGATTTTCTGAAACTATTACCAGCCTTGTCTATTGGTGCTTCAGCGCCTTATTGGGGGGATGAGCGCAGTGCTTCACACATTATGCATGGAGCATTTCACAGTAGTCTATGTTACAGACTTTATTTAACAACATTGTTTAAATAAAAACAGTTTCTTGGTGACCAACAAGATGTCAAAATCAGTTCTGGGAATCTAGAACCGTAAAAGAGTTTATTAAACTTCCCCGCAGAACACACACTACTCAATTGTGCCAGAATCTTAAACCGCAATTGACTATTTTTGAATCCTTTGTTGGATTTACGCTCCTGAAATTCACTTTGTTGTCGTACTGTTTAATTTCTTGTGGTTTTTAAAGTACTGCCACCAAAATATGAGTGGAGTTCGTCGGAGGAAGTCGTGGAATCTATGGACCCACTCGGTAACTGAACAGTTTCAGATGTGTTTTGAAGAAGTGACCGTTAAAAGTGTCAGAAGATGACGAGAACAACGACAGGAGACGACTGCCTGCGCTGATTTTCAGCCTGCATGCAATGTGCTAAATGGAATTTGTTGCCATGTAAACTAAGGTAACCAGCCGAGGTTTTTTTTCTTTTTTTTCCCTCTTGATGTCCCCTGTTACATTTTTGTTCTCCTGTAATTTTTTGTAGAGTCACTCCCACACAGCGGAGCTTAAATTTGCAATAACGCTCAAGTAACACTTAAGCCCGAAACCTCACACGCACTCACAGTTCTCCCTCTCCCCTTTTCCGTTGTTATGTTCTCCTCCAACCCTGCAGCCCTCCGTCCGTCCTTCTGCCCTTTATCTTTTACCCCCTCGCACCCTCTACATGCAAACATGCCCCCTTTTCAATAATTGGCTCTGGGAGGTTTGAATTTTTCAGACCATCTTCACTGCACAGAAGAGCGGGTACGACTGTGGCACAACATGGCGTGGGCATGCACGCTAATGGAAATGCCACACACACACACACACACACACACACACACACACACACACACACACACACACACACACACACACACATAGATTCATTGAAGGTATGAAAGGTCATGTCATTTAACCCAATAAAGCAGGGCGGAGTTATGGGCTGCTGACAGCATTACAGTTTGACAGGGAGTTGTGAGGGTGTCGTGGGGGTTAAGGAGTGTGTACTGAATGTGTGTGTGTGTGTGTGAGTGTGTGTCAGACGACTCTGCATCACAATGAATTATGCAGCCATTCATTCATGGGTGCACGTGTAGAAGAGAAGCCTTCTGATCGTTGTATAGAAGAACGTCGACTGTGGTTTGGCATGTTTTCTTTTCTGCTTGAGGGGACGTTGCCAAATTTAAATAGTTTTGTTCAAAATTGGACTCAATATCTTTGGAGAACGGTTGTACTGAAGTGTAAGGTCGGTTTGACACAACAAACAAAGTCATTGATCCGCTTTTCCGCTGCCTGTGTCCAGTTTGCACAGTTGTCATGGAATATCTGCTATCATTATTTCATCAATAGCAGTTTTAGGGGGTGTGTGTTGTTTGGGGGGGGCTTCATCAACCTTCAACAGATCAATATGTTTCCATGAGGCTGTGAAGATGTATGTATATTAAGCTTTAGAAAGAAGCACTGACCTTCGTCTTACTCTTGGCTCTTGTAAGGTAATAAACTGTCAGTGACTGTCACTAACAGGGCGTTTCCACTCACGCCCACTACAAGGAGACGACTCTCAGACGACGATATCCAACAAGCAATAATCCAAATGCCCTGCCTTTCTCGCAGGGAAAAGAGATGAGCAGGATTGGGGATTAGCGTGGATCCATGCAAATTAAAAGATCATAGAGGCGACCTCACCAGGCCGTGACCCTGCATGTGTGCGTCTGTGTGGGACAGCCTGTACCCACCCCCCCCCCACCTCCCCACCTCTCCATCTCCCTGTTCATCTTTCTCTACTCTTCTGGATGCAACTATGTGTACATTTGGCTTCCGTTAATCCTCATAGGACGGACAAAGTGATGCGCATTATTCCGACCATAACCTGGATGTATATCGTTTGTAGAAGTGAAATCCTGGTTAATCTCAGATTATATTCCTCATCATAGAGACAGCGTTTTTATCCGCATGATCTAGAAAATACGCCATTCACCCAAATGTCGCAGAAAAACACATTGTCTCAGCTCCACAAAGCATTTAAGTTTCTTTTCATACATATCATCGATATGTCATTGTCATTTTAGAATGTAGATTTTGGTCTGTGGGCTTTTTGTCTGTCGACCTCTTGTTTTCTTTGCAACCAGAAGTGACACGAGTGGTCCAACAAAATACCAAATCAGACATTTTAACTACAGCTACACAAGAGATGCTACTCAATCTGACTTAACCGTTAATTATTTACTCCTTACTCATACTTGACCCTAACCTTACGCTAACTCTCTACGCTGTAAGAATCTATTTAATGCAAATGTACATTTTGTTCCTATAAGGACGGCGGTTTCCTTCAACGGGCCGTCGCAAACTGTGTCAACAGATTTACGTCCCTAAAGGACGAGTGAAAACACACACAAAAACACACAGACCGTTTGGCTTTAAAGCCCATCGCTGCTCAGTGGAACGAGAAGGTCACAGACACACGGCTGATAAAACAAACCCCTTGTTACTGTGTGTGTCTGTGCGTCTGTGTGTGTTGTAATGGGTGGGCTTTAAGGACGCGCTCTCAATACCCTCCTACTTCCTGGAACATCATGTAACTTCATTAGTTGCTCTCGTTAGATACCCGTTCAGACCAATCAGATCGTTCTGTAATCGAATCATTCCCAAGATGTTATGAGAGGAATCCATTATTACTGCAATCATCCAGCTGATTAGAACTGGGACGCACCACCTGCTGCGCGCTGTGTGTCATTGTGGTTTAACCGAACCTCTTAAAAGCGGGTTTGGGTTCAGACATTGGAGGATATACCGAAGAGTTTGTGTATTTTGTGTAACCCTGTGGTGCATGTTTGTGTACCAGGGAGTGAGTGTGTGTGGCCTGAATACCGATCTCTTGGATAATATGAGCTATAGATGGAGAGACAACGCGGTCGCCCTGACCTGGTGATAACTCAGAGTTATGTGCAGCCCTGGGAGGGACTTTAACTTGGCTTTGATCATCATGACTCAGGAAGTCTGGATGTGTTTTCACTCGAGTATGTGTTTGCGTGTTTTAGAAACTGTGTATTTTCTGTTATTTTAATGTCTTTTTTAACATATTTGCTATTTGCTGACTGTCTCACCTCACAGAAAAGGAAGCCAGAGGTTATTGTGAGGAGCAAAAAAGGGGATTTGATTATTTGGCATCTGCTTGAAGAGCAACTGATAGTAAGTGAGTAAATTACATTGATTTACGGGAGGCATACGAGATGAATGGAAATGCACAGAGGGAGGAGGAAACAATGTAAGGAAGCACACGTACACAAATCTAAGACGCCTGATACACTGCCACACTTGCACTGGTTGTTGGGTTTGTTTGAGTTTTATTTCAAGACAAATCACATATGCAGCTATTAATCGTACAGAGACAACTGAAGTTGTTCATTTCAATTAATATTTTTATTACATTTACTATAATTTTCTGATCATCACGGGCCATTTTACTTTCTTATTACATAAAGAACATTGCCTCAGTCTGAAGAAGATAACGGACTACACATCAAAATGGTTGTACAGTCAAAGACTTTTGATTCTTCTAAAAACAAATAAAATTAAACTCTGAAATCTAATATTTGAATTTTGGCCATGCACTGGATTAGTGGTGAGGTGAAACAAACAATCTTTATGGGACTCAGTCACCTGCCAATCAAGATAAAACAAACACACATATCGGAGCCAACTGTTAAGTTACTTCCACCGTGGTATTTTCTCAAACCTTTATTACTGCTTAATAACATTGTAGATGAATAATAATATTATACCTCATTGTTCAAAGAATTAAAATGATAGAAACAAGTGATATTCGCAGCCAAGCAGGAGATAAATTGCATGCAACCTTTCCCTAACATACGAACCATAAATACGTTTTCTTTGCTATTGTCGCAACATAACAAGCTCCAGCAGCATTGGAGAGAGTGAAATTTACATTCCAAAATGACACGTCTCTTAAGAATTCATATTCATTTCCAGGAGAAACGATTCTCTCTTTCAATGGCTTTTTTAATTGCTGCATAGATCTGCCACACGAAAAGGGAAAAAGCAGTAGACAAAAAGTAAATGAAGGTGAAAACGGCGGATAAGCATGTACCCCATACAAGGCACATACACGCTGCATAAACACACACTTCCCTGTATGTGGTGTAATGTCCACGGACGGTCAGGCTTGTCTGCCAGAAGCACGCACAGTTTAAATGAAGTTTAACAGTAAACATTCCCCCGGCCGGTTTGACATTTGATCTGTGATTCTCAGCTGAAACAACAATCCTCGCTGTGTTTGCTTGTGAACAACGTGTAACAAAATACACTGATGTGGAATTATTGTTTTGATAGGTTTGTTGAACATTAGAGGTCAGAACAAGGAATACGAAAGATGTGTTTGTACGTGTACAAGGGTTACCCTGTGTCTTTCTTTCCGGTCCTTCCTCTCATCATGCTTTAGATTAAAATGTTGTCTTCGTGTAATTTCACAAAGGATAACTTTGCATTCAGATCTTTTGACCAGAAAGGGTTTATTTCAACCCAAAACGTGATCCTTTGATAAACATAAGTGGGTTTATATTTCTGCCTTGAGGCTTCTTGGCATAAAACTATACTTCTCCCAAAGGGCCATTTCGTTCATTTATCTTTTCTAAGGTTTAAGTTCTGTTTAAATTGCAGCACCCAGCATCATTTTTCTCTTCATCTCCCCTCTTCAAAACAGGAGTTTCTGCATGACCAGGAGGCTCCACGTCACCAGTTTAGAGGCTCTTTTGAAAAATACTATTTCTCCCGCCAGGCGGGAGAACTAGTTTAGCAGCCCTAACGTCAACTGTTGGCATTCAAGTATTTCATTTCATTTTTGTCATATCACCTATTAACTTTCTCTGCTCATTTTGTAATATCATATTGCATTTGTTTTCTTTTGTTTCAAAGCCTCAACACATCCTGCGGCTTCTTTCTCTGCGTCCCCGTCCTGTTTCTTACCAAGGAAACAGGACTAACTATCTTGTTGCTTTCTTCCTCTCATCAGGCCCTTGTGGCGGATGCTAGAGATCTGCCTGCAGCACTAGATAGCATTTGTGCAGATGGCGGGACACACACACACACACACACACACACGCACGCACGCACACACACACACACACACACACACACACACACACACACACACACACACACACACACACACAGCGATAGTCGTTGTGATTAAGTAATGTGAATGTATGTATTTGTGTCCTGAGGACGCTTGATCTGCACATGGAACAAAGGTTATGCAAAATTCAACCAGCTGACAGCTTGTCAGCTGCTCTCTGCGGGGAGCAAAATACAAAGAAAACTTTCTGTCGACTGAATCTTAAATCTTATTAATCAAACCTTTTTTCCACAAATTTTAAGTTTGTCTGAAACTTACCTTTCTTTTAATGATTCTGCGAGACAAATAGGATTCATGTTGTTCACATATTGAATATACAATTCCATAAAGATGAGGATGATGTTTTACCATAAACAATACACAATAAGAGTGAACAAGGAGACGGAATAATACATAAATAAACACTGAGAGTGATTTTAGACTCCTTTTCAACACACAATAGTATGATGTTTCTATACAAGTTCTTTAGAGATACTTATCCTTAAGTATTATTTGTACAACAAAAAATAATAAAAAAATGTTACTATATCATTAACCTTTAAAAAACGTAAAGGACACTTGTTTCATAAGGCTACAATGACACTCTAACGGATGTGTCGGTGGGATCCATCTTCCCATCTCTCTGCCAGAAAGATATTTCGAGAGCAAAGGTTATGAGACCTGCTCAGCCGATAAGCACATTACCACCGTCAGGCTTCCCCCAGTCTGATGCGTTTAGGTTCCCACTAGTCTGTGCATTAAAAAAAAAAAAGATATCCTCTCTGACACCTGGCATCTAAAAATGGCCTCTGTCTAAGGAGAGTCTGTGGGACTCCAGTCGGACCCTGCTGCAGCAAACAGGAAACTAAAGATGGCGGAGAGGCTCGATTCCCTCCAGCTGGAGGCAGTGACTTCACGTGTGGGCTTTTCAAGCTCCCTTTCTTCCCCTCAAAGAATGCAAAGGTGGAAGCAAATGCTCTGCCGCATCCCATTTTCCTCCGACACACTGTCTATACTCGTGTGTGTTTCACATTTAAACACAAAAGACCTCAAGAAACCGTCGCTTGCGATATCATCATGTGTGAGAAAATAGCAAAGCAGGTGGAAGGAATCCCGAACGAGGGGTACGTGGCATGAAGATGTGTTGTCATGACACCTCAGGCCTGCCAGGGCCGCGTGTGTGTGTGTGTGTGTGTGAGGTTACGGTGGTTCACAAAATGGTATATTTGCCATAATAGCCAACATTATTCCTGCTCTCAGGCTGTCTGTCTGTCTTTGTTGATGGTTTCTAATAGTTTGACTTTAACTCAATTGGCGGAGAACAGTTCAATAATTCATAAATACGCCGGGAGACAAGAGCCGAGATCAGCAGACACCTTGTGCCTTTACGTTGAGCGCATCGGCCTTCCTCAGGTTTTGATGAGGCGAGCTGGAGTGGGTGATGCCACAAATGTGGTACTGTAAATAGTCTTAGTTTTTGGTAAGGCATGTTGTGTTTAAAGTAAGGCGCATCGGTCCCCAGGTAAAAATGGAGAACGACTGCGTCGACGAGCCGTCCTCAAGAGAGAGAGGAAAGATCTTGGTTGACTTAATATTCCTGATTGAAATAGATGTGATGACAGATGGTGAGACAAGATGGAGAAAGAAGAAAAGAAAGAGACAAACTTAAAGAGATGAGGATGAAGAAAGGAAGGAGAAAGAAATGAGGCAGACACACGACTCTCATAACATACAAATCATACGGCACTTATAGAGCAGTAGTTTTAATAAGAAAGTCTACTGCAATGGTTAAAATAAATACATTTCACTAACAAATCTTTTAAAAATAAAAATATAATGTAAATTTCACAAGATATCAATCTATATACACAACAATAAAAGTACTGCACAGTGGGTTCGTGAGTGTATCTGGTCTGTCAGGGTTTATTTTCTTTCATCTGAGTAAAGGATCTAAAGATAGACGTGTCAGATGCGGTATGAACTCTAAAGGCCTCAGAGACAAAGCTCAGCTTCTTTGAAAAAACTTGGCTTGAATGGAATTGTGTTGAGAGCCGCTGAGACGTCAGCTCCAGGGTTGTTGGGTTTTTTTTTGCACTTTTTACAGGCCGGTGCTTCGGTTTGTCGGTGCGTCGGGGGGATCGGGCAGGCCTCAGCATGAGACAGGTGGTTATTCGGATGCGCGTGTTTCCCTCTGTCTCTGTGGAGCTTCAGCCTTCATCTTGAAGCTGTCCCAGCAGGCGGGGTCTTCCTCCGTCAGAGGAGACGCCGAGGCGATGAGGTCACTGAACGACAGCAGCGTAAAGGAGGTGGGAGGAGGAGGAGGAGGAGGACGAAGACGCTGACAGTGAGAGAGAAGGGAAATGATGTTAATTAGTGCAATAGAGGTGAACGTCTAAGTGCTACAATTAATGGTTAATTGGTCAGTTTTTACATTACAGTGATTCTTTTGTCATTTATAGATTCATTGTTTAGGCTGTGAAGGGCCTGAATGTTACAATCTGCTGCGTCTAAACAAGAGTTTTGATGAGGTTGAAAAATGTTCTAGATTACATGAAATTTAAACCTACATGTTTGGCCTTTTTTTAAAGTACAAATAAGGTAAAATGTATTTAAAATAAATTGAAGTTGTTGTTTACAACTGTCCCTCCATCATCGGATTGATTACTTGTAAAAAAAAAAAAAAAAAAAAAAAAAAGCCCATTTCGTTGTGAATTCTAAGAAAAACATTCTTAATGAGAGCAGCTGTACGTGTAATGTGCCCTCACCGAAGAGCCTGCATGGTCTGCTGGTCCAAGTGCTACAGCAACATGATGATCAGCATCCAGCAAGCTCTCCTGCAGGAACACGTGCACACCCGATGAGCAAACGCACATACACTAGATAGCTTGCATATTATGATAAATAAAACCTCTATATGCATTCAAGTTCAGAGCAAATACTACATCAATGATGAATAATAAATATGTGCAATGCTATCAGACACTTTCATACAGACATTCAGCCTGCATGCATCTTCAACTGAAAATAGAATCTGTTTGCATGATTTCTAAGGAGGCTGAGCCCAGTTTCAGTGTTGCATTTAGAGGTCACACATTCCCAAGCAAAGTGAGATTCCTTTGATACCAGGAAACATCAAACTATGCATTAACCGGAAAATGTTAACGCTTAGCTTAAAAGGTAAATCTGATTCCTAGCATGGTTAATGCCGTTAACCAGCCTGGCTTATGTAAACGAATTAAGCCTTTTTACTCAACGTTGACCTCCTTAATGTAGCATGAAACATGCTTGATGGAAAAAAAAACAAAAAACAATATGTATACTAAACCTACTGAGTCTTTAAAATGGTAAAAAATGTTTAATGTTGGACAACTACTCGAAAATGCAATTGCCTTTGTAGCTGGAAAGATACACATTAAAGGCCACAATCTGAGTGTGTGTATGTGGGAGTAACAGGTGGTGGTGTGTAGTTACAAAATAGAGGAGAGTCAGGGAACATAGAAGGAAGCTCAAAGTGAGCTGGATTTAAATGATTAGCATTTTTGTTTGGCTTGTTTGCTTGAAAGGTGACTCCAAAAATGATCCTTATCATAGAAATGATTCCATTATTAAAATGGTTACAGATTAATATTCTCTCAACAAATCCATTAATTGACTGTTTTAGCTCTGATTTGCCTTTATTTACTTGCATTAATATGGAAGTGTTGTTATGGTGCTGGTGAGGTAGCAGACGGCCATTCAAACCAAACGTCCTATCAAACAAGGAAATAAATAAATGAGACTACTAGATTATTACAAAATATTGACGTCTATCTCTCCCTAATTTTCTTTCTCTGACCTCTCTAACTCTCTATAAATTTAAAAATTTTAATTTAAAATTTAAAAACTTCCTGTATGTTGGGGTTGCTTCACTTTGCCGTCCAACCTATAGTTAAAGTGTTTTTATCCCCCGGTGAGAAAACACAGACACCAAAACCGCATTAAGCCTCCATGACCCCCAAGGGAGATTGAGAAAGCAGACTTAACATCAGGCTTAACATCAGGCTTTCTAAACCAGTGGTACCCTTTTAGCAGTCACTTGTTAATCCACCGGCCACTGAGTGACGAGCAAGAGGAGGCGAGGGGGAATAGAGAGGAAAAATAGAGCAGTGGGGAAACACTATGGAAAGAGAGAGAGATGGGAAAGAAAATGGGAAACATTGAAGGGAAATGCAGAGACGCCGGTGAATGGAATTGAGGAGAGCACAGGAGCAGGAAAGGGGAATTAAAATGGGAAATAAATGGCGACAGAAGACTGTTCTGTCGTGACAAGGAGGTGCAGGAGTCTCGCTTACTGCAATCACTGTGGTTATTTCTCCGTAAGACCACCTGGGACGTTATTATATAAACACTAGCTGCAGTATTCTACCTGCCTACCTATAATTAAAATGGGAAATCATTTCTACAAACAGTAGAAGAAGTAGAATAGTAATGGTTTCACATTTTGGGAAATATTTAGGTTTCAGGCAAGAGTTCTTTAAAAAAGGACATGTTGTGCGTAGTTGCTTACCAAAGCCTTGTTGGAGGTGTGAAGTTGCCAGGCAACCAGCAAAAATTATCTGACATCATATAAACAAAATAGAATTAATGAAGGTGTTTAGGGGCAGATTTCGTCCCCTCCAGCTTATGTTATTCTTGCTGTAGCTTTGAATTTAACGAGACGGATATGAGCTTAGTGTATTTCTTCAACCCCCCCACCGTGGCAAGAAACCAGTAGGCGCATTAATATGTGACATTTGGCCTGGTGCAAAGCTCCTCTGGGGCAATTCAACACATAAATAGAATTCAACGGAATAGAAAATGTTAAACAAGCTAAGACAATAGTAGAGGTCACAGGAAATAAGATGATAGCTTAAAATTAAACTAGTCCTGAAATGAGGTTTTGGTGTTTTTTATTTGACCAATAAAGACGGACGTATTTCTTGTTTTTGTCTTTTTAAATCCTGATTTTTGTCTTGCTTCACTCTTCACACCAGTCTTCAAAACAGACTCACTTCAAAAACCCAGTCGCCTTCTTCTTCCTCGTCTAGAAGCATCTTGGTCTGGCGCAGAGCACATTTCTGTGAGAGCGGTTCTGGGGGCAGGTGGAACTCCACCCTCTGCAGGTTGAAGCCCAGGCCCGTGCCGATGGCTTTGATGAAGCTCTCCTTCAAGGCCTTGGTTGAAGAGGGAAGAAACTCAATTAGTTACACGCAGAAAAGGATCACCGGCACACGAGGAGAAAGACATCGGTCTGCCTGACAAAGACAATATTGTCAGTCTTTTGTGCTTCTTTTGTGTGTTTTTTGGTGTATTTTGGCTCAGTGGCAGAATAGCAGAGCAGATGGTGATTATCCATACATGCATAACAGTGTGTACACTAAAGAGGGACTTTGTGTGAATGTGTTTGTGTCCAGCCACAAACAAGCCTGCTCGGCAGCCAATGAGCCACAATAACAGTATTACACGGCTAATCGCTATGGCAACCGTCGAACTCTCCCATTAGTCAACACCGTGGTGATGATATCAGAGCTTGACGTCTTTGTGCCACCCTCTCAATCTTGCCACATCTTTACTTAGCACCACTTTTACTGTCCATCTGTGTGTGTGTGTCTGTAAAAAGAAAAAAGAAAAAAACAACCGAGAGTGAAAGAAAGAACTATTATGTGAGACCGTGGTGATGATGTGAAATGCCCAGTAGCAATGCAATGTGACAACAGGGCAGTATGGTTGCCATGGTTACCCAGTGGCGGTAGAACGCGGCAAGCTGCTGGTGCTCCAAGCCGCTTGATTGGATGACGCTCCACTCGTAAGCTGTAAACTGACGAGTCATGATGCGGAAAAACTCTGGCACAGAGCTGCTACCTAGAGGGAAAAGGGAGGCAGAGAAAGTGTGAGGGCCAAAGATGGGGAGGAGGAGGAGAGAGAGAGAGAGAGACAGGGCCAAAGATGGGCGGAGGAGGAGAGAGAGGGGGCCAAAGATGGGGAGGAGGAGGAGGAGGAGAGAGAGAGAGGGCCAAAGATGGGGAGGAGGAGGAGGAGAGAGAGAGAGGGCCAAAGATGGGGAGGAGGAGGAGGAGAGAGAGAGAGAGAGAGAGGGCCAAAGATGGGGAGGAGGAGAGAGAGAGGGCCAAAGATGGGGAGGAGGAGAGAGAGAGGGCCAAAGATGGGGAGGAGGAGAGAGAGAGGGCCAAAGATGGGGAGGAGGAGAGAGAGAGAAAGAAGGATGGAGGCGAGACGGACAAAGATGGATGGAGGAAAAGTGATTTTAATATGAATGTAACTGTGGCGCACACGCACATATCTAAACATTTCCACTATCAAGCAGCTTTGCCCTCAACCTTTGACATTTAAAAGGCAACAGTGGCCTCTTGTGGTCAAGTTAGAAAATACAAAAGGATGTATATGTTATCTAATTATAATGCCGATCTGTCTGGAGTGGATTAAATAAACCGCTGACAAATGCTTTTATAGTTTGAGCTTCCAGCTTTTGGCATTATTCATTTAATTAATAATTGCAAAGTCTCACATTACAGGAGATATCAACATAACTCACTGAGAACTGACACTGAGAACTGAGACTGAGAAGTTTCTCATGGCAATCATTCATTACATTTACTTTTCTTGTGTGTCTGTTACAATGTGTGTGTGTGCTCATTTTGTCAGCAACTCAAATCCTTACCTCAAATTTAACTGTTTGAGAGCAAATATCCCCAAATGAATGTCAAACTTTTCAGCCTGTTCACATCCAATCATGCATTCAGCTTAGTGTTATTTTTCCTAAGACCTAATTGACAGTAAAACATAATGTGATTTCAATGTATGTGCAGTTTTCTGTTGATATTGTTATTGCTGCTTCGGCTATTACCCACAGCATTTACCTGGCATTGTGATCTTCATGATATCGACCCCCACCTGCATGCCCTGCTCTGCAGCGAGCACAGCGTATTCTCCCTGGTGGGACAAGTTGAAACTCCAGGACGGCGGCTCGGGAACGGAATCTGTACCGACCTGGATGCAGAAAGTAAGACAATAATCAAACTGGATATTTTCAATTCTATGACAAAACAAATATTCCAAAAGCTATTAGAGTGGAGAAAGCTATGCAGAGTTTCAAAACACAAAAAAGCTAAGTTAAATCATTTAAATTTAATTTTATGTCATGAGTCCCCAATATTACCCAAGCCCAAGTTACATCAAAAGTAATAATATAAGTAAGTAAGTGAGTTCTGGTGACTCAAGCTTCATTTCCGCTATTAAAGTGGAGGTTAGGTGTATCAAATTGTCTCCCACTGATGGACAACTTATTACAACCTCATGCTGTGCATCACACCCACAGATTGTATGCGTCTCTATGGAGACCCATTCAGGTGAAATAATAACAATAATGGTATGAACCTTCAGTGGTGCTGCCAGGTACGGTTTCCCTCTGGGGGATCGATCAAGTCTGATCTCCGACCAGGGGATCCCAACCCTATCATGCACCAACTTCCTCAGCAACAACCTTCCGGCCTGAGGAGATAACGGAGTGACAGACAATGGGAAAAGGATGCAGGTTGGGTGGATGCCTGATGGATGAGTCGGCGCGCAGAAGGTGGACAGGCGGAAACAAATGTTTTACCGTCACTCACCATGGCTGACTTGGCATCCCGGGCAAACACAAACTGTCCGATCCTGTCCTTCTCCTCCCGCTGAACGCAACGAGCAGCGAAAAGCCACTCGGACCTGCTTGGCGTCCACGTCCCGCAGCGAAAAGCCCAGCGAACAGAGCCCATCTTCGAACAGTCATGTGGACTTCACCACAACTCCAGGCTTCCCACCAGTTGTTACTGCGCTAACGTTAGCATCGCGCGTTAGCACGTACGGTTTGAATGAAGAAAATAAAAATAAAAACTCCGCACAGGTTTTATCTGATGCTTTACTACTTTGACGGTGGTTGTCAGTGCGGTGCATAACTGAGGGAAACTAATAAAGGAGATTCCGTCAGACGTTTTGTGTATGACGGCCCTGAGCGTGCAGAGAAAGCCGGAAGCGATTCGATGTCGTCATAAGTGGGCGCGGTGGATAACTGATAACTGATCCAATAGGAGCAGTGGTAACTGTGCACAGTTTACGGCACCTTCAGGTGTCCTCGGGAATATTGTAAATACCAAAGAAAACGCGTTTTGGTATCAAGGAATTTGATCATTTGTTTTAATAACCGAGTGATATGGGAGACTCTGATGTATATTGACTTTAGAGCTGGTGTAATTCAATCGTGCAATTAAAAAAAACGCTTACCTGAGGACCATCCTTGAAAGTAAATCGTATGTGTCTTTTTAAACAAAATTTGAAGATGAACGTAAACAAAAAATTTTTTTTTTTGCGCGGTTCCGGGCATTTTCTTTTCCTTCAAGTAATTTGATTAGATTTCCATTTATAGGGGCATATTTACTGTTTCGATTACGTGGTGTGTTATTTTGCGGGTTATACCTGAAAGCACCATTAAATTGTACCTCTACGATGTTGTTTTGATTACCGTACGTTTGTGAGTGTAAGGTGAGTTGTCTTCACAATATACGGCACATCATGTTTGACTGGAGGTGGTGTTTTGATAGCGAACGCACAGGATTACGTTGCATTTCTGATGTTGATGATGAAACTCGTTTGGTTAGAAAAACCCTGTCTCATAGCTTAGCGTTCCTAAAAAACCCCGATTTTTTTAACCCGAAATATTTGAGAGATACATAAGATTATAACCTAGAAGCACAAACTGCTTCCAGGTGTTTTTTCTACGCGGAGGCTACAATAAGAAACGCACAGCGCAAATATACTGCCAATAAACCTGCAAAGGCGACACGTGTGATTTTAATATTTCAGTAACGTTAGTCCACAGATATTCGGTCGATATTATAGTAGCCCACTTTAAGAAGTAACCATCGAATAGGAATGTTTGCAAATGTAAACATCTGCGCTATTTCTTTGGCGACAACCTCAACCCCAACCTGTGATTTACATACCGGAAGACGGAGGAGTCCTTTCCGCCGGTGAAAGGGTCGTCGTGTCGCAGAGGTTAGAGAGGCTGCGCTGAGAACCACAAGGTTGGTGGTTCGAATCCCGGCTGCCCCATGTCCCATGTCGAAGTGTCCCTGAGCAAGACACCTAACCCCTAAGAGCTCCCCTAAAAATGTAATGTAAGTTGGTTTGGATAAAATGACCTGTAATGTAATGATGCTTCTCTACCTGTGCATGCTCACCTGGCAGCAGTGCGGATTGTTACTCTGAGGCGTTGGCTACATCAAATCCGCATCACATCAAGGCAAAAGGGAGCCCGCCGCTGGGAGATGAGAAGACTTCTGATGATTTAATCCTCCAGCGGACCAGGTGTGACCTTTGCAACTTCACGCACTTCTCTCCCACGTGGCATCACAGAGGCAGCATCTAGTGTAACATCTGGGCTGGAAGACTTTCCTGGGAATTACGGGAATACCTGAGCCACAAAAATCACTGTGATTTTGAAGGAAATCACATCCCCCTTTATTCTGACATGTCTCATGTGATGTCTCTTCTCACCCACACCCCCTTTTCTAACTTTATCTTCTCCATCTCTTAATCCATACCTACACCTGGCCTGTCTGCTTGCTTGCCTTCCCCAGTTGTCTCTTTCTCTCTGTCTCTGGGGTTTCTGTCCCCCGCTTGCTGCCAAGCTGGATTTCCTGCAAGTGAAGCATCTGAAGAGGAAGAGGAAGAGCAACTACAGTGTGAGAGAAACACAGACACTCATCAGGGAAATCCACAAGAGGACCGACGTGCTGTTCTCCAGACAGCAGGTATGGACCTCTTCACAAATATCACTTATCCACTTATTCCTTCCTTCAAGTCACTTTTAACCTCCTTGTAAAATTTATGAAAATAGTTTTCAGAATGAGTTTTTTATGTTATTCCTTTCATTACATACAAAACACTTTCTGTCTTTCACAATTAACTTGTATAGGTCAGCTTAAAAAAAAAAAGCAGAAAGGCAAAAATATACATTTTATTTTTATACTTTCCATTATTACCACCAGACTGACACAGGAATCCACATACGGGATTCTTACCGCATCCGCAAATGTTTTTTTTTAAGCTGATGTACCGTATGTGTATAAATACATGTAAGGTGCCAAATCCATACATTGATATTGGCCTGAAAAATATCCTTTGGCTGTACTGTCGAGAACCATCTTTGTTTTACATATAAAACCAACACTTATTTTTTACAGGAACCTGCATTGTTCATGCTTTGTCATTACAAACAGCCGTGGTGGAATTCTGAGAGTAAAACAATCAAAATGTGGTGTTTTCTTCTCTTCTCTCTGCTTCTGCAATCAGAACACAGCCATTAATGAGTTGAAGCGACAGGCCTGGGAGGAAGTGGCTCAGGGTGTTAATTCCCTGGGGGAGGGGGAGCTGCGCACTGCTGCTGAGGTATTTGAATCATCATTTTATATTTGTGTACGCATGAAGATATATAAAACTGTTAAACACCGCCACCTTTCCTTCCTCGTTTCCTTTGCAGGTGAAGCGCCGATACCTGGACTGGCGTGCGCTGGTGAAGAGAAAACAGCTCCGGGCGGAGCTGTCCTTCCCCTCCTCCTCGTCGTCGTCCGCCGCCCCGAAGACCGAGTACGACCAGTCCTCCTCGGAGCATGAGGCGGCTTCTTTGGGATCCGGGTGCGACCAGCTGCTCGACCTCTCGTGCCTCTCGAAGGACTGTCACTGCGACTGGCCGGAGCTGGCGTCTCTGGGCGAAGCGAACGGGCAGGCCACCGTTGCACCCCCGGGTGTGAAGATGGAGGACGATGTCAGTGAATACAGAGTAAGAAACACAACTCCTCATGGTGCCACATGAGTGCCTGGGCCTGTACAATAACTATAGATTAGATTTGCAAATTGAGCCGTAGCCTCCATCAATTAAATTAGCCTGTCTTTTTTTTCAAACACCTTCAGGTTTTTTGATGAAGAGCTCACATTAACGGGTGTTCAAATTGAGACAAGTGGCCAATATTGAGATGCAAATACCTTCTAATGTGTTTCATTGGTTTAATTAATATCCTCGTTGGCAGAGGTAGTTATGTTAAACCTCGCTCAGCGATGATGCCAGCAGATGTTGTAGCTCAAGTGGCTCTCGTTAAGCCGTCCTTTTTGAATGGGCTCATTTAGGTCCACGAGGTAAAGATTTACGATAAACTGTTAATTCGTTATGATTTATTCAAACTTGACATGTGAATGTTACTGTTTTTCAAATTATATTTAAATGTGTCCCCGGATAAAATCTGCATATGTTTAAACGGTGGTATTGCAATCTTCCACAAATATTCTCTAAAAAGTACTCCCACTCCATCTCAATATAATTAACCCGTATCCAGTCTACATAATATCAGTCCGCGATAGTAACTCTGGTGTTGAGCCTTATCTGTATTCAGTGTTATCAATTTAAAAAATCCCACACAAAACACAAAGCCGCACAGGCCGATTCCATCATTTTTGTCTCAATTGGTCAATTTCCGCAAACGCTGAATCCTGTATTCCCCCAAATTTCCCATTCATCATCTGCCTCATATCTGAGACTCCCTCATGGAATGTAACCTAAACATGCAAATGCAGGAAAACTACAGAGTGTCCCGTTAAGAGTGTCCCTCTCTCCCGTAGCTGGATGGTGATGGCGATATGGGAGATGAGGAACTAGACGAAGATGATATTCCCTCCCTCCTCAGCGACATCGAGTCCCACGGGGACGTTTACCCGCACAGCGACTTGGACATGCTCGGCTCCTCAAAGGCTCCAACCTCCACCACCAACAGGGGACCCCAAGTCGGCCCGACGGGGACGGCGGCCCATGCTGTGAGTGGACACGCCAATCACGACAACACTGGGACGGGCTTCCTGGTCGCCTTTGAGAGACAGCGGCTGGAGCTGGAAAAACAGCGCCTGGCGGTGGAGACCGAGCGCCTGGCGGTGGAGAAGGAGCGCCTGGCGGTGGAGAAGGAGCGACTTCGTCAGATGGAGGTGGAGAGGGAACGGCTGCAGCTGGAGAGAGAGCGGTTACAGATAGAAAGGGAAAGGCTGAGGCTCCTGCTGCTCGGCCAATCGGAGCAGGTCAACTCCTCGTTTTACACGGGGCCACAACAATGCCCGCCTTCCTCCTCCACGTCTTCCTCATCTACCGGTCACGACGGACAGAGGGAGAGGGACAAAGAAGGTAAAGGCTGGATGCCCATGGTGGATCTGGAGACGGAGAGGATAAGACTAGAGAAGGAGAGACTGCATCTGGAGAAAGAGAGGCTGCAGTTTTTTAGGTTTGAGGCAGGCAGACTCCAGATTGAGAGAGAGCGCCTCCAAGTGGAGAAAGAGAGAATGCAGCTTCACAAAGACCATCAGGGCCACTGAGAAAAAGGACCATTAAGAGAGCGAGAGATGAATATGTTAGATTTTTTTTTTTACTAGATCCATGAGTACGTCTAATACTGAAAACAACCCACAATGTGAATTGCATCAGCAACAGTTTTTTTTTATCAAGTTCCTCACATCAGCATTCCTGACTTAAAATCTGGCCACGGACAAGACTGAGAGAGAGTGCTGTCATATCTATGACCGACACGGTGAAGCAGTGCCTTATGATGTCTTCACAAAATGGGCCATGGGACAGAAAAGACGCCACGATGATTAAATCTAAGATCGGAACAGCTTGTTTGTCTTGAACTTATTTGTTTTATGAAATATTTAGTACCTCATTCAAGGACACGAATGCACACAACGTGCAGTGTTAAACATGAAACGCTAGGCTGTGAATGCAAAACATCTTCCCTTTTGTAGAAGTGTTTTACATGAAAGAATGGGATCGTGGAGACTTGCTCTGTATTCTTGCGCCAAATTTCTTTCTGCTGCATGGGCGCTTGTTTGTGAGCTTCACATTCAAAAATGAGCGCACAGAATTGTTACTTGTAGAGAGGGATTTTTATGGTATTTGTTGTTTGTTTTGTTTGTCAATGTGTTAAAATATAGTTTACATGGTAATGCTTGCGACTTTGTATATTTGCCTGCCAATTTTAAACGCATATGCCGTCTATTTTTCTATGCAGACATTTCAATTCGTCAATTCCATAGACAAATAGTCATTAAAGCCTTGAGTTTGGCGATCTTGCCGTCGCCGTCTTGAATAAGGGCGGCCATTTTGTCGTCTTTTTTAACAGAATTTGCAGTATTTTGAATGAGAACGAGTGGCGTATAGACGCCTTTGTTATGGGCAGTGACCTGTCAATCACATTAAGCCCAACCTAATGCATACTCTTAAAGAGACCAAAATTGAAGAAAAATGCTATATTGATGAATAAAAACTAGCAAACAGTCGCCCCCTGCTTGTCAGTAGAGAGAATGCAAGTTTAAAGCACTTTGCTTCGCTTTTTAGACTTGAAGACTTACTTTACGGTAATGCAGTTTAGGTTAAGGCGAGAAAACCACTTTTGCATTTTATACCGCGTCACTTGTGGAGAGCGTAACGGGATATATTTACTTCGCAGTCACTACAGACTACACAGGGACCTGAAAAAAAGCTGCCAAATGGAATCCAGCCATGATTAATTGATTTTTAACACCCTTTACTCCACCTTTTTTGTGATGTGTCAAAAAAAATCTCCTGTGAAAAACTGACTGGATTTACTGTTCCTGCCTTTAAGATTTGTGGACTTGCTGCTGGAAGTTATTGCATGCTAGGAAATGAAAATGAAATCCTCTTTGCTTTTGTCCAGCCCTTTCTAGTTTTGTTGTGCTATGAATATATTGTACTGTGTTACGGGCTGCTGGGAACTATAGTTTGCTTGTGTGTGCTTGAGCTTACGTCCATTAAACACACCGTGCACTTGGTTATTTTGTAAACCAAACCTCCTTTTTTTAAGCGATTGTGTGTGCGAGCCCCTTGACATCAGGTCACATAACCAGCCGCCCTTTTTAAAAGGATTTTCTTCCAATATATGTAAATATTGATGTGAGGGTAACTTTTTAAAAATGATTTCATCTGTGTTTATAAATACTTTGATCCTTTTTGGTGAGGAAAATAAATGTGACCTCCAGAAAAAGTCCTTAATGATCCGTTAAATAAAATGTGTGTTCCCCAAAGTGCTGCTTTCACCGGTCAGCCTGTGTGGCCCCTCTCTCGCATTGATGTTCCGCCTTTGAAGAATAATGGAAAGAGAGAATGAGAAGATAATTAGACAAAAACATTCCTCTCCTGTGTGTTCTCTGGATCGATGCAGGCTAATAAGAAGAGACGGGCGTTTGAAATCGGTTTGACAGCATTAGTCTGATTCACGAATCCTGCATCTTTGAAGAGTCGACTTTTGGAGGATTTCAGTAAAGTTATATATTCCAGTGATGGTCTTTTTTTTTGCGTTTAATATTTACATTTCTTGTAGTGTGTCATAGTGGTATGAAAGCTATATACTACCGAAGGGAGCAATACACTTTTAATTCAACAGAGACAATAAGCTCTTTTAATCTCCTAAATCACCTTTGCTGCTATGGATGCTTTAAAAACCTGAAGACATACACACACACACACACACACACACACACACACACACACACCTCAAAGCAGGAAAATTGTATCAAGTCAGGAGCCTATGCAATTTTACAGTTCAGAGCTTCACATCTGAATTGAAAGAAAAACATAAAGGATTCTTAGTGGAGCCGAAAAAGCTGAAAGATGCTGAAACATTTTCAATTTTAGAGAAGATCTCAAGGTCTTCATGAGCAGACATGATTGATTCAGATGTTCCATTTCACTGAGGTTTTCTTTTAAAAGTGTAGATGGGAAATACCGTTTTTCTCATGAAATGGAGAGAGCTTTTAGCGTTCAAAATACGTTTGATAGTTAAAGGAAACAACATTCCATTTTCAGCTTTGTAAATGTATTTCGGCTTTGAACTCAAACATGTTTACATGCTTTAATGTACAAAAAACACTTTCCTCACACTATCCCACAATATACTTGAACTTTGTCCGTCGGGATTTTGTTTTTAACAATTTTGGTGGACTTTCAGACTGAGATTGGGAAGTTCTTCAGAACTGGAAAGCCATTTAAAGGAATTACATTACAATGGCACAGCTACATTGTTTTATTAATGTTAGTTGGAATTAAAAAGCACAAAGGTTTTGAAGTTTACTTTGTGCCACAATTCAGTTCCTGCCACTCTAAGTTAGGCAGCGTGTTCTGACACAGAGCGGATGGCCAAGAAATATTTAAGGCTTTCAGAGTAAAACACGACCCAAATGCTGTTATGATGTCCTCAAAATATTGTGCAGACACTTTGGGTTTAATGTGTCTGCACTTGTGACTGATTTTTGCATCCAGCTTCAATACTTCAATGATAAATTTGATTTCTGTCTCCGTCAGCCTCTATACATTTTAGGTTTTGCAGATAATTGACTTTTACTCCTAATTAAATGAGAAAATTGTTCATGTATCACAGGATGAGGGAATAGTTGGAGGCAATGCAACACATATTGTATTTCCACTGTGATTGAAACGAGCTGCGATAATCATTAATCAGACTGAAAAAAATAATTTCCCGATCCCAACTTGTAATCAGTTCCATTCACTCTTTAATATGAACCAAACCTATTTTAGTCACAGATTGCATTAAAAATGAATAGTCCCAAACATTGCTAATTTGATCAAAAAAAGGGATATTTGCAGTGATCAAGTCATGTTGTGCGTGTGTTCGTTGCCATGTCTTGTGTGACATAAAGTCTGTATACAGAATAGTTAAGTGTGTACGGTATGCAGTGAATGCACGTTTCAGCAAACCACCTTTACGACAACTACCAGGTCAACACAGCAAGGCCACAAGCGGCTCGGAATTCCACTTCCTGTCCGACTGTGAGAGACATCTCAAATATGAAGTAAGTGAGGAGCTGTGAATGAGAAAGAGGAATGCAGAAAAATGGGTAAATTAAGAAGGGGGTGTGCGGATAAAAGGAATAGAGGAAAAGAGACGGGGAAGTGAAGGACGGGCTGAACCGGAGGAGGGTAATGCAGAGAAGACCGAGACTGAGACGAAATGAGCCAATAATAATGAAAAGGTGAAAAGGCTGCTGTGGCTTCAAAGTGACAATAAAGGAGGAAGATTCACGGCGTGTGTGTGTGTGTGTGTGTTCAGTTGCACGTAAAAGTGCAAGGTTAAAAGGTTGGCCTCAACCAGCTCAAATTGTTATTTTGCTTCATCTTTGGGTAAATGGGAAATACTTGTCAGCAGTAACCCAGCATGCTGTGTGTGTGTGTGTGTGTGTGTGACAGAGATGGGAAATAATGGGAAATACTTGTCAGTGATGGCTCCGCATTAGAGGCGTCGGGTCCCCACGGATTGAAAAACCGAGCCCAGATGACGAAATCACAGCAGGGACTTTTAACACCTGGTCTCCGACGGGGGAGACGGAACACTGTGAGGCTTCACGTAAACGGAACAGATACATTTCAAAACTGGTGAGGCCTAAATTCTTCAGTTATGTCGAGGACATTTCAAAGCCACCGAGTAATTGATTTGAGCCGTGATTTGATGGTTAAATGCCTCATTACAGCCGTGCGGTCATTTTCCAGTCCCCAACGGGCACAATTACAATGGAAATGTTCAAGCTCATGACTTTTCTTTTCTGTCCAGCGCTTTGGTCCAGGTGGAAATATCTCGAGAGCCATGAAACGGATCGGCACACATTGTTTTACACACAATTGTCAACCTGAGGACGGACGTGTGTGGCTTTGACTAGGACATCTTATTGGATTAGTGTGGCATATCAAGTGGTGCACACATTTATGTTTGAACACCGACACCTTTTGACCGACAAGGCGGTCGAGGAGGAAAGGTGAGGAAATGAGTCTGTAACAGAGCTGAGTGACACCGATTAACTCCACGTTAAAGAGAGAAGATGTCAATGTAATATGGTGAACAAAATGACCTCTACAACACAAATAACCACGCAGAGAGAGCAGGTTCAGCATTGATGTTTTACTAGAAAAAGAAACCAAATGGTAAGACAAAAAACAAAGAAGTAAAGAAATAATGTCCAAGCCAGAATGTGTACAGTCTGCTTTTCGCCGTCTACTTATGTGCTGGAGGTGGAAAAAAGAGAAACAGAACAGTGTCATGTACAGTTTCACTGCCTCCCGCTGCGGCGACGGTTTGATCAGCTCCACAAATGTATCGACTGTACGAACTATTTCCAGCACTTCTCTCATGTGGGATTGATGCAGTGCTGCTCCGGGCTGAGAGGAGGGGTGGAAACTGCCTTCCTTATTATTTCCAGCCTACTTCTGTCTGTTAAGTTTCACTTGAATACATGCAGACTGATGCGGTTGAGGTCTGTGCGTGAGTTTCACAAAACAATTAGACTCTTTTCAGTGTTTTGATTGGTTGTGATGTAAAACGAATGTCCAGCACGAGAGCCGGAAGGAATTCATCGGCCGCCATATGCCGTTTGACAGATTCCTATTGCAGGATGAAATCACGTCCTCAACGCGTGCAAACCCTTCTGAGTTTGTTTCAGCTTTCAGTCTGAAGCCGACTTACATCTGATGAGAAGACAAATAACAAAAAGCATCGAGGCGGGAAGGAAAAGCAACACAAATGCTACGCCTGCCAAATGTCGGGACAGCTTCGTTTCCCTTATCGCAGTAGCCCATCCTCTCCAGAGGCTCGCCTAAGAGCTCCAGTGCTGAATACTGGCACCTACATGATGTCTCAGAGGGCCACCAGCTGAAGGTTGGTGTTGAGACACTGAAAATCAGTGAATAACTACTGGTGAAACAAACAGACGAACACACATAAAACGGTCCGGACCTCTTACGGTGCTGGAGTGATCTCAGCTAACCCTGTGTATGCGACGACGTGTGTGCGTGCGTTTCTACGTGTGTGTCCGTGTTACTGCCAGATGGACATTCAGTGTTGAGCAGGACACACAGAGACTGTGGCTTATTATTATTCTCAAGTTATCAAAAAACAGCCATAGAACAGAATGTATGCCATGGCCTCGGACAATCTGTGATCAATGTTTTCTATAGCTCTCTATAGACGTATAGATATATATATATTTATTTATTTGTCGTATATATAATATGTAGAGTTATAAAAAAAGATTTGATCTTAATTACAAGAAGTGGCATTTTCTTTCATATTCATTCATTATTGCAATGAATTGTTATTTAAGATGATTAAAAAAGACAGGTGAGTTCTGTTTTGCTACGCAGTTATTTACAACAGTTTTAAAAAGCAAGCTCTCTGATTCCGATACCGTTCCACGGGCCACTGAAAAAGACCGAAGATCTCAAATGACGACAAAACTTCCCATTAGAGTCATTAGCTTAAGAGAAATTGAAAACGATACCGATAGTTGCAGTGAAACGAAGCGCACCCACCGTACACCAGTGGTTCTCAACACCTCGAAACAAAACTGCTGCATTCGCCCCCCTGCTGGGAAACAGTCGACGAATGATGAACTTTGATTTACCTTTTCTATTGCTTGTTATTCGGATTAATTATTCCCATTTGCTCCACCACTCGTTTTTCCTTCACCCAGCATCCGTGTTGAGAAGCACTTTGTTTGGTAGCCATTTGAGATCCGCCCATGCCTTCAATTTTTTTTCTTCTTTCCATCCTATACAGTTTAAACTTTGCCTTTGCCATTGAGCAAAAGGTATTCTTCAATTTGCTATTTAGGATTTCTACCGTCATGATGATGCTGTTGATGAAGGACTTAGTTCATTACTACTAGTTTTTCATTTACAAACCCCTGTGAATTCTGTGGCCAAGATCAGCCACACGTGTCTGTTTTTCGAGGTTGCTCCTGTTCACACCTGCATTGGCTGATTACCTCGCTGGTTTTGGAGCAAGAAATCATCCCATATGCGTCGTAAGAAAGCATTTCATTCAATTTGAACCCTCCGTGGCAAAGTAGCAAATTTGCTCAGTCCGAAGGTTCAAGCTTACAGTTTTGTGGTCTTCTAAGGGTGGTAGTACCTGGCACTCTTTGCAGGCGAGTTAAGATGACAATGACCATGATGATGAGGATGATGATGATGATGATGATGATGATGTTTGGAATCTTAATAAGGCGCTGTCAAGGGTGCGGCACGTTAGCCAACACTGTCCAACGAAGATTATTATTATTTTTTTATACGATCAGCTGCAACCATCTTTATCATCATCATCATCATCATCATCATGATCAATTTTGCGGTCATATTCACAGCTCATAGTTAAATTCATGTTCAAGTCCGTGCTGGCTTTCCTGTTGGTTTGTTGATTTCCGGATGGTGTCCTCCCCCCAAAAAATTCAAAGAATGCTGCAGGCAAGTGCGATAGTCTTAGTTGTCCATTGTTTTTTTCTCCATTGTTCACTTTATAGTTGTTTTTCACTCATCTCTTGTAAAAGAAGTCGATGGCAGCAGGAAAGTGAAATGATGAGTACTCTGCAAATCTGTAATTATATATATATTCATGTGTGTATCTGTCTGTGCAAGTTTGTGTTATGCAACAGAAAAATGGCATGTGTGTAATTGCATGTGGGTCTGTTTGCGTCCTTGTCGGAGTCTGTATGTTTGAGTGTCGTTAAGGCACAGAAGGTGTTTTTGGTTTTCAGGGCAGCCCGGAGGAGATCACTGCAAGGCCAGGGTGTCGGAGGGAGGCGTGGCCAGCATGCACGGCTTTGGGGCAGTCTGGCGTCAGTACACGGCCGTTCTCCCCGACACTTCCCGTGATGGACAGACGGGCCTTGTTCCGCATGGCTTCAGAAAAAGACAGCTACATGAGGGAGAGAGTGTGGACGGAGAAGAGAGCAAAGATGGCAGAGTAGAACTTTAGTCTGGAAGAAAAAAATCTTGTCATTGGCATATGCAAAGGTCATGATCTCATAACACCAGTTCTATTAACACAAACCGCACCCTTGTCTGCAACTCTATGGGTAAACTCTCCTCCGATAACAAGCTTTCTTTGCCCATTGAAATTGTGCATAAGCGTAGCTGGACATTTGTTTCCCGCCGGCCCGACCCCGCATTACAGAAGGCTGCTGGACATTCGATGCCCTCTTCCGGCGAGCGGCGTGGGAGGCCTGGGGGAGGAGGGGCTACGCTTGTGCGTACACAACTCGGCCTGCGCATGGAGCCGGGTGAATGCGAGCCCTGCAACAACGCAACAATATCCTAACTCCACTTATTACCACAGACCCCGCCCCCCCCCCCCCTCCACTTCTTTAAAACCGTAGTATATGACTGAATTTGGTAGAGCTATGTGACCCTTCACGGGTCAAAAACACACGGCACACCAAATTACCTGCGTCATCAAAGGGCCCTGGGACATGTTGGTGTATGGGGGGGGGGGTGGGCGGGCCACAGTGGGAGGATCTTCGCCTGCCTGACTGCAGGCCTGGGAGATGTACTCAATAAGCTATCCCACAAGACATTTCTTGGATGGGGCTTAACGACCATTTCTGAAGCACATGAACAGCTGTTCACTGCGTCGGATGGGGGCCATGTGCTCAACAGAATATTTCAAAGCACGTACTTGGCAAAGCAGATGTAATCCTTGTATCCCCCTTCTATTTTTGCCCCTCACATTAGGGGGGGAGGGAATAGGCACGCAGTCTGTATGTACATACGATGGGGTAAACACACTTTTACGTCCTGATTTGTCAGCTCCTCTTATGGACATTTTCAGTTGGCAAACTTGACATCGTGATTGGCGGAAAATGTTACCTTTAGAGTTCAGTAGACGGTGAAGTGAGTTAAAACAACTGTGAAACAGCATATTTTCTGCTAAGAAACAAGTTTCTATAAAAACACATGCCCAAAAAACACTTTCATGCATGTGCCTGTACAGTATAAACACTGAACACAAAGGTATTTGAGGATGCATTCACACACAGAGCCAGAACAGTACTGTGGAAGTTTTAAGAGACAGCAAAGTGTCACAAAATAAGAATTACTGGGCAGTATTATAAAGTGTATTTCATATAGCTTTGGGTTTGTAGAAATCCAAACATAACAATTTTTCTGGGAAGACAAAGAGCATTGAGAGGTGAATGCTACACAATTTATATATTTGTTGGGTGAACTATCTCTCTGACCAAAATTCACCAAATAGCATTTGGTTTTCTAACGCTCTGGGTGCATGTATTTGATTTCAATCAACGTATGAAAGGCAATTCTCTTTGTTCAAACAAACTGAACTGGAGGTACAAATACCTGTGACTTAATATGTGAGTGGATCCCAAACTGCACATTCAAATCTCACAGTGCAAATGCAACAGCATCATATTTGAACCAACAGCAAAAATAAAAGTACAAGCCGGGACAACAAACATGTACATAGCAGACGAGTGGATTTGGGTTGTAGACATCTGCATTTCAAAGGTGACCATGCGTTTCTGGGTTTTTGTAAGCGGAAATATACAGGTGAGGATTTTAAAGCATTTAGAAGGTGAGGACTTTGGAAGAAGACAAAAGGAAAAAACATGAAGGAGTGATTTTTCCTTTAAGGTTTCAGATTTATAGAGAGGGAGTGACTGAGTATACTGCTCTGAGCAGGGTGGCACTTCAACCAGGCGGGCTACTCTGTGATGTTTCGCTGTCATGTCTCATATCTTACAATCGGCTGTGCGCCTTTTGACAACACGCGATGAGTAAAACGGGTGTAGCTTGAGTCTCTCTGATTGGTACGTTTCTTAAAATGTGTCTACTGTGACTGAAGGCAAATGTTTGCCTACTCTTCTTTCAGTCAGGGTTGTCATGCTGATGTAGTGCTCAATGAAAGCGCGAAGAAATAACATAACGGGCTACTTTAAAGGAGCATCTAAGAAAACATTCAAGGAACCTCTAGATATATTTAGTCCGAAAACGGTTGTTTATCCGCGGTAAACCTTGTACTTCATTTAAACTTGATGTGACTAGCTGTAGACAGATAACAAATAAATAATAATATTGTGTGTATTACAATTAGCTGTCATTATTTCCGTTTGCTGGTTATTGATCTACTCAAGTTTGATTATCACATTTGACCGTATAATGCCTCTGAAGGTTGGCTAAGCAGATCGTCAAATGGGGGTCCAGTATATTCGGATTGTTTCGCTCAATTGCAATTTTATATCAATAAACATCACAGTCGTGTTTTTCCCAGAGTAGCCGTTCTATAGGAAGTGTTTGCTTCATCAATTATTCCTGCGCATTATACCATCAAGTAACTGGGCTGTTTGGAAGTTGTTAACGCTGGAATGAGTCAGAGTCTCCGTTAGACCATCTGCGGCAGGAGTACACAACTCCAGTTTAAGGGCGACGCATTAAAAGTGCAGTGGATGGATGGGACACAGTGCAGACTGCTCGCCACCACAACTGGGAAATGCCAATTCGGTAAGACTAAACTGTGGCAATGACAGATATTTATCTACCTTACTGGGCCGTCTGTAAACTTGAGTCCCATGTGGACACTTGATGTTTCTGAGAGATTGACATCGGATGTAAAACAATTGATTCTTGAGTCCATCTCAGGTGATCAAAATGAAACCACTCCATCTATTTTAATGGGTTCCTAGCAGGATTAGTAAATGTTTTCACCACAAGGGATTGGGTTATAATTAACATATTAGATTCAGAGTTTAACATTTTAAAGGACGTAATGCCACTAATTTAAATGATGGCAGCAGGTTGGCTATCATCTATAGACAAAAAGAAAAACCAATTAAAAACTGCTGCAGAGGAAAAACAAAATCCTGATATTTTTCCCCGCTACGTTTAGTGAATCCCATAAAGACTCAAACTTACTTAATTATGCATGTTACCTAAATGGACAAGATTAAATTAAGGTCTTTAAGGGACATTTTGAAAGTGTGGTGTCCTTAAAAGTACCTAAGTGCAGTCCCTAAATTGGTTTGGCTCGGGGTGAACAGACTTTCAGGATCTTTAGAAACAAGGTATTTCACACGCAGTCATGCCCATAGAAGTCTCTGGCATCGCAGGGATCCTACTGGTCCAGTTATACAAATTAGGGTAGACACCAACTGACATAAAAACAACTTAATAGTGTTTTTGAATTCCTGAAATATCTCATTCAGACCCAAATGACTTATGATTAATGCCATCATTTTAGCCAATTAATTTGTAGCTCTAAGCAAAACACATTTAATGAGGAACCCCACAGTAACAGTGAAGTCAAGGTAGTGAATTAGCAATATAGAATTTCTATAACCTTAAAATATATATTTTTTGGGGGGAGGGGGGGCAGAATACTTTTTAAAGTTGTAACTACTTTATTATTAGAATGCCCTGTTTTACATTCTAATGTAATAGCATAATGCATATAAAATATTTTAAAATAATTCATACTTAATTGGAATTTTAATCAATGATGAAAAGTATTGTTAGTTGCAGCTAAATACAGTATACAAAGATGTACTCTGCACAACAGTAATCCCCGAGGATGGAGTTGTGCATCCCTTCTCCGTCATATTTTGTTAACTTTTAGCTGAAGTTACAATGCAGGTGTCTAATCACGTCATGAGCCGAGAGCATCACCATCATCGTCATCATCATCTGCAGCCAAAGACGATGGAACCAAATCTGAGGTCACACAAATACAACCCCACTATGACAAGAGGTGAAATGCTGAAGAATTAAAAACAAAATTTAACAAAACAATATTTAATATCTAAGAAAGATTTTATGAAGAAAGAAAACAGCCAAAATCTTTTAGTAAACATAAAAAGCTATATTGGTTCCACAATGCTTGACCACATCCTCATCACAACACGGTTGGCTGCTGCATCAGCGTCTACAACAACAACACAATGATCTACAGCACCACCACCATGATCAACACCACCGTTACCCCACCTATAGGGGAGCCTCTAAATCCTACCCCTATATCTTGACCCCCTCGGAGCCGTACACGTTGTACCCCTCCCTATAAGTGGCAAGGTTCTGGGTGCTGGGGGAGGGGCTGGGGCAGTGGGGGGGGCTAAGGTCCACCTTCATGCGCTTGGCCTCGGCCCTTGACTTGTAGCAGAACTCGACCAGAGCCACCAGCATGGCCAGGCCCAGGCCGCCCACCAGGATGTAGAAGACCCCGGCCACGTTGGACAGGCTCAGAGCCTGGGAGGACTTGTCCTGGGGAGAGGTAGAGGGATGAGGGTTGGGAGAAGAGATGAGGTGAAGGTGCCAGATGGTGGGGTGGAGATAAAGGAAAAAATGAACGAAAAAAAAAAATGAAGGTAAAAAAGAGATTGGGACGATGATGTGTTTAGGTCGGTCAGTGAAAAAGAGAATATAGGATTGAAGTTGGGATGCAGTAAAGTGGAATACGGGGGTGAGAAAACAAGAATAATGGACGTGAGGAATCAGAGGGACATGAATGGGTAGTGGGTGGATGTAATGGAATAGAAGGGGGGGTAAGAAGAGAGACAATGGATACACGGGGTTAAACACCGAAATGAATATCGGCTCAGAAAAAAAAGTTATGTTTAGTGTTAAACTTTACTAAAACTGAAATGACATTGGTTAAAAATGTTTACTACTATAACCACAACAACTACTACATACTTTACATCTATGTTAGTCAATACATATATAGAATGGTTCTACCACTGTAGCATAGTAACAAGATATCAGAGCTGCATAAACAAACATTTAAATCAGGTCAAGAACAGCAGGTTTTAATCTGAGAGTTGATTATTCTCACTGCAGTTTGAATGTATTTTAAAAGCTCTAAAACTCTCAACATCTAAGGTGGAGCAGCTCCTATAATTTGCATTATTTTTCTTTTTTTCTTTCTTTACAGAAACAAAATAGTGACATTCAACTATATATTATCCAACTGGTAGATATAGGATGCAACGCTCTATTTTACAAGTCCATACTTTTCTACAAATGTTGTATTAGGAACCCTCTGAAACAAGTCATCATTTGGGTCCAAATTTAGTCAACATTAAGTAGGTTGTGTTGAGCATATTAACAGAGGAAAAAACTGCTCCACTTAAACCCATTTCATTATTAACTTAGTATTCATTTATTATTGAATAAATATATGATGAATTGATTATACAATTAAATGCTTGTCTGTTAAAAAAACGAAAACTTCAGCTGACCTTGTGTGCACTAATAATACATTTGCATAAATTGCTAATTACTTTTGCAATTGAACTTCACCCTATATTGCCCTATAATTAGCACCAAATAACCTTCCACGAAACTACAGAGGATTTTAACTAAATAATATGGACCTGTAAAATTAAGCATTACCATAGGTTACTCCAAAAAATAAATGCATATCCTATGCCCTGAATATGTCTTAAACTTTAAGGCTAAAAAACAACAGAAGCTAGCAAGTGACAAGTTAAAACTAATTTAATTTATCTACCAGTACAAATTTGTTATATAACTAATATTGCCTTCTGGAAAATGGGCTAGTGTATGAGATAAAAAGCCACAGCATAAATGTGGAAATTGGCCGATGATAATTAAAATTTACTGCAATGAAGATGGGGTTGCCACAGATTGCTACAGAAACTGTGTAAGAATTTGAGTTATCCTGCTTCATATGTAGGTAAATATGGTTCAGCATCAAAGTGCAGGTAGGAAAATGCTGCCGGTATTCACTAAATAGACATTTAAGTCTAGTGTGATCAATCTAGTAAGATCAATTGTTCCAAGCTAATATAAAATATTAAGACAGTAGGTGCAGTAATCTGGAGCGTATTCAGGGTGAGAGTTTCAGGCTAGCGTTCTGAGGGCTGCAGCAGCGTGAGACTGACCTTACTTCCAGAGTCCTTGGGTCCACACTCTCCCTTGTCATACCACCATTTGTTTTTCAGTTTGTCTAAGACTCCTGCTTCGCTCAGTTTCAAAACTGCGAGGTTTACCGGGGTTCTTTGCGTGTAAAAATAACATAAATAACATCATAGGTCATGTTATTTTATGTTATTATGGTATTTCACATTTGCATTGCACAGCTCAGTTACACAGAAAAGTACACTTGTTCACATCGAGTGACCTAGGACGGATCCCACTGAGTACATGTGTGTATGCTCGTTGAGGAGGGGCTGGGGGGCGTGGGGGGAGAGGGGGGCGAGGAGCTAAGGCGAGCTACAGACATATGAGTGGGACCCACCTTTGTCACTCCAGGTAACACACCCATTCTGCCCCAGCTGATGCTACATTAGGCTACAGACAAGTACTGTTAAGTCAGGTCTGTTTGCGTCGGGCGAGCACGGGGCCACAGCTGGGAGAGAGAGCTGCCACACGAGGCACGTTGGAATGTTTGGCTGATTCCGTGAAGTCTAAAGACTTTGAAGGCCGCGAGGAAACTCCTGTCCTAAAAATACACTTGACTCTATGAATAAAAAAAGAAGTTATGCGCTTCGGTTTGGTGTGTTTCTTTACTTCTTGCAATTTAATTTTCACTCAAATCTCCTCCTCTTCTCTCTCGTCTCCCCAGAGCTGCCACTCGGGTGCAAATATTCCCGTCTTAACAGTAATTGCTGTCTTTATCTCTCCACCTTCAAACTCTGTCCTTTCGGAGGGGCAACACCGGATCGGTGAAAATGTTTTTTTTTTTAATCATGAACGTGTGCTTGATTCACCCGTGTCACGAACTCACTGGCCAAAGGGACAAATGTCCCTGCGTGATCATGAAAATGAACACATTTTAATGATTCAACCGCAAACGATTGCATATTGATCTTAAAATAATGTCGGGTGTCTCATTTCTTGTGACTCAACAAGCTCAAGTGTTGTACCTTTGCCACTGGGTCTGATCCTTTTTTTATATAAAAAGGCACACCTCACTGACAGCAGATGCAACATTGTGCCTCTCTCTGAAGCTGCAGGGCGTCCCAGGGAGACATTACGGGGTCACTTTTGCCCTCCCTGCGTGCTGCTTTACTCTTGCCAGGGCAGATGCATGCATTACACTCTCGGTACGGGGGGGCCGCGCCGCCAGCTAGCTGGCGGGCGCCCCCCCCCCGTCCCCCTAGTGGTGGTGTGGTCAGACAGAGAGGGCTAACCTTGGAATCCCCTCCCCCGCTGCCACATTCTCCTTTGTCATACCACCACTTGTTTTTCAATTTGTCCAACAGGCCCTGCTCGTTGAGCTTTAGCACGGCCAGGTTGACCGCATTTCTTTAAGTAAAAAAGGGAGGGACAGATAAGATAGTTTGGTCAGAGGTTGGAGGGACAGACAGACAAGATGGACGTGGACCACAGCCAGGAGGAAAAAAGGGGAGGTGGGGGGGGGGGCAGAGAAATTAGGAGGTTCCGTGTAAGACTAAGGCGGTTCAGTGGGGAACGATGCACCCCAGGCAACGTCTGTCTCTTTGACTCTCTTTCTAATTAAGATACTTAAAAAGCGCTTTGATTGACTTTTTCTGTGTTTGTTTGCTCACTCGCGACGGGCTGCACCAACACAAGATGCACCACGTTGTAACATTAGGTGTCTTAACCAGCTTTCTGCAGCCTGCTGATGGTGCTATTGTCTCCCCCCCCGATGCTCTCCTGCCTTACTACGACTCTCTGTGTGTGGTTCTGGATATGTGTGTTACTCCAAACAAAATCCAGATACACAAGGCTAAATATCAGGAACGCATGCTAATTCCTGTGTGTTCTTCTAAGCCCTTCATCAACTAATGATGATATTGAAATCAAGGATTTACTTCTTTTTTTTATAATCTCCACCGGTTTTTTGACAGTGTGGCTGCCTGGCAATATGCATTACATTACATTACATTATATATATTTTTTTTATTCTGATAAAGTATATCAAAGATTATAGTAGATTGATCTGAAAGCAGCATGTTTAAATTGCTCCAACAACCATCTCACTATTCCTGCAAAAGTCTCAATTGCCTCAAACGTGCCTGCTCCCTTAGCGCCAGAAAAGTGTCTGCAAAACATTGCTGCGGAGGCTGAATGATTTTGCCAACTTATCTCATGTATGCCCTTTATAATTCATGTTTTGTCCTGCTTTTGTTTTTCTTATACAAGAAATGTCAGTGCAGTTGCTGTCTGCTTGTTTTCTACTCTGCCTCTTTGCCCGTAGGCGTCCACCTGGAAGTCGTCATCACAGAGTGTGTGAGAAGACTGCAGGTAAGAGCGTACCTGTGACCGAAAGGTTGTCAGTTTATAATAGGAAAGTGAGAGTAAAACTTCTTAGCGAAGACATATAAGAGATTGAGAAAGAGACAGTGTTCTCTGGGGTGATCATATCTACAAACCATGACTGATCTCATCAACAAAAGAGGTATGGATGAAAACAGTTCAAAAATAGCTGTTTAAGCCATTATGATAGCAGTCACATAACAATAATCAATTCAAAAGCAGCTATATATTCAGAAAAAACATACAGTCCTAACATCACCAGTATTCAACCTCTTTCTCAACATCATCAAGTAAAATTAACAGCATAATTAGCGCACCGAGAGGAGAGGCAGGCTCACCTGACCTGCCTCCTGTGCACCTGTTAGATCGGGTTCCCGCTGATTGAGAGAAGCCAGAGACAACCGTGGATAGTCCCAGAAATGTCTTCTGAAGGGGGCTTAAAAAAAAGAGGACCTATTCACTCGCTGTCTGTCACTTTTCCCTCATAAACGGAGAAACCGTTGTGTAAACAGCAAGTGACTCGGGTTCAGTGGAACTTGTTTGCACACTACACAGGGGAAAGTTACAGGACAGGATGTGAGGCTAATGTGCTGTTTGTCTTTTGCTTTTCACGAGACAAATCTGAAATGCTGGAAGAGAGAGATGGAGAGAGAGAGAAGGGGAGAGCAAGTGGTCCGGCTTTGCTGAATTTGGCCAATTTTCTTCCCTCAGTCACTTGTAACATCGCAAAGTCTCGGTATATTGCTGTCACACAGGCAACGGGAAAAAATGAATTACTTGCACTGATATCGTAGTTAAACCCACAAGGGCTGTTACTGTAGGCTCAGTATCTGCTGAGGTGAAATCAAAACAAGAGGACCAACTGTAGAGCGTAAACTCACTTTCTCATCACTTCCTCCAGCTTATGGTTTCTTTTTAAGGGTTACACACCGTGATGTGCATTTTATTCAAATAAACTAATGATTACTTTCGGATCTGGGTTTATTTTGTTGTTGTCCAATTACCATTAATATGTTTTTTGTTTAGTCTGTGTACAATTGAATGAACTATTTTCGTTTTCTCTCATTTATAGCTTTTGATGTGGGATCCTGTGTTATTTTTAGTTTCTAGTCCCCCCATTGGCCAGGCCCCTCTACTTCCTGTTTTTCATTTTTCGCCTCCTGTTCTTCTATAAATTCCCCCTCAAGGCTTTGGCTGCAGCAGCAGCAGTCTGAGGTTCTGCCCCTCCTTGCAGTCAATTTGAGTAAATAAATCTCTTCAACAATAATCATGACCATCATCATCATCATCACTATCATCACTATCATGACTTGCATCACTGAGGATGAAAGGAACAAAGAGACGAGACGGCAGACAAATGGACAAATTTACCTGCGAGATGGCCCTGTGGAAAAACAGAGTGGTTAAAACAGGAAAGACGGATGGGACGTGTCCATAGAGGGATAGACAAATGACAGCGACAGAGGACACAAAAATGGAGCTAAAAGGCCCTAAAAGTACAAGCGTGGATGGAGAAAAAATGCTTGAAGAGGATGTCAGCATGTCCAAGTGTAAATCAAGGAATCAAGCAAACAAGAAAGGATGAAAACAAAAAAGAAAATTGGCATATTCAATGTACAATACCAATAGTATCGCTGCTGCTGGGTGAAAATCTATGTCTTTTGGAGTTCTTAATGATAGAAAAATACATAATTTGGACTGGTGACAAAATCGCTAAAGGCAATTTTGTAGTTGTTATGACGAACAATCAATATCCGAATAATGGTCACCCGTAACTGAATCCTCTACCTTTTTGTGGGGGATTTTCACCCGACAGCAGTGACAGGTGTATCTATGTGAAGGGTAAAAAGGCACAGCAGGGTAGGTGGAATATCGCAGCAATAGGACAGTATCAGCTTTGTTACTGTCTCCTATTGTCACACTATTCCACCCACCTTAACTGTGAGCCTTTCGGCGTAGCAATCCCATATCCTTGGAGTCAAGGTTCCCCCCGACTTTCATGGTGTCACACGGCTTGCGCTGCTCCGTGTACTCGTTCATGGTGGACTCCAGGAGGAACGCGTACTTCCCCTTTGGACTTGCGGACCCTCGCCACGCCCTCCGCCGTGGTTTTGGTGAAGACGGTTGGTTCGGCAGACTTCATGTACGACCACATTTTCTCGTACACGGCTATTTTGGACCTCTGTGGTGCGGAGGGGCGGAGGGAGGAGAAGAGCGGGTGTTAATTAGGGATGAGTGGGCATCTTTCCGCTAACATACCAGGCCAGATTGTCTGACAGATGACCGATTTCATAGTCCAGGGCGGACAAGATCACCAGGGGGAGAGAGTCCATCTAGGCCAGACCGCTCATGGCCACATAGCTTTGGTCCAGACCTTGAAACAAAGTGACTAAATGCCCAGCCTCTATCGGTGAAGACCTGACCCTACTCTTCCTCCTGCAACCAAACCATCTCCCTCCCCATGCGTCTGACTCATCACTGACCAGAAAGCCCATAAGTGCAAAGTTCATTTCTAAGGTAGCACATGTGCTGTCTCTAGTGTGCGCTCTGCCACAGAATGTTGTGTTCACTTCAGGGATGCATAAGCGTATTAGAAGGTTTAGTTTAGAACCATTAATACACGTAAAGTAACAAACAACAAGAATGACATTCAATTGTATTTATATATTAGAGATGAGTGCTTTTCCCACGTGAACAACATAAACAACAGCATACTTTGGAGATTAAGCTCGTGCAAAGTTCACATCATTAGTTGATGTGCTTTTTACTGCATTTCGTTTATTGCTCCAGAGTTGTGTGATGTGGAGAAAACAGCTGAGGCTGATTGTTCCTTTCCTTTGAATACAATTACCCTTGTGATGGAGGGCTCCGTCTTCCATCTTCCAGTTTGATCCTCTGGCACATAATGATATTTAAAACCACATTTGAAATGTAACACTACACCTCCCTCGGCAAGTCAACCATCAGTCTTACTTTAAATGAGTTTATGACTGGAATAGTTGCATACTGATCTGGTTTTGCGGTCATTAATTCAGACGACCAATGTCAGAGGACATTGTTCTGGTGTGATGCAAAGGATGGTATTATATTCTGGGCATGTGTGTGTGTATGTGTGCACGTGCACCAGTCTATACAGTGCGTGTTTGTATGAATTCACTGCATGTGTTCACGTGTTCACTCAAGAGTGAAAATAACAAGCAGAGGAGTCAAACTGTCATCCTCCGCAAGCATTCTGCTTCTTTCTTGTCTTTCTCTCTCGGTGATTAAGCATTATTCTGTCGCTTTGCGAGCTACAAGCCGCGGCCTGAGCCACAGAAACCAGAGCCTGGGGGGCGGGAGGGAGGTCTGGGGGGGGGGTCTGTGTACGCCTGTGTAAGTGTGTTACTGGTGCGTGACGGACACCTATTCCATTATAATGTCACACACATCGATAAAGACCAGCAGGACCCTCCTCTCTCCATTCTACCTATTCTCTCTCTCTCTCTTTCTCCCCATTCATCATTTCTCACTCTGTTTAGAATCATTAATTAAAAAAAAGACTTCTCATCATCACCCCCTCCAGTCCTTCTCCTTCCTTAATCCTCGTTCCTCAGTCCATTCATCTTATTTTACTACGCTCCATTGTTTCTGGCCACAGCAAAAAGGTGTATGCACTAATGTGTGTTGTGCACTGTGTGTATTTGGATCTGACTGTATGTGTGTGTGTGTGTGAGTGACGATGAAGGGATGGATGTGTGACAACGCGGTGTGACTCTTTCCATATTCTTTAACAATGAGCGAGGGGGGGAAGGAGGAAACGGATGCTGCAAGTCACCTTCAGGCATCCACGCCTCGGCCAACGCCTTTAAATATACATCTTACACACACAAATCTGCTCTGCACACTCACACGCACACATACATGGCTACGTATGGGGCCGAATATACATATGGGCATACCTATAGTACACACACAAATATACTGACGCACACACACACAGACACACACACACCGATAATTAATGGTGGTGGCGAATCCCCCTCAGCTGTGGGAGAGTAAATTGCTTTTCACCCTCCACAGATTTCAGCCGGCTCGTTATGTTGATGATGCCAGAGCCGCTCACAGAAACACAAACTGTCTGCTACAACCTCCCCCCCTCCTCCACATCCGCATGTACACACACTGGTGCACACACATTTTCAAAGCATCACTTCAAGTTGGTATGTATATATATATATATATATATATATATATATATATATATATATATATATATATATATATATTATATACGCATGTACATAAGGCATGAGTGGACAAACGATTCTCAATTTTCCCACAGAGCGTGACTACCCAACGGAGCAGATTTGTTTTTGCCGTTGTCTGCAGAATCATTCTTTTTTTTTTTTGTCTTCATCAGCTTTGTACCCATTTGTGTTTCTACCTTGCTTATGTAATTGCAATCCACTGGAGTGAATAGGCTAATGGGTGAAGCCACTACAGGTCTCCTCTGGGCCACTTCACTCGCTGTAATTTCTTGCGCACTATTTTTTACGGCAACAGCTCCCGGCGGACTTTTCTGTTCCCGCTCTGTCCACCTCTACTGCTCATCTCTACTTCACTGCCCTTTATTTTGCTTTATTTTCATTTTTAGTATGATCGTTGCTTCATCTGACGGATTGGAGACGAGAAACCTTGGTGTGAACTGTGATGAAGCCCATCAATTCACGCATTTCAGCCTCACTTAGCGTAAAGTAACGCTCTCCGTTCAAAATGAAGGAAAAGTCATCTATTCACCCCTTCCACCCACCTGCTCACAGTAAATTGGTTTACATTGTCATTTGTCACTTGTTCTCGTCCCAGTCGGAGCTGATTTCTGCTGCTTGATTTTGGTCTGACATCAATAAAAGCAACACCTCCCTCTCATTTGCTTCCATGTGTCTCAGACCAACTCCAAGATTGTTGGGTTTGTGTTTGGAGCTGTGATCCCCTTACATGGTGCAATGTTCTGTGTGGACACCTCCACCGTGTTCATGCCTTTTTTTATGCTGCACAATGAGTGGTCGATAATGCGTTATAGATTGCACGGAGGTGAAGATTGGCATTTCCCCACCTCCAAGGGACACAGTATGCTCCATGATATTTAAATAACGAACGAAATGAAGACCACAAGCACTATGTATGAAAATGTACATCCATGTCTTACATGTTTTCAAATGTTATGGAACCTGGATTTTTGTACATATTTGCTCGCTTTTGGCCTTTTTTTGTACTTTGGAATGCAACCAAAATGGGGAGCAGCTCGTAAATACAACTTCAAAGCAACGCTAGTGGTCAACACCTGTGTTAAAAGTTTCAAATACAGTTCTGTAAGCATATAAATAAGCTGTGTTAAGTTCTGATTAGGATTCTAATAGTAGCATCAACATTGAGACCTTCTGCTTATCTGGAGCTTTTCGCGTTTCAGCTCGGTGGCAATAACTCGACTCAACTTAAGTCCGACACCACTGAAGGATTCACTGAGTGTGCAGAGTCCATACCCGGAAGAACTCCTTGGTAGAGCCCGAGTCCAGAGTCCCGTAGGCTATCTCTGTCTGTTTGGCCAAGTCCTCCGCGCTCTCTATGGGCGACACCATCCTCTCCACCGTGAGGAAAGCGGCCAGGTTGGCCGTGTAGGAGGAGATGATGATGAGGGTGAAGAACCACCACACACCTCCGACTATTCGTCCAGACAGAGACCTGCATAGGAGATAGACGTCGGAGAGGTGGGGAGGAAACAAAAGGGGAAGAACGACGACAGAAAGAAAAGGATTTGTAGGCGAGAAAGTAGCAGAAGGAGAAGAGGGACGACGAGAAATAGAAAAGGGAAAGGAAAAATGATCAAGGTTAGTTCCCGAGTCAGAGAAATGCAACACAACACGCCATGGTTTAATAAAGCATTTTCGCCACCTAACTGTGAAAAAGATAGTTGCGGCAGAGTAATTGTGTTCCCGAACTTGAACCAATTGAGCGCTAACACTAACAAAGGCGCCATGAAACAGATTGTAATCGGGTCACTCCCACATCTCTCTCATCCTCCTTCACGTCTCCCTTTCCTTGTTTACTCGCTTTATCTACCAATTGCGAACTGAAGCATCAAAGTAAGTGGCAATTTGTTTTGTTTGTGTAAACTTGTTTGCACTGAGTAAAATGGAAGAGAAGAGAGCGGCCCGAGAGTGAGCATTTTAAAGAAATACGAGGGAGAGACGAGAGAAAGAAGTAACATGTTTTCTTTTAAGACCTTGAATTTATAATAGGTACAAAAAGTGCCATAAAAATGTCCGTGCTTTAACAAAGGTTAGAAAGAAAAAGGAGACGCTACTGGGAAAAAAATATATTTTTTAATTTTGATTGAATATGACGTGTATGAGAGCCATCACATTTACGGAGAATTAAAAGGAAGACTTGTAATTTTTGGTTTCAGGTCTTACAAAAAAGAAGTGCGGTTCAAGAAAACATTTGGAGAGAAAGGCCTTGTTGCATCATCTAAAATGGCAGGTTAAATTGACTTATGTTTTTCATTTACATTAATACAATTTATCACAGTTATTCAGAGCTGAGGTAAAGAGCAGATATGGTTGCTAATTGTTTGTTAGTGACCCCTCTGACGTGGCGCACAATCCATTGAGCCAATGTTAATGTGAAAAATATGGATTACAGCGGCATTAACTAACTTCTGCAGAAAGCCTTTTCCACACAATCAGTTGCCCAACATTTTTGTTGCTGTTTGGTAAAAGCCCCCTGATGTAAAAGCATTCATACACAGATGATTTTAGGACGGGTTTTAAGGAATGCGGGCCGAAGTCCAAGAAAGGTGCATTGATGACTGACTCGGCAAAAGATGTCCCCCTTTGGAGAAACTTGACATTCTGCAGCAAACCTCTCAATCCTCAAACACACACACACACACACACGGATGCGAGTATAAATTGATGGCATGTGTCCTTGAGGTATTGATCTGTTTACCTGAATGAATGCATCTGGCATACACTGTATGGATTCCTGAGAAAGAGCTGTTTCATTTCATACTTATTAGCGGACAGCGGGGATGTTTTCTTTTTATCTGGAAAGATAGAGATCATTTTTGACTGAAAATGTGACTCTCAAAACCAACGGCCGACATGGGCGTCTAATTTAATTGGTTCCCTTGTAAACAGGCAGCGAGGGGCATTTTTAATCTGTTCAGATGGAGTGAAGGTGTAATTACGGCGAACATCCGAAGGGAACGGTGGAAGATAAAAGCAAACCACGGCAAAGGAAGAAATAGGAAGACAGATGAAGAGATGGAGAGAAGTTTCAAGGGCAGCTTGACAATCTGTACGTTCATCACCGTCATGATTTCACCAGAATGTGAGGAAACTGGAAGCTTTGAGCTTCAGAACTAGATGTGTTTAATAGTAGACCTAAATAGCCTGCAAACTGCAAAACCTTAGTGGATCTTTCCTCATGTACTATTCGGGTTTTACATTGTGGGGCAATACTGCAATCGATTGTTACATCCAGTAACTACTTTTCTTCACATTTTATTTTTGCTGTGAGGGTTAAGAAGGACACGTCCAGCATAGAGGAGTGTTAATTGCCACTTGAACAATATATTCCGCCTCATATTTGCAAGAGAACTCTGCTCGTTCACTGCAGCAGCTTTGCTTCAATCTGTGAATGCACAGTCCTGGGAATACAGAGAACATGTCGCTGTGAGTTTGTAGCATAAGACAGAACACCTGATATAGTTCTTTGTCTCGGTGGGCATGAAAAAAAATAACAAATCTATAGAAAAGTGAAAAACTATTTTTGTTTGAGAACATGATTGGCAGTGTGTATCTTTTTAAATGTGTCTAAATGAAAAAAGAGAGGAATAAGTTATTCACTAGTGTTTGTCCTGGGAGTGAAGTTTACCTTCTGGAGGCTCCAACCGAATGAGACTGGTAGATTGTGCATGCAGGCCGCTTAGGAGGCGACATGCACATGCGTTTGTGGCAGTGCTAACGTGCGTGTTCCCCCTGTGCGTAGTTGTGTTGTGTGTGTGTTGGTATGCAACAGGCAACATGTTCGATGGCGGCTCATGTATCATCTATGATAGCCGACAGATTGCCTCCCCAATCCTCTGTTTGAAAGATTAATGGCACGCTGCTCCCCTCTCCCGCTCTCTCTTTCCCTCTCAAACACACATTTTGTCCCCCCCCCCCCCCCGCCCCACACACACACACACACACATTTTCTTTTCATCCACTGCATTTTTGAATTCCCTCACCTAACATATGTTTAAGGCTTTGTGTGCTTTTGATCTTGCACGCTAGTTTTTGTTTTATTCTTAGTAGGACTAATGGAAGACAGAGATCAACATCAACTTCTCACCTCAGGTCACGCTGTCTCACAATCATCTGAGAAGAACATCTTGGGAATGTAATGTAATTGCCATAAGAGCACACAAGCACATTCAAGCAAACACATGCACATTAATCGGCACCAACACATACTTACATACATACATACATACATACAAGTACCGACCCAAAACCACTAAATGAGCCAGCGCCGGATAGTTGTTGTCAGTAAAACAGTAACCGGATTTATAAACATATTTTTTTAATGATATAATATCACATATGCTGTAGCAGTTTTACATGTGTGAAGTGTTGCAGAAGCGCTGTTCTTTGGATTAATGGTTGGTATTCTCAAAGTCCGGATATTTCTGGACTGAAAAAGGCAGATCAGTGTGTCCCTACAACAACTATTACTGGTAAAAACAGTTTGAGTCACAGACCTTGAGATCATTAATCAGTAAGCTTCAGTGCTCTCTAGTTAGTTAGTTAGTCCAACCGTTAGCTGTTGCTGTCATTAACTATTCAACACACCCGAGGCCATTAGCTCAATACTTACACACGACACACTCACACACACACACACACACACACACACACACACACACACACACACACACACACACACACACACACACACACACACACACACACTCATAGTCAGAGGCAGAAGTGCTCTCACCTAGCAGCAGTCACATGCACATCCGCACACAGGAGAGCTGTAATGTCAGACGGTTATTGACGGAGACAGATCCAATCCCTCTCAGATGTTCAGTTCACCTCTCTTTACCCCTCTTACATTTACTCTCAGTCTTCCTTAATGCACAACATGTCACTTTTTCTTCGGCCCTTTTATAGATTTCCACTTGAGAAAGAATTCCTGACCCATCACCTCACTGCCCATCACCATGTCACCGCCCCTGGCGAGGGAAGGCGACCCGATCGTCGCACAACAAACACAGAAGCCCGGGCTGAAATATGACAGGTGTGTGTGTGTGTGTGTGTGTGTGTGGTGAAAATGCCATCTCAAGGTCACTCTAAAGTGTGTGCGTTCAGGTCTGCTTCCAGGCATTAGCTTCAGCTTGATGAAGGTGAAAGAAACAGAAGTCGGTTTACAAAAGATCGAGGACGCGTTTGTCTCACAGAAAATAAAACTTTTCTTATCATGAGCACGCACACATGCCAGCACACTCACGCAGTAATTTGTAGTTATAGAAAGATCCATTGACTAAGGTGACGATAGACCACAAAACAGCATGAAAGGCCTTTAGTGGAAGAGCAAAAAAAAAAGGCTCCGAGAAACAAAAGAAAGAATTACAGATGGATCAAGAAGGAGGAGGCAAAGTGGGTGAGTTGAATAGAAGTGTGTGTGTGTGTGTGTGTGTGTTGTACTGTGTCTGCCAGACTGCAGAGATGACTGCAGCAGGGAGAGAGGGACCCACACTGAATACCAATGGACCTATACGGCAGCTTACTACACAATACTCCAACCCACACAGTACACACACACACACGCCGAGTGTTTAAAGTCAAACAACCAGTGTATTAGATTGAGAGCAGTTAACAGACAGAGACTCCTAATAATGGTGAGAAGCCAACCAGAGATAAAAATATGAGATAAATGTGAAAGGCATTTCAAGCAGTCTGTAAAAAGAAAATCTACCTGCGCCTCCTTGCCTTTCTCCCCCCGGCTGCACAGTTAATGACAACCTCAATGCCCGATACCCACCGGAGACGGTACAAGTGTGAGGGCGGATGAAATGGATAATAGCGGTGCACGGAAGAGCATCCTGCGGTCGGACGAATGGAGGATGAAACTAGTAACGAGTTGAATATGACACATTTCGTGAGGCAAAGAAAGTAGTTGGTGGAATGGTGGAAGGTACTCAACGGGTCCAATTTGCAAGCGCTTACGTAAAATACCAACCACTGCATTCTGACTCATATGGCGTTGATAGAATCACTTTAGTACGTTATTTTGTGTCAGAACAGATTTTCTTTTAACAGTGTTTAATCATTCATCGCAGCCACCTTGTGTAAGTGCCTTTTAAGATCTACTGTGTCATCGATCCACACACAAACTTAAGCTCCACCGGCCAACATTTCTTTGTAAAGTTACAGCTGCCTTTTTGGCCTAAACCAAGCGTAAAAGAGTGCTACTGTAATTGAGACCCTGTGGATTTGATACTCTGGCAGAGTGTAGAGCAACTCCTATTCTTCTACTCTCTTTTCTGAGTGAATTACTGAGGGAGAGAAAGAGAGAATAAGCAAACGTGTCTCGCAGTGTCCTTGATGTTGTAATGAAAGTAACTTTCAAACATCTGATATTTCTGTGAGGTTGAAAGATGCGTGCAGGTTTACGCTGACGTAGTGACTCGTATAGCACATATCTGCCAACTGAAGTAGGCTTTCCCATGTTGTCGGCCTGCAAAGGCGAACAAGGCAATGGGAAAGTAAATGTACTGAAGAATAGAAAAATGATATGCTTGATGATGATGTGCACGATCTCCTTTTTCTAAGAGCCTGATGCAGTGTCACTGCGGAGAACGGTGTCACGGCGAAGGCTCATCCATCGGGATTTCATGGCAGAAAGCCTCGTCTGAAGGATTATATCATTTATTCATCAATTAATCGAACGAACATGTTCATTTTACTCTTCTGCCACTGTCCTCCTTTTGTAGCATTATCAGAAATTGTGTCATTACTTAATACCAGTCAGTCAGCTCGCGCGGAATGGTTATAAATGGGTACAAGTTGGACTACATGACGTCTGAGCGAGTCAGTCGGGCCTCATCACTCACTGCAGAGCACACTTAAGGTCTCGCATGGAGAGATTAGGAAGGAACTCTACTAATCAGCTGCTGCAGGTGACTGCAGCGATGATGGGACCGGGATGCTCAGGGTGAGCGATGTTGCAGCAGCAGCTTAGGCAGAACAAAAGGTTCAGCAGAGCGCGGCACATTAAAAAGCGAAGTGTGGTGGTGAAGAGTGGAGTGCGTATTGTGCGCAGCACAACTTGACTTCGGTGTGTATTTTTTTGACATAAGATGTGGTTGGATGACACCTTCTACCAATTGGTTCCTTTCAACATCCGCCGTTGTCCTCTGAGTATCTTAATTAGAAATGCCACAAGTGATTTTTTTGACCATTTGGGGACATTGGAAAGCTGCTGTGAACACGACATTGTGGAGTCATCCCCCTATAGATCAATGTAGCTGAATTATAGCTTACTTATACATCTGCTACTTAGAATCTAACTCCAAGGAAATATGTGGCTCTTAAGCTGCCCAATGCTCGACTACGGCCTTTTAATTTAAGTGTTTGTGCTGTGGAAGAAAACAAGAGCAGTAATATTGAACCAAAACAGTGTCTGTGCTGTTTTGGTTTGGTTGAGCTGAACTCATTGTAAGCTCGAGCTATTTGACAGGAGCTGCAGGTTTATTCTTACGAGCAACACCTTTCGCCCCACTCTTTTCATATACACGCCATTTAATACATTGTTCTGATAAGAAAATAAATGAAATCCATTTGGAAAAACAAACGCTGACTCAATTGCCGTTTCAATAAATGTGTGTTTCACCCCCCCAAGCTTGCCTTCAATCTGCCGTCTGAACAGCCTGAGAACAGAGACGTGCCACTAAACACACCTGTAGAACCTACTGCCTTTGCTCTGTGTTGAATCATTGCGATGATTCATTAGACATCAGCTTGGATTTACATGATCAATCGTCATTGTTTGAGCTGTCGTCAAGCGGGAGAGACGTAGGCGGTTGTGACGTTCTCGTTGAAACCTCCTTGGAACCATGAAGAAAAGATGAAAGATTTCTGATTGCACTAATGGAACCGGGCATTTAGGACTGCGGTAATCTTGGTCGGGCTTTATTGCAAGTGACATGGGCCAGGTGATTTATACGCCAAACACTGGCCTCGCGTTAAGCACCACATTATCGCCACGGCAGCTGTAGCGCACGCACACACAGCCACGACAAGGCGAAGCCAGCGATTGGAGAGGTCGCCATGCGTGTGTTGGATTGTTGTGAAACTGCCGAGTGGGTGTTTTTCTGCATGTGCCCATGAGCAATGCTAGAGTGTGAAATGTTTGTGTGTATTTACTCTGTGCGCATATATCGTGTGTGTTTTTGGTGTGTGTGTGTGTGTGTGTGTGTGCGTGCGGCTGGTGTGAGTCTTCTTTCCATTTTGTGTGTCGCGGATAGAATTGGCCTGTCAGTCACAGTGTAGCGGGGAGGAGTAGGAGACGACAGGTGTCGGGGAGCGGGGGAGGAGTGTGAAAGAGACGGAGGAGAGAGCGCAGGAGGAGGTCGAATGAGAAGCAGAACAGCCAATGTAGAACTTTTTATTGCTTTCCCAAAATTGAAATGTTAATGGGGGTCCAGCGGAAACGTTTGGAAGATACGCTTTTTAACGAGATTTTAAAGCCGAAGTAAAGCCTGTGAGATGAGAACCAGATTCTTAAAGATTATACGTGTCAGTGAGTCTGGTCATGAATTAAAGTTATTATTGAAACAAAGAGGCTTTCTGAGGTTAAAGAAATTGGAAAGCCGTTTAATACATTTTCATAATCCTGAACGTTTAGTATTCAAAACAGCTAAAAGATAAAACCCTAAAAAATGTAAAAAATTGCACAACCCTGCACAGCGACTAATGTGTTTTTGTGTATACGGTTTTTAATATTTACAACGTCATCTCAACCGTTTGCTTGAAACAAATGGAGAGTTAACGAAATGTAGGAAGCTCCATTCGTTATCATTAAGAAATGCTTTACATATACGGCTAAACATCCCAGCAGGGGCTGCACGCTTCGCTGCAACATGTTGTATCTGTGCGAAATTAAAAGTAAATGTGAATTTTACATAGCTCCGCTGACCACTTGTGGTGTCGATGTGGCCGTGATGAAGCTGGCAGTGTCCTCACACATCTTTGCTCCCAGTTCTTATTATTCTGTCACGCAGTTTGCACAACCGCTCACACCTTTCCCTTCTTTCAACTCATCCTCGATCACTCTCTGCTATCTGCTCCTCTCTTTAGATTCACTCCCTAAAGGTCCCGAGCATGATGGCATGAATATTTCACTAAATTGCATTCTCAGTTTATCAATAATAAAATGCCATATTCTTATAAATATTCTAAAAATACAGCCGGACTCTGCCTCTTCCGTCCTGAATTAAAAATTCATGCACATCCAGCAAACTGTTAAATCTCCCACCACACCACACCCGCATGGACATGACAGCTGGACAGTGTGCCGGTGTATTCTCCTCACCTCCATGTTTTTGTGCACGTGCACGTATGAGTGAATTCATTTGCACATCTTAAGCTTCCGCAGCGGCCTTCCAGTTCAGCTAGAAAGCTCTAAAAGTGCAGAGGGAGTGATTCACATGGACAAGAGTCTGAATCACCACAGCTTAATACCGAAGCACTCTAACGTTACGCCCAGTTAGACGGCCACACGTCATCTCCGTCCCCTCAAGCTCTCTTACGAACACATCCCTGTAAACAACAGTATCTCTTACCCGCTCTGGGCCTCTCACGCACAACAGAGCACTCCTTTTCTCTCACACACTCCATTTCCCGGCCTCACCGTGGCGAGATGTCGCAGCCCTGTTGCATGAAAGCTCCCAGCGAGAACCAGAGGGAGTTGAAGATGCCAAACTCGTTGGGCGGTTGATCAGTGGGGCCGAGCTCTGTGGTTCCCTCCTCCGGCTCCTCCGCGTGCCACTCGTACGGACTGAAGCGACTCACCTGGAAGACACAAGTGGCGTGGAGGTTTTTAGAGGTCCACAAAGGAATGGTTGACTACTTTACTGGAAGAAAAAAATTGTTTCCTTGAATATGCAGACAATTAACTATGATAGCAGTCATGCCAACTTGATTTGACGATGTAAACTTTAAAAACAAAATCCCGCACAAAAGAAAACTTACGGAAAAACCAAGTCGCACAATGTGATGTAACCTGCTATTTAAGAATGTTTCCTTTAGAATTTTTTTGGAATTCAATTCATTCTGAATTCAAATTTGTATTTCTTTAAACACATTTCATTTTTATCCCGTCAGCCAGATAATACACTTCTTCTCTTATCCCTAAAACTTAAAAAGTGCTTCAAGCACCTGCAATCCAACTCCAACGGCTATTAGTTTGAAAAAAATCACTCACCAAAAACAACACGACACTGACTCCGATATAAGCGAAAACAATGCACATCCAGATCTCGTAGGCCAGCGGGTCCAGGAAAGAGAAAACCCCCGGTTTGGATTTCTGGGGCTTCTTGATCATGATGGAGATTCCCAGCGACATGAAGGGCTTTGAGAAGTCTATCACCTCTTCTCTCACCAGAGTGATGGTCAGTGGAGCAACGGCAATTTCTGCTTTCTGCAAAGACGATGAGGGCGAAAATGGTGTCAGCCATATTGTAGCGATGTGCACATGGACCTGAAGTGCATCAGGAGAGTGATGGTGATCTTAAAAAAAAAATTGAAAACACAAGGAGCAGGTAACGTAGACCGGCACAATAAAAAATCTCAAATGTTTGAAGTGAGGGTAAAGGAAGGAAGTGAAAGAAACAAAAGAGGCAGGGAAAGGGATTTCTGGTGGAGCGGGGGAAGGGAAGATGCTGAAAGAGATGGACGAGGTAAAAGGGAAAAACAGGATGACAGAGAAGCAATTCACACGTGAAAAGTCACACTGACAGAATATAAATTAGTCTGCAAGGACATTTGGTGGAATGCACACAGGCAAAATCTATACTTTACAAACAATGGAGTGTGGCTGCTGACAGTGTGGTTGATCGCACGTTGCAAAGGTCCCAAACTGAAACGATTTTGCGCCCATGAGTTTACAGCGCAAACAAACCCATACATTTTTTTAGCAATGGGGAAATTGGGCCTTTTTACACTTAGTTGCACTTATCCATGAGGCAAGGTTAAGGTGCTTAAGGCCGATGTGTGGATCGTAAGAGCCACAGTGATCGAGAGAAGGGCCTTTCCAGAACGCCAAATCCACCCGAACCTCTCATAGGCCATTAAGACACGGTAAAGATGTAAGCCCATGATAAGGAAGGAAGGTAGAGGAAGGATTCACCAGATTATTTATTTTTCATGACACCGGTGTCATTGCGTAGCGTCACTGCGTCCAAATACATTTGTTTGAGAAGACACGCCATATAAATGCGCTCCAACTACCACAAAGTCTACAAGAATTATTTCAATGCAGCTGCGTGTTAGAATGAAAGGGAAGATAACATTATTTATTATGTTCTTTTTGAGTGCATATTCACCGGAATTAAGTTTTATTTGCAAAGTAATGTGCGGTTTGTATCTACATAGGGAGCAGGTGCTCCTCACACGGCCAGCTGCCAAGTATTTACAGTCGCTCAGAACGAGTAAACCAAAAACTGTCCCCGGATACGACCATTTCTGTGTTTGTGATTTAGCACTTTGGCGTCAGCTACCGTAGATCTTATACGCGCTTGGCACAAGACAGAAACGTCCCTTTTATGGTGTATGCAACCTCTGAGATGGGGTCCTCAAAATCTTGCACACTCAATCTTTGACAGTATAACTAACTTCTTGAGAGGGCTTTGACAAAAGCTTTGCAATCCCTTTTGCATGTGTATCATCCTCCCTCCTTTTATGCAGGCGGGGTAAAAATAATATATAATATATATTTATAATATATATAAAATAATATATATTTAGAATAGAGAACCCGGAGGGGAGAAGGCAGAGGAATGCCCAAAATACACAAAATAACATACACTACATAAAATAATGTGAAAGTAGAAGCAGTAGAAGCATGTAGCATAACAGTCTTAAAAGATGAGTATGAGCGTTTGCAAGATATCAAACCCGGTTAGTCAATGCAGCTGTTTGGCTCCGTCGCCTTTCACTATACAGCTTCTGGAAGCTAATTAATTCTGTCAATGTTCCGCAGAAAGCGTCTCCACTTTCACTCTTCCGCAAAATGTCAACTGACATTCTCTCCTGCATGTTGATAAAGTTTGCAACAAGCGAGCAGCGTGGAATCCCAGACCATGCATGCGCGTCACAGGCAATTAGCATGCTTGCCAAATTCTCAAGGATAAGTGAACCCTCCAAGACGCGGCATTTTTGCAGGAAACTGTCTAAGCTAAGGAGGACGGAGGAATCAGGATAAGTTTATGTACAGTACAGGAGTTATTTTTTAGCATTTTTCATCTGTTGCAGGATAGCTTGTGGCGAGGTCGCAATAGCGGGTACACACAAACGCCATGTAATAGCGCTGCTGTAAGATGCATTGAATGAACTCTGTGCAAGAGAAGTGTTGATTCAACACAATATTTCCAAGGCCATTATTTGTAATGTTACGGTACTGGATTGCTGAACAATAAATCCACCTACACAGTACATAGCACTTTGTCTTTCCTAGAAGCTTACTGTGTAATATTAACAGCATCAATAGTGCTGACTCCTAAAAATGAGCATTTTCTTCCTTTTTACGGTTTCGCTCACCTTAAATTCACAGACTTTTTAAACGTTTTTTTTTGGTTGGACGCATTAAATAAGGTCTATGTTTAACAATGATTGTATGATCTATGATATAAAATAAATGAATGATTTATTAATACATTTTAAAATTAAACTTTCACACAACATTTTAAATTAAGGCAAGTTCAACATTTCTGAAACAGTTTGTTACAGTTTTGATGCATGAGGTCTCATCTTTCTGTAATGTTATTTACCGTGTTAATCACAATTTACCATCATTAGTAAAACTCACTCACTTCAATAACAAATTAATCAATAGTGCAAATATTTGCCACGCAAACTTACCCCATACACGAGCTCTCCAACCATGCCATTCCATATCTTGGTCTCTGGATCTCTGGCTCCATATTTCCCATCCGGTACGATGGAGATCTTGTATTTGATTCCAATGTGTTTCGCGATCTCCGAGGCCAAGTCCACGCAGTACCCCTCAAACTGTTCGTTGCCTTCGTACATTTCCCAGTTCTTCTTCAGCATCACATAGGGACCCTCCTACAAAACCAGCATAAGGGGAGAAAGAAACAACTGTTTGGAGGAAGATGACGGTTGTTGAAAGAGGAAAAATAAAGCAGTTTGGTATATTAACATTGTACCACAGATAAGCACAAATGCCACGTTCACCTGGACACCAACCTCACCATCAAAATAAGAACATTAATATTCTAAAATGTATGTGCTATAAGAGACTGATTTGACCATACAGGATACACATATTGTCAGGAAAACACAGCAACCATTTAAAACGTGACAGAAACAGTTGTACAGTTGAGAAAATGGGGGAGATACCAGCTTTTGAGCAGATGTTTTATATGTTACGTGTCTGACATCTAGTGCCTTTATGCCTTTGTCTGACTCAACATGCCTCCACTGGGACCTGCACCTGACTCAGTGCAACACTAACGCTGAGAGGAGATGGAATGTATGAGGGAGAGGGGAAAAAAGAGGCGATATTTCAGTAGAGGGAGACTGATTCATGTGCATGTGGAAAATTAAGATGAAGGCAAAGAGAGTTTAATGTTGTCTAGCAACAAGGTGGCGTGTTAGGGATCACGCTCGGACATTACCACACCTATGCAGGATACCCACAGAGAAAAGATACACACAGTGACTTTTGAGTGGCAGCTCATTTGTCAGGAGCAGTGAGTTATGGTATAATGCCTGAGGCTGCTCACCCTGTAATCCAACTGAAACCAAGCCTATTAAAATGCTATCAAACCCTTTTTAATCAAAGACTAATCTCATCTAATTAATCAAACCGGCTTTCATAATATCCAACACTTATAAAGATCATAAAACACAATAAAAGATGAGAACATGTTTTGGATTCAATTCTTCATTCAGGAAATTGTTTCATTGTGGAAATAAGTATCGTTTAATCAAATTAGATTTCGTACATGCTTTTAAATGGGTGAGCAACATAATCCCTCTGACAAAGGTTTCGAAAGATCATTCTTCAATCTGGGAAATTCAATATCCTTTGAAGGAAATCTATATGTATGAATCGTAACTCATGCATTTGAATCAACAAATATAATAATTATTTACATAAAAGTTTAGAAAAAAACAAACAAAGATATCCTGTGCAAAGCATTGTCACATTTCTCAAAAACTACTATTCAGTCATAAATATAACATTTCCGGACACAAAAAACACAGCACAATGGCCACCGTCATCACATCATTGTGTTCAATGTCAACATAAAGAAACACTTTCCCTAAAATATCATTACCAAGCACATTAGCGTGTCCTGGGGCACTAATGCCATCGACTCAACATGAATCCTAATGATAATAAACAGCAAACAGTTTAAAACAAATGATTTCACACAGCTGAAAAAAGCACGATTCAATCCAAGTGTGATTCATGATTGTGCCCTAATCACTGCTCATCGCGACTTACAGCTTTCACAATCCTCTTGCTGTGTTTCTTTCTCTTTGATATTTTTTCTTTGCATCATAAACCAGATAGTTTCCCACCTGGTGTGACATTAAACAGCCCAGAGATCCAAAAAGTTTGGAATGATACAGAGTTTGTTGCATGCAAACGAAAGTAATAATGGTAATATGAGAATATTTTGTGTGGGTTTTTTACAAGTAGGTAGACGTCTTTTTAAAGACCACAACAAAAGATGAGCACTTCACACAGTTTTCATTGTAAATCAATTCAGCTTTTTTGACTATTATATCAAAATAGGTATTAAATTAAACAAATGACACCTTGGTAAATATGTTTACTTGCTCCCTTGTTGAGAGTTAGAACAGAAGATTGATGCCACTACGATCTGTCTGAGAAATATTAAGCTTCAGCCAAAAGAAGATTTTCTTAGCTTAGCACCGTGATTAACTGTCTTATCGGCACCGTCTGGTTGTAGGGAACAAAACCAAAAAAACAGCCATTTTTTGCCATTTGTTACTCTTTGTTTTTCACTCAAATGAGATCGTATAAGACCAGTGGCATCTTAGTTAGTGCATTTCCTATTATTTAGTCAAAGTTACTGTTTCCAGTTTCTATGATGCTGAAGGTAACTCGCTGCAGGCTCCGCTGACATTAAGCAAACAGACATGAGAGAGTTTTATCAATGATTCTCCATGAACTGCCTCAAAGAATCCAAAGCCAGTATTTTTCAAAATGTTGAACTATGGGTTGAGTATATTTATTCAGCGTTCTAGTTGGTGTGTCACACAGGGATTATATAATTGATGACCCCCAACAAAAATGTAAAAAGCTAATTTTAATATTAAATCGTTGAATCTCAAAGGGAACCATTTACTAACAAGGAGTATGCGAGCATCTCCATTAGCTCTTCCTTCAAATTGCCTTCCTATTAATCATAGCAGATGGTTAAGGGTTTGGAATCAGAGCAGGCTACTTAATTATATATCATGTAACAAACTACACACAACCAGAAACTAAACACTCACACACACAGACACACACATACAGATGCACACAAATCAGTTGGAGCTCCGCCATGGTGATACAGTTTCACTTTAAAGCCTCCTCAAGGTTTATTATCAGTTCGCCCCAGATGCATTTGTCTTGGAGTGAAGGTAATAACACCAATGCTGGATGAGGTTAAAAGGAAAATGAAGGGAGAACATGGACATGGTGATGGAGATATGGATGTGGGTTGTGCAGGCTGCACAACAGAAGAAAGATCAAGGAGCAGATCGGAATACAAACCGAGACGGCTACAGAGAGAAGAGAAGATAACTAGCTAGAGCAAAGGGAGTGGGAAGGAGAGATAAAGAGACAGTGGGAAATGACAATGTGAAAAGGAGGAAACCAACACGGAAAAAAGATTGAAAAGATGGAGATCAAGAGGGAAAACAGGTAGAGGGAAAGAGGGAAGACAGCTCTGCAAAAGCAAATGTTTGGCGCTGATAAGACATAAAAAACACACTGGAGTCAAAAAGCCAGGCAGGAGTTTCTATGTAAACCATGATGCACAGCTACGGAAAAGTCGTGCACCTTGCTGGACAGACCCCCTGCTGTTCTCAATGACAGCCCCCCTACTGTTCCGTCATCGAGTCAGGCAAGAATCCTTGGTTGGTCAGGCAGTTCATGCACTTTTAATACTGCAATCAGTGTATTCATCTATCCAGTGACGTATTTGGCCAGTGAGCCGGTTTGATTATTTTGCAGCAACTTCACCCTTAAGCAGGTGAGGCAGACGATCAGTAAAAAAAATAAAAGCAGTCACTCTCTGTTTTCATAATACCAATCGTCTTAATATTTGTTAATATTACAAATGTAATCGATTTGAAGTCTGTTATATTGAAATGTTATATAAAAGTCCATTGGCTTTTATATATTTCTAATTAATTAATTAATATTAAAATTGAATATTAAAATCTCTAAAGGATCGCTTTGTACGCTAGGCTGTAATGATCTCAATTCCTCAAGGACTTTGTTAACAAGTGAAGTAAACGTCAACGCACAATCAATCCCCATTAATGCACTTTGCTACAATGGAAGTGGGAAAGTTAGACGCAGTAAAACATTTATAATGCCACCATGTGGGGATCTGCAGTGATTCAGTAATTCAGTAGAGGAAAGTTGGCCGAGTAGGTTTGACTGAGTAGTTTTACAGAGTGACACAGCAGAAAGACGAAGATTGAGTCAGAGTTGTGTCACATGGTGGGAGGTGAGCAGCGCGGTGCAAGACGGAGAGCTGTCTGCTTTTCAGTCTCCGCCAATAAATAAAACAAAATAATTCAGAGCAATAGAACGAATGATACATTCTGGTGAGGTAGTTTCTCCCGCAAGTTCTCTGCAGCGTTAGCAGAGAGGGTGCTGGCGATCGTTGTATCGTCAAAGGGAGGGAAAAGAATCCGAATTAACAGGGCTGTCTGATGGTCTGATGATTTTGTGCAGCCAAGTGTTAAATCTTGACAGCAGCCACGGTACCCGTCCAACTGCAGCTTTTGTCGCGAGCAGCACAGTGAGTAAGGCGACCCAGAGCCTGGCGGGCAGTGAATCTCCTTCTCATCTGTTCCTTTTTTTGCAATTTATTCTGATTTGATGCTGATTCAATTCTTTCAATCAAAAAGGTCAAAAGCCACCAAGACAAAGCACAATGATTATTTTTTACAAAGCCATAGAGACGCTCCGTCTATCAGTATGTCTGTCCTCTGTCTTTCCCGAGGTTTCACAACCCAGGTGAGCGTGCGTGTCTTCCTGTCGCTCTGTCTGCAGACCCGGCATCAGTGTCGCAGCAGAGGCTTCCTCTTCATCAGAGGCTGCAAAGAGGAGGAGGTGGCTGAGCTAAGGTCAGCCGAGGCCTGCTGAGGTCACCATCCACAGAAATACACAGAGGAGGTAAGAATGAGGGGCGTGGGGGTCGATGAGATGAGCGGCGTTAAAGATAGACCACAAGAGACAGTTAGAGAGAGGGACACAAAGGGGACCGTGAGGTTGGAAAGAATCAGCTGACAGACAGACACGGGTGGGAAAAAGTCGGGAGGGAACAGACATTGAAAAGGCGAATGCAGTAAAGGCAAGGCAAGGCAATTTTATTTGTATAGCGCTTTTCATACACAAGGCAGACTCAAAGTGCTTCACATCATAACATTTGATACAATAAAGTGAAATAAAATGTAGGAATTAAAAGACAATTAAAAACAGCTAATAAAATTATAAATTAAAATCTTATTTAAATTGTTTAATTAAAAGCAGAGGTTAAAAGTGCAATGTAGGTAAAATTTAGCAGAAGGCGAAGCTGAACATAAAAGTTTTCAGTCTTGCTTTAAACGTGGTCAGAGTTGGGGCAAGTCTTAAATCTTCAGGAAGTTTATTCCAGCTGTTTGTTGCGTAGTAACTAAATGATGCTTTCCCATGATTTGTATTTACTCTGGGAATCACTAACAGATTGGTGTCAGAAGATCTTATTGATCTTGAAGGCTTATGTAGTGGAAGCATATCAGTGATATACTTTGGCCCTAAACCATGTAGTGATTTATATGTGAGCAGTAGGATTTTGAAATTAATTCTCTGACATACTGGGAGCCAATGTAAGGATTTAAGAATTGGTGTAATGTGCTCACATTTTTTGGTCTTTGTTAGAACTCTAGCAGCAGCGTTCTGAACAAGCTGGAGCTGACTGACAGTTTTTTTTGGAAGACCTGCAAGGAGACCATTACAATAGTCTAGCCTACTAGTTATAAAGGCATGTACAAGTGTTTCTACGTCTTGAGCTGACATGAGCCCTCTAAGTCGTGCTACATTTTTGAGGTGGTAGTAGGCCGATTTTGTTACTGATTTGATGTGACTCTCCAAGTGTAAATCTGAATCCATAATAACCCCCAGATTTCTGGCTTTATTTGATGTTTTCAGGGACAGAGAGTGAAGGTGTTGGGTTACTTTAAACCTTTCGTTTTTAGCACCAAATACAATGATCTCAGTTTTGTCTTCATTTAGTTGTAGGAAATTTTGACACATCCAGTCTTTGATTTGCTCAATGCACTGGCACAGAAAATCTATGGGGCGATAGTCGTTTGGTGATAGCGCTACATAGATTTGTGTGTCATCAGCGTAGCAATGGTGGTCAATTTTATTTCTTTGCCTGATTTGTCCTAGTGGGAGCATGTAGATGTTGTCGGCCCTAAGATCGAACCTTGGGGGACTCCACACGTTACGTCGGTTGTTTCTGATACGAAGTCATTAATGGAAACAAAATAGTTCCTGTCTTGTAGATATGACCTGAACCAGCTTAAGACTGTGCCTGAGAGCCCCACCAAGTTTTCCAACCTGTCCAAAAGTATTGAGTGGTCGACAGTATCAAATAAGTAAAGTAAAGCTGAACCTCTTTTTCAACCCCATAAAATTGATGCATTATTAATGGTATTTTATATATATTTTACAATTCCTGTCGAAGAAAAAACAACCTACCCTTTCATTTATTTGTTTGTTTTGATACATTTCCATTTACTTGTGTTGGGCCGGGCTAAAGGCACCACACACAGCCTGCACTTGCCAGTGCATTTGTGCATGTTATGTGTGGAGGCGGGACTTTTGCTGAGAACAATTAGTCAAGCTCAAATTCTTTTGTCTGAACTCTTTCCTGTGTTTTATTTCCTCTGTGAAAATCTGACCAGCCGGTGCAACTACCGGCCACAGGGTGTAGACTTTCACCCTCTTTTCAAATCACACAAGCAGTACAACTACAGATATTTTAGTCATACTTTCTGTTTACTGCATAAACCGAAAGTGGCTTGAGACAAAGTGCCGAATTGCCCGGGCTGACACGCCTGTGGCTTGTTTTATCTCAGGGCTGTGAATATTCTTTTGAGTTGCTTTCACTTGGATCATGTTGCACGGCCAATTGAATTAGACTGATTGAATTTACAGGAAGAGGATGGCCACCATAAAAAGGCTGCAGATGGGTGAAGTGAAATCAAATGTAAGCAGAGGATGTGCACAAATCCAGCGATTAGCCGTCCTTTATCCCTGTTTGTGTAAGAAAGACGAGCAATTAAACTGGGCTGCAGACGGGTGTCTGTGTGAAAGCCATTCGAGGTCACTTCTAAATGATCTAAGGTCAGTTTTAGATTTCCCCACTAATGAGACATTATTGTAATCTTCCAGCTGGATAAGTGCCACTCCCTCCCAGCAGAGCTCTGTGTGCTCTCTTCAACTTGTACGCGCCCATCTTGCTCCAGCCTGTGTTTTCTTTGGCATTAACACAACTCTGCCACATCACATCCACACGTTGTACCTCGCCCTTTGGCTTTCTGTATCCTTTTGGGCAACAATTAGAAGTATTTTCTTTCTTTACTGTTAATCAGCTTGTGACCTCGGAAAATAAATAGTATAGAAGTAAAGGCATGCCTGTAACACATTTTATTTTATTTTTAGTGCTGTTTAACCTCATTCATGCTTGACCAATAAACCAAAAAATTGTTATTTAGCAATTCTAAAATTGCTTATTAATCACCTTGCATTGGCACTAATCTTGCCTTTCCAAAAACATTAAGCCTTGACATGAAGCAGATGTGAGATGGAAAATCAGGTGTGTGCAAGGTTTTGGTGACACAGAAATTGAAAAGACTGTTGTGTGTTGAAGGACAGCTTCCAAAATATCTCAAACAGCACCCACAATAAATGAGAAATGAAAGGAGTCTGAGATTACCATGATGGTTGTCACGACCACCGTGCGGTTCTCCATCGCCGTGCTGTCATTGGTCAGAGCATTTTCATTCTGGACCAACACGAGTTTGTCAATGTCGTTCCAGTAGCCAATCTACAGGACACAGAGGAAAAGAAGAAAAAAAAAAACATCCGATCAGTCAGTCAGTATAGATCAATTAATTTTAATTGGGAAGCTGGAACACGAGGTCTATTTCTTTATCATAGATGCTACAGTTTTTTTAGTAACCCAAATCTCCTCCTCCAACTTTTTGTAGAGTTTGAGTTGTATGTACCCTTAGATTAACTGGGAGCTGGTACTCAATGTACTCCCCAAAATGTATAAAAACTCAAGAGACGGTGGTTCAGCTGCAGCTACAAAAAAAACTGACAATCGTGACGGATTAAAGCTAAAAACTACGGTTATTATCCTTTTACACTAACTATATATAATTTTCTCACATTTTACATTGCTTTTCAGCACAACAGCTTGACAATAAATGACAAGAATTGAATGGAATGGAAATGGAAGTTGCATTTGGTATTTTTCTGATGGTGTTAGACGGACAGATTCAAAGTGTAGTTTATTATTGTTTCTATGAGGACAACCGACCTTGCGTGGTCCGTTGCTCTTCAGCTCAAACACGTCCATAGTGTAGTTGATCCTCCGGCCGTAGTGATCAAACTGGATGTTTCCAGTCAGGCCCTGAATACGCACCTGCATTCATAACAAGAAAAAAACTCATATCCGTTTATATGGCATCCAAACACAACCAGTAAGCAGTGAGGCAAATATCTGTCAGATAATATTAACAACACCAATGCTGGATTGACCGCGTGCATAGTTTCCTGTGCATCCCTTCCCATCACCTCTGAATCCAGTGAGGGAAACGCAGAAACAATGGTGACCATGAGTAGTATCCAGAATGGGGTTTGATTTTAGAACAAATTCTGAGGATTCTAACTTAATCATTAATGATTATTTTATTCTCCAAAAAGAATCTAGTAGTCACATAACAAAAATTCTAACGAGGTTAACAAGTAGTCCATTTTAGAGTGAAACTTTGCTTTCTAAAGTTGCGGTTAGAATTGGGACTGCGTTATGGTTGTGGAAGGGGTGGGATGAGACCTGAGATGTGAATGAAGGACATCACAATATCCCCACAATTATACCAATACAAGTTGTGTGTTGGTTGTGGGTGTGAACCCCTGTCTGAGAGTTTGCCGACCTGTTTCAGTGCACGTTCCATATCTATTCCTTGGTTCCAGGGAGCAGCTGGATTGGCCAGGCAGTCACCAGCGTTGCCACGGCGACTGATATCAATTTTCTGACGCCGAAGGGTGCGGAACGCCTCGGCCATCACAAGGACGCCATCATATGTAAGGGATGAGGTGTACTGAAGAATGGAGGGAAAACAGAGCAAAAACAAATGTTATATTGGTGAAAAGTTTTAAACAAAGAAATTGCCGTGTCGATGAATACCTCTTCTTTGTCACCCAGTACACACTGTTACAGGAAGAATTCCATTCATACAGTTGATTTGAAGTTGAAGTGCTAAAATGTTTCCTAAAACAAATATAACAATACCCTGTTGCATTTTTTATTTTTAAAATATAAAGCTGAAGAAAATCAGTAAAGAATTTTGTGTTTCTGAGCAAAGGTAGAATGCAGTAGTGTGCTAACCAACCAATTTAATCTGAGACAAGAGCTGTATTACTGCATCAATCCATGTAACCAAACTCACCAACATGCAAACATGCTGACCTGTGCAACAACTCTTATTTGACTTCCACAGTTAAAACCAGAGAACCTCATTCCGCATCACTGGAAAATGTAATGTATCAGTTTTAGACAAGCTTATAGTTTTCAAATACAGTTTCCGGGTCATTACAATGACATGAAAATGTGTTTCAAGCATATTGTTAATCTGATAAGGTGATATTCTTCCATTTGATTGTAGATTCCCAAGATTTATAAATACGGTTTCATAAAATACAAAGAAGCTGTTTGTAAGTTCGCTAGAGTAAATTACAAAAATGTATTATTTTTAAGGCCTTTTAAAACATTACAGTGAGTAAGGAAAAGTGAAATAGTTAGACATAATTTTATCTCCTTTCTCTGATGAAACTCAGTGGTGATCGTGACCGACTGTTTTGTCAAATTCATAATAGGCAACACACAGCTGGGAACAACAGCACACGCTCAGAAGCAACAACCCACCGAGCCGACACGCAGACAGACACAGCAGCACACAGACACAGGCACTCAAACACACAGCGGGCCGCCGTCACATCGCGGCGGAAATGAGTGGTGAGATGAAAACGGGAGGAAAGAGGGACGTCAGCTGAGGGACGTCAGCTGAGAGACTGAGCCGGCGCTCTCCGAGCCTCTGCAGGTAGTTTTACTCTCTTAGTGACGTCCCCTAATTTGCATCCCACAAGGCGCGGAAGGCTGCACAACCACGTCGTCCTCCTTTCATCTCTCCCCTTTGAATCTAAAGACGCCTTTAGGCAAACTGACGTGTGATGACTTTAGAAGAACAAAACTGAGCCAGCTAGCATGCTGTTTTTTTTTTTTTTTCTCTTACAAGATGAAAAACAGCTTTGGGTCATGTGGAAAAGAGTATGGGTTTTTAAAAACGTCTAATTCTGGATAGTCTTCTCTGGGTCTGTTCAAATCTCCGAGATCAGGTAAAATCCGACACGCATTCTCAAACAGCCGCGTACAAGTTCATCGCACCCAGACCAAGATTTATAAAGGCTGCATGCAATACGGAATAAATAAGTAAAACCTAAACGGTTTGATTCAATCATTGCATAACATTCACGAAATGTGACTTCTATAATAACCCCTCCAAAGTGCTCAAGAGCAGCGAAGCAACATGAGTGACTCCCTCAAGGACACACAGATGTATTGAGGTTCAAACTACCAACTTTATGGCTCAAGGACATCCAGCACTGCACACTGAGCCTCGAGCCAGTCAGCCACGAGCAACGTTTCATACAGCAGTTACAATAACACTCATTAAAAAATATTGAGATACAACCGAACATTTTCATTATAATTCAACATATTTCCCGCCACACTGGAGCTCGCTTCAAAGCCGAGCCAGCTGGGAATCAACGGTTTAGGAGATTCTGATCGAAGGCCAAAAGCAGCTCGCCAGGGCTCCATTCTTCAGGGTAAAAGGGACCCGTCTCCACAATGCTCTTCACACGCCGCATTATTACACTACTTGGCCCGAGGCTAGCAGTTGGCCCAAGGCTAACTGAGCTCAGTTTTCACGCAGCCACCGGTTAGCCTCGAGCGTTTTGGTGGCATCTGCTGTCACTGGAGATACCTGTTTTTGTGTTATTTGTGATAAATAATTGAAATGTATTTGTTTGCAAAAAGTCAGAGGTAAAACAACATTTTGGGAAGAGAACCTTTGAATGCGTGCGATCATGTTCACTGTCTCTTTGTCACAAACATTTACAATTAGTATATTCCCAACAAACAAACTAACGAGTCAATTGATTCACCTGACAGTTAAAATAAATTGGGTATATTGTATCCGGGAGCGATGATTAGCCAGTTGACACTGGTCCTCTGGTAAAAAAAAAATCACATTCCAATAACAAAAGAACATCAACATAAAAACGCAGCGTTTTAATACTCATCACAACTACTTGCTGTTTGTGTCCTCCAGGAGTGAGTGCACGTTGGTGTGAGCCAAAGAGCCAGATTGTGGCAATATTGTGTCTTTTTAATAGGTAGGTGGACATATTTCCAGTTAACATAAGCACAAATCAAACGTTATGTGCCGCATGTCAGTACTTAAAAAAAAAACGTTTGTATCAAAATGGCCTCTTGAAATAACCGTATGACCGTTTGCAGTTAAAGAATTTTAACAGAGTCCAGCAAATGTACCAGAGTTACATCACATCACTTCACAGGGAACAATGAAGGCGAAAGAGCATCACCAACCTGTAACCAAATATCCTGTGATCATAGTTAAAAACACAGTCTGTCAGAATGTTAGCGTATTGTCCACTGACAAATCAGTTTGTAACCATTACAAGTTATCATGAAACATGGTTAGTGAGAGTAACTCCACAGAGAATGGTGAATGGAGAGGAGAAGGGAAATACGGTGAGAGGCTGAGAAACATATACAATACAGATGCATTTGGATACAGAACCTTGGACATGGTGAGGGAAAATCTAGGAAAAGGTGAGAGGAAAAAGATGAAGTTGACTCATATAAAATGAGGAAATATTATGCACGACAGACATAAGAAATAGATCCGAAGAATCGGCATGCGTTAATCTCATTACGTTAATCTTGACACTGAATAACTGAATCTTATACACATGTTTTCATTCCTATCTGGGAAAATTGTTATGTTGTTGTTTATGTTGAACATCAGAAGGAATAGAATAAAAGGGATCTTTAGCTAAATTAAAGTAAATTAAAGTTTTGCATTTTGGTTTTCATTCAATTTAAGCATCAAAATGACAATGAAAATGACTTTTTTTTAATCAAAACGCGATACTGCAACTATTTCAAATGACATTTGTTGGGGAAGAATCTTTCCAGTTCCTATATTTAAGGATTGGAAATTTATATCACCTTAGGTGGGCTCTCAGATCCGGGGTATTCTCTCTGGTCCAATTTGTTCCAACGCTGCATCAGTTTAATAACTATAGGCCTGCTGAAGTCCACCAGCTGGAAACCCGTCACATTAGCCCCGCCATGCATGAACCGCTCCAGAGATATGTCCTTAAACCCCTGGGAGAGAGAAAGAAAGAGAGATGGAAAGAAAGACTGAAATATGGAACAACGCAAGCACCACGTGCAAAATACTTGGTGTCTCTGGAGGGTCAGAGATCCCCTGATTAACCCCCTCATAGCCTCAACAGCTAAATTGTGGGAGATCAATGGGGAAAATCTTTAAAAAGTATTTGTCACTATGAAATTCTTTCAAAATGTTACTCTATCCGGCAGGATCCAACAATCAAACCGCAAAGCATTTATTTGCAAATATTACTACAGAATTTTTTTTCTTCCTTCATATATTGATTGTACGATTGAATACGTGATTGAATAGGTAAAGACCTCGTGTGTAAGATAAAAAGCTGGACGGCGAGTGAGCGTGAGCCGGGTTCCCTTGTCTTTTTGTGTGATTTTGTAGTTGTCTGCGGCTTAACTGTTAACAATTGTAGCCTCGGTAATGGGTGTGCACGGTGCGTGCAGCCTTGTGGATTACCTCGGCTTGCAGCCACAACATTTCGTTGACCCATATTGCGTATGAGTCCGTGTAGACGTCACCATTTGTGTAACACTGGATTACCAGGTAAGTGGAACCTCCCAGTTGCCACTTGGTATTTTGCACAGCGGTGAGAGTGGATGTCAAATTCCTCCAACACAGGGTCGGGGACCCATGCGCTCCATTAGTTTATCACATTATTTATGTCTATTCAATATGAGGGGCTTCTACAGCTGAGAGTGTGACTTCATGCACGGTGACACTTCATGGTGAAGTGTCAGTGGAGGATCCTTTTGGGAACAGGCCAAAGACAGATTTAGAGTGTAAAAACATGTGAGGGTTATCATGGGTTGATGGATGCTAATTGCTAAAAGCCTCTCTAACCCGACCTGATCTCACAGGACCCCTTTTCACCGTCCCGGGGAGAACTGCCGTGGAACATGTTTTTAGTTATTACGCTTGAAGCGATACTTAATTTACTGATTCGAGTTCTGGTCTGCACTATCTGCAGGAAAGAAAAATGTACACACAACACTACACCTTCAGTCTGCAAATCATTTAGCAGAATAACAGCCAACAACCAGCAATGCCATTTAGAGTTCTTACCAAGTTTGCGATGATGTAATGGTAACCTTTTACATGTTTCCCCACACTAACAGCCTGGAGAGAAAAAACAAAGAGAGAGAAAGAAAAACATCATTTATTTGCTCTTCAATCAACAATGCATGCGCGTGCAAACCAGGGCGCACAATGTAAAACTCACAATTAATTGACAGGCCAGTTAATTAACTTGCCAGATACCTTAAAAGTTCATTCAGTGTCAGAGAAAAGGGAGACCCTACCATCTGTGGTCGTGGTTATATTCTTATACTGATTAAAAGCAGAGGGGGCGGTGAGCCGGTGAGGACTTCACTTGTCCTTAGTACCACGCTGTCTAAGACTCTGCAGCCTCTTGGAATATTTCGCTTCAGAAACAGGTTCTCTGGGTTAGAAGTTTGTTAAAATGTCTAGTTCAAATTCATGAAATAAATAAAAAACCTGCATCCCATGAGAGGAAAATGTTTCACTTGTTTTTGGTATTAACCTTGAAAAAGAGGCCTTGATTCAAAAACACATCATCAACGCTGTGCAGCTTTGTCTAAAGCATCAGTTCTTTCCAAATAAAGCCTGAAATGATCAATGATTTAATGTGTGGTTGTGTGGGATTGCATAGCAGACAGTTCGGTACAGCGGTTATATGTTGAAAATGTAATTCTGCGTAACACTGAAATCAGTTGAATGATTTTGTCATTGTTGCAACTGCTCAGCAGGACGGCGGGAAACATCACACGTTGTGAGATATTTAACAAGGGAGGAATCTTCATTTTAAAAATTGTGCCTGAACTAAATGAATAAATGTCTCACTTTCTTTTCTATCTCTGTCATCCACACATATCAAAAGCTATGTAGCGCACACACACACACACAAACACACACACACACAGAAACGCACACAGATCGCAGCTGGCAGGGGCAGTCAAACAGAGCATCCTCTGTCTCAGAGCAGCGACGCTTGCCAACGCCTCACTACAGAGCCCACTGTGTCGGGAGTGCGGGTTTGTGTCTGTTGGCCTGTCTTTGTATAGAATTGTGTGTGTGTGTGTGAGTGGCAGTGTGAGTCTCTCTGTCTGTCTGTTTACTCGCAACAGAAGCCAATTAAGAAACCGTCTTGCTGTCTGTATCTCTGGGATGCTGCTACTGGTGTGTGTGTGTGTGTATGTTTGTGTATATATGTGTGTAGTTGTATGACACGGAGCATTTAAAATCTGGTGTGTCTGTTTGTAATATGGGCACGGAGGGCCGGGTTTCACTGGGCTATTCAGGTGTGCAGATAGAGGGCCGATGTGATACGGTGACAGTGACACCAGAGTCGAAGAGCACACACACACACACACACACACACACACAGCCCAAATCTGGACTACCTTGTCAGAGCTAAACTGTCAAGCAAGACAGATGATATAAGTAACATGGACAAGTGCAAGGTGCCAGAGTGTGTGCCTCTATATGTGTGTACAGGTGTGTATGCACAATACACTACAATCATTCGCTGATTTAACTGTTGGGGAAGTGACATTTTTCACTCCACACTATGAACTCCAGGGAAAAACTGAAATCTTGTTTTTACTGCAGATGTCAGAGAGAATAAGGAGGGTTGTTGCAGGAGTGAAGGAGACAGACACCAGTAATACGCAACAAACCATATGGCGTAGTATGATTACTACGTTTCTCAATGAATTCAATGAAGGTTACTTGCAACAAAGACTATATGTACTCTATGGTTTAAGGTATTAATAATGTCATTTTTATGTTTTTCCCATGTAATTAAGTGCTAAATGCAGCTATATAATATGAGGCCTGTCTGCAGTGTTGTCAGTAATAGTAACAGTGCCATATGGAACTATAGTGTGGCCTCCATGAAAGAAGAATGTCATGATCTAAAAGGCTGCAGGGTCCTTTAGGTCCGAGATCAGTGTCAAATATCATTCCGTGCCTATAGTAAACTAATATTGATTTGTTGTTTTATTGTGTGATTTATTGTAGCAAGGGACTTGTGTTTAGTAATACTTCATCTCATGTACAATAATAAATAGCTACATGAAGCTGTTTGGCATCTAAAATGGTTAATTGTAAGATTTTTATTCATCGATCAATCCCTTTTTCCTCCCACTGAATTGAAAAGATTAGGATCCTAAAAAAAAAAGATCCTAATCTTTTCAATTCATAATAATAATTCAGTCCACAATTCAGTCCAGTATAAGTCACATGTCAAGAGGAAGAACCATACATAGAAAAGTAAAACGAAGGTTCCTCCCACTCAATCTCAACACACAATAACGATGCCTATATCATCTTTTTAAGGAAGGTTTTGGTAAACCAGTTGTACGCATGTCATTTCATACTGCTAGTGTAATGCAACCAACTAAGTCCTGTTACTTACATGAGCCATCTTCAAGAAAATGAATCAAACAAATTAAATAAATAGTTAAAGAATGTGTTTTTTTAAACAATGCTGAAAAAAAAATGTAAAAGTTCAATTTTGAAAGCGATTCAGTGGAAACAGCCATCACCTGTTCCAGGATGCTCTGTAGTCTTTCAGGTTCCAGGTCGATAACATATTTTCTCTCCTGACGTCGGTCCAGGTCCTCAAGGAGTCGGCGGTAAGCTGCCTCATTGAAGCTCTCCACACAGATAGCACTCACCTGGGTTAAAACGTATGCTTACATATACATACAAACACTAAAAGCATGCACTGTATGAATGAGGTCATGCATACAAACGCATTTACCACAAAACCATTGGTTCAGTTGGTTGAATGTGTGATCGTGTGAGTCAAACATGCTCTTCATGTTTGCCACACAAGAGTGTCGTTGTGTGTGTGTGTTTTTTTTAGCCTTTTCCAGGAAATTGTGCTTTTGTGTGTCCTGACCTGCCATCCGTTTTGCCCCGCTCTTTCCATAATTGCCTGCAGTATTGCATAACCTAGACAACAGACCGCAACGGAAGGGAAAGAGAGAAAGGGTGAATTAAAGCTGATGGGTAGGAGTTGTAATTGGCTTGTGGATGAATCATATTGTGTGTTTACTTCTCAGGTGAATCTTAAAACGTAAAACTCAATACCTCAAAATGTGCACAAAATTTAGTTCTGATGTGACGTTACTTTTAAGAGGGTTGTTGCTTGAAATGCTTCCCAAAAGCCTTAAGTAGCACAAGGAGCCCATCAGGACAACGTGCCATGTCCAAAAACAACATAGACCCTCAATAGTGACATTTCATTGACATCAAACTTCAATTTAACTGTTGTCAAATAGTAGTAGTAGAAAACCACTTCAATCAATTCAGCAATTTAATATCCCGAAACAAATCACAGAACGGAACATTTTTTTCCTCCACAATTGAGATTGAACTGGGCTGTGGCTCTCGTTGGGATTGGATAAGTCGCTATGCGTTAATATGATCCCATGAGCAGCAGGTGAAAACACAGGCGAAAACGAATTCAAGTGTATTACACTGGAAAGCTGCCAAGATGGGTCACAACAATTGTAAAAATAACAATAATGAGCAAAAACCCCTTTATGGTCATGGTCAAATATCGTTACACAGCTGCTGCATTTTCATCATAACGATTGTTGAAATCTATATCAAACCTCTAAATATCTCGTTGACTTTGAAAAAGAATGGGATCTGTAGAAAATATACACACAGCGGTGCAAGTGCCGACTACCATTTTGTTGTTCAGCTTTTGTGCAAGCAACTATTTGCTGCTTGAGTGGAATAGAAAAAAAGGAACATCTGAACCTCAGTTCTCACGGTGTGTGCGGAAATGTGTTTGTCTTTTTGTGTGGTGTGTCTTTCCCAGCCTCTCAAGTGATATCGTAAATACGTTTCTCCGTGTCCTGAATGAATGCTTCGGATAACGCATGTCGGCGAGCTGTTAACGTCCACGCAGTTTGCTTATGTTGTTGAATTTACATGAATCTAATTCATGCATGGATGTGGAAACATCAATCTGCTGTATGTGAATTTGTGCGTGAATCTGGGCACGCGTTCGCCTTGGAACGCTGGTGCAAACACACACCTCGGGTCGTGCGTGTGAGTGTGTGTCAGCAGGCCGTCTGTGGAGCAGAGTAGAGCGGGGAGCATAAAACAGATCACGGCGTTGCTGCCCATTTTCCAGCACATTACCAGCAGCAGGGCCTGATGGGAGCCTATAATGAAGGGCCCTGCCTCGGCCAAGTCAAGCCCAGACTAAGTATCCATCCTCCGCTCCATTTCTCCCTCTTCCCTCTCAATGTCGAACCCCTCCTCCTGTTATGTGCTACTGTATATCGCCACAGGCTTTCCATCCTTACTGTCCTCTTACTTGCCTGCCCTTTTCCTTAACCCCCCCTTCTTCCTGTCTCTTTCTCTGTCATGTTGATTGTCTGCTCCTCCCTTTTTTTCTCACCTGTCTTTCCTATGCTGTCTCTTTAGGGTAGCACCTGCAGTTTGACTCACCTTACCTGTCCCTCCGGCTCCCCTTTGTCCCTCGCCTTTCTCCTTCTGCTCCCCCCCTGGGTCCTAAACCAGACAACCCGGACCAGAGGGAAGGTGGCAGAGGCACAGACACACACCTACACAACTACACACACACACACACTCACACACACTCACACACACTCTCCCACCCGAACATGCCACTATACTATGGTCTGGGGACTCTGCATCATGTTTGATCTGCGTTTTTTTCCCCCTGTGGCAGCGGCTTAGTGTATGTGTGTGTGTGTGCGACTGTGAGAGAGAGAGAGAGAGAGAGAGAGAGAGAGGGGGAGAAAAAGAGAGAAAACGTGCCAAGCATTCCCATGACAGTGGTTTGGGGCCGTGGGCTCCAGCTGTGCCTGCTCCACTAAGCTACGTGCCCTGCCTGTTGGGATGATTAAATTGAAGGCAGGTGAATGGTGCAAGAGTCGAGGCCAAACCCTGTGGTCTTTGGCTGAAAAGTGCCAAATTACATCCTTGTTTCTGCAGCTAGACCCTTTCACCAGGAAAGAGCGGGTTCACTATCCCAGCCAGTAGCTGGGAGTTAAATGAAGCCTAAACAAGCAAAATAGGCCTTATAATAATAGATTTATATGACTTCTGAAAAGAATATTCAAAACCCAGTGTCATGCGGCAGCGTCATGAGGACACAACATCGCTCAAGTCACAGTCATTCGGATTCAATGCAGAATATACAACTGAGGGACAACAGACTCTTTTTCATACTTGCTCCTAATCCCTCTCTGACCTTTTTTATCGAAATTGGAATAAACGTTTGATTGTATCTTTTGAAAGAAAGGATCGACTTTTTAAGATAATTCTTCACACTTTTTCAAGTGGAAACCCATTTCAAGACGTAAATTCTATTTTGGTAAAAATAAGTCTACGGTTTTCAGATTGTGTGACTTTTCTTTTATGTTGAAACGCCAACTCTCTTTAGAAGTTGCTAATGCATTTGTCATTGTGCATTCACCTCTGTCCGTGTCGTAGAGGAAGACAAATCGGCTCCAGTCGTAGTGGTCCAACAGTGACAGCAGAGCCCCTCTGATTGACGGCCGGAGCTGCAGGGTGAACTGGCCCTCTCCTTCGCTGGGGAAGCTGGGCGTCACCAGGCTGATGTGCAGGGCCCCACAGAACGACGTCAGCGTGTTCACCGAGCGCTTGTCGTAAAGGCCGAAGATGGCGAAGACCCCCCTTGAATACTGAGAACAGACTGGTGCGAGGACGAAATTGGGCGGAAGGTAGGGGGGTCGGGGGGGGGGGATTAAGAGGAAAGAAGAAAGACAAGGGCATTTTGAGAATTGGGAGCTTTATAAATGAATGAATGAAGACTTTTATAGAGGATTCTGTGAATTTTTTTATAAACTTTTATATCTTCCAAAACAACATGAGACTGATTCATGGCATTTAAGGCAAACCACCTCTCTTTTAGAGTCGCCCATTCTCTCATATACATTCTCGTAACGTACAATCACAGTTATTTGCACGTACATGGGGGAAAATCTGAATTTTCTAAAACCCCTGCAAGCCACATCGGAATCTTCTCAAATTACAGTCAAACCGCCCAAATTGCTTGGAGCTTACAGTGTAACATCCATGCATGCAAACTCACACGCACACACACATACACACACAAACACAGTTACAAAACCCTTGAACAACGCAAGCTCGATTCAGATGTGAAGTCATTTTCCACTACAACCATGCAACTCAGTCTTCAGACGCCCTAAAGCTTTCAACCGTGACAGAGAGACGAGAGAAATGCATTGATTCCTCCGCTCAGAAATCTTATTTCCACCAGAATCTCTTCGGTTCGTCAATGCGGCTTGACCAAATCTGTGTTTGCACAACAAATAAAAAATGCTGTAGGGAGTCGGAGAGTCCTCCCTTTTGTGACACAAATGCGCACACAAAAACACGTGCTTCACTTTCCGGGGACCCGGCGAGTGAAGTGACTGAAAGTATGTCAACTCGTTTTTTCCTTTTACACTATTTAATGTTTCTCTTTCTTTCATCCGCTTAATTCATCTCCTCCTTCCTCTCTTTAGACCCATTCATCCTTTCAGCTCGATTCTTTCAGGCGGGCATGTTTGGAGGCATAAGCTCTATCCTGCGTCATAATTCACTCTCCACCCTGCAATACGTCACACTGGAGTAAACCGTGAGAAAAGGGACGAGAGACTTTGCTTTCGGCATCAACCGGCTTTCACTGTGTGACCTTTACAACCTTTTTGATCTCCTTGCACATCACTTAATTTCATAGTTTTTCTCCACTCTTTTGTTTTAGAAAGCAGCGACGACATCTATCATTTTTTCTTGATCCCTCCGTCGTTCATTTTCTGTCATCTCCTCTCCCTCTCTTCCTCTGTGACTGCCTCCTCTTTCTGTCCCTCCCTCTCTCCCTCCTCCTGGGACTCAAAATAATTCCATTATCAGCTATAAGCCTCACTGGGGGTAAATACTGAGGAAGATTCAGCTTTGACGCTTTGGCTTTTGGCAATTAAACAAAGCCGAGGACCCTGCACCCAGGAGGTGATAAGGCAGGGATTTACTCTCTGATTTTGACAGCAGCTAAATGTCTTGAATTCAGAGAACTAGCAGACTACGTATGCTAGCATGCGTCATTCACTGGGAGCTGAGACATGTCCTCAAAGTAAACAAACTTAATCACTTGGTTTTTTTTGCTGATTCAAAGCACATTACAACATGACAGATGGTAATGATAGCAAATACTTGTTAGGCCCGACGCGCAGCAGAGGGGAACGCCTCGAACTGTTACAATATTGAAGATAAAGTACTGCCTCAAGTACCTTATTGCTTTTATAATACGGTTACCAGAGAAATAATAGTAAGTAAATAGCTGCCTTTCAGCAAAAAATAGTTCGAATAGATCGAATTTCAGTAAAAAAATAGTCCCCGTACGTGCATGTAAACAGCATTGGTTCTCCTTGCAAGATCTCGCACCATCTCATTCCTTCACATCGCTCATGACGTCCACTTTAATTGTCCGGTTGCAAATGCTTGCATTACCCGAAACCGATCATTTGTGGGATTTCTGTTTTTTTTTCGGCGATCACCACCAAGATAAAAGCTGAAATGTCAACGGTTGCTCAAAATCTAATTTGTTGAACAGCAACTGTACATCATCGCTCAATAATGTAACCCCCGTGACTCACTCTCAACCAATCAGAACGCTGGATTTCATCTACCCGTATCGTAAAAAATAATATGATACAGTTCCAACAACTGGAATGCATAATGATGTTTGCACTGATTCCCTGAAGTTTATTTCAGGTTCTGATATTATTGTCCTTGGATAAATGTTGATCTAAAATAAAGAAAAAAAACGCCAAATGAAAAGGACTGAAGCGAACAGCGAGCAGAGACGGTTTGGTAAGAGGTTTCATATACATGGATACTTGTTTTACTGTTCATTCACAATAGTGTATCTTGGCTGATAGAAATGGGATCCAAACACTGTCTAAGGAAAGAACAAACAAATGATGAAAAGAACAAATGTTCTTTAACAGCAATGTCATGGCAAAGCCATTGCTATGCTTTCAAATTAATTTGTGTTTTGGTAAAGAAAATTGAAAAAACAGCACAGCAAAAATAGACCGCTCATGAAAACGACTCCCTGGGTGACTGAGTGGAGGCCTGGATGCGGTTTGTGGCATCCGTGTCTGTATATTTCATCTTCCATCCATCTCCAAATGTAGATACCCTAAATCCCCAAACCTTCTATTTTAAACAGTATCAAGACATCTGTTCCCAAACACACACAGAGGCCCACAGCACATAACAAAAGCCTGATGTGTCGTATTCTTCATTCATCCACCAACTCTTACTGTTTTTTTCTCGCTCTGCTATCAGTCACCTTCTCACTGCTTTATTGCCTTATTTTTGATTTTCTGATGCTTGCTTTGCCTCCCTGACTCCGACAAACGTGTTGCCTTGATTTCCTTTCTGATGCACATCTCCACAGGCTCGTTTCTCTGCAATGCCCTCCACCATCGAATGAGCAAGGCAGTGGCGTCATTGTAAATATGGGTACTGAGCTCGCTTCATGAAACTTTAATGGGAGGAGGGGACCAGCGGCATGGTGCATCATTGCCACAATATAACAGCGTCGGACACAATAGGTCTCCTGGGACTTCCTCTACCTCTACATCTTCTTGCCTCCCCCTCGCTTGTTGTCTCAGCATCTCAATATGAGATTATTGTGGTGTACACCCTCCTGCCGGTTGGGTTCCTAACGGCTCGCTCTTTGTTCTCTGTGCATACCTTTCCATGCATCTCTTTAAAAGACCTCTTCTTTAGCTGCATTGCTCTACATAGCATATCAAGGCTCGGCATTGGCAGATTTTCCTTTCGCAGCTGTCCCTGCCTCTCTTTGATTCATTTACCTTGTGTCCTTTAGACAGGGCATTTAGAAGGACCTGTCATTCATTTGCATTGCTTGGCAGATCACTTCATTTCAAAAGGAGATATGATGCTCTATACAGACAAATAGCTTAGTTTTACCCTCAAATGGTTTTCCGAGTGTGGCTCATACTTCTCCCCTGCCTCCTTCTTTCCTCACCTCGCTCAGCCTCTTCCTCAAAATTGGCCACTTGTTTGTATTACGCATCACAGCAAGAACAGATGTTCACAGAAAATCTCCTCCTGATTTAACACTTTATTACACATGATAAAAAAACAGAAACACACATAACAGACATGGTCCCCGATCCGCGTTTTGAACACACAAAAGCATACGCCCACTTCCTCATCAACAACTTTCGGTCCTCATGCTGCAGTTGCTTCTTGCCTGTTAGTCTGAATCACCCTCTCGCTGCAGAGACGTTCTCCAGGCGGCCAAAGAAACACGGTAATATGGTAATATTGGCTAAGGAAGCGGGCTCCGTTTTTGTTTGTGATCCAGCATTGTGTGGGATTCGAGAGATCTTTTTTAAGAGAGAAGTGAAAAGTGGAGCATCCCGCAGCAAGCGGCGGAGTTTCTGCAATGTCTAAAGCTCTAATCCCGACTGACACAACTAGTTCAAAATGTAGAATAAAGGTATAACAGCTGAATGCAGGATTAGCCATGGACAGACATACAAATACACACATACAGGGAAAAGGAAGTATAAGAGGAATGAAGTAACGAAACTCCTATCATCGTCCATTTCCCAATCAGAGCATGTTGTTTTTTGGAGGCTGCTATAGTTTTTTCCATTTCCAAAAGATCCTATCGGTGCACTTTTAATTACGTAATTGACCAATTGTCATGTCCTTTCCCTCAGTATACGGAAGCGGTGGTAATGGCCAGGTCAAAATCAGGGTCTACCAACAGTTCAGCTACGCTCCGAGATTCTCACGCTATAGTTTCGGATTTTCTTAATATTCATGCTGGTTTTGTAGATTTTGAGCGAGTAATGCTTATACATTTGGCCTTGGGAAGTAATAGAGACACTTGTTACCCAAAGAGGTTGAAATGAGATATACTTTCGCTCAGAACATTAGCTAATAAAACACTAGCATTAGAGCTAGCATGCTATGCATACTATTAGGGGCTTTTGCCTTTGACTTATTGTAACAAAGAATAAAAACCTACTTGGCTCCATCGTGACAGTGTGGTTCCTTCATATCATCATTTTCCTTTTTTTGACCCTTCTGTCTGCCCCTCATTGAAATCGCTTATTTGTTTTTCCAAAAACTAGATAATATTTTTTCAGGCAGTGGCATGAAGTGGAAGTGTGAGCTGAAGTTACAGTTGCAGAATGAATAGGAGGGGGAAGCATGGTTCACACAAGTCTATTAAATATGAAACTCAGACTTTGGAATGCAAAATTACATTTCTTGGCAGAAAACCAATTCAACGTGTCGATAATGAACATTTTTACTGATGAGTTATTAGGGTTGTTTTTCTCACTGTGCCGATAAAAATGCAAACTAGGGAGCAGAAACATACTTTCTGTTGCAAGTTGGTGGTACACAATACACCTCAAACACATTTTTTCTTTCAGCATATGTCAATAAAGTGCCTCCAAAAGGCCAGTTCATTCCCATTGCTTTCTGGGTCACGTTGGTTTGTTGAAAAACGGGGCGATCTCTCTACCGTAGTGATTTAAATGGCACCGCTCTCACTTGGTGGATGGTACTTACTTGCTGGGTAGCACCACCTATTTTTCTCTAGTGTTTGATAGCTGCTCTCAGCTTTCCAAAGTGGAA